GAGAAAACACATTTGGCATCTGGAACCCTAGGTGAGGTACGTGGAAGATAAATGGGGGCTACAAGCTTCGAAGTGCACGAGGGACGAGGGAGCTGACCCGCCTCTAGATATGGCAGCTCGCAGATAAAGAGAACAGGGGTCTCTTGACCCCGTCTGGATTCGGCATCGTGCTTCGATTGATTGGGCATGCACAAGCCGGGCGTACGCCATCAGACGAGTTGGCTTTACAGCGTAAGTGATTTCTCCTACCTAGTTTGCATTTGGGGACGACGTTTCACTGTGCCTCGACCGGACCAATATTGATCAAATGCCTCGTTGCTTTTAGCCGGCCCAATCCCTCGATTCGATGGTATTCATGTCGATGTGAATGCCGCCGTGCCAGAGCCTGCACAGAGCCCTCCCCCAAGTGCGGGCGGGCCTCCTATCCGAGTTCCTCCGCTTCAGCCTGACGATGCGAACAAGTTCCTTTCCCTCTTCGAGAAGTCGGGTGTTGTGAATGGACTGCTACCTGGCGAGATTGCTAAGCAGATCTTTGAACGCGCCAGACTGCCAAATGAGACCCTGGGTCGCATTTGGGGTCTTTCGGATACCCAGCAGCGCGGAACTCTGGATGCGACCGAATTCATCATTGCGATGCACCTTCTGACCTCATTCAAATCTGGTGTGCTCCGTGGTATTCCTCAGACCTTGCCCCCTGGTCTTTACGATGCAGCAGCCCGCCGAGGCTCTCAACGCGCTTCATTCGGAGCACGCCCTGAGGTACCTCCGGTGCCCACAGTACCTCGACAATTTACAGGACCCCAGCGGACTACGAGCCCTATGAGCCCTGCCACCCGGACTCAATTCGGAACCGCTTTGTCCGCCCAGTCCACTGGCGATTGGCTTATTACAGCCCAGGAGAAATCACACTTTGATCAAATTTTCGAGACCGTTGATACGGCTAGGGCAGGTGTCATCACTGGCGACCAGGCTGTTGCATTTTTTATGAAAGCTCGGCTTCCCGAGGAGGTTTTGGCACAGATTTGGGACCTTGCTGACATTGATGCCGATGGTCAGCTGAGCCGAGATGAGTTCGCCGTGGCCATGTACCTTGTGAAATTGCAGCGGGGTGGAAAGGAGCCTATCCCCCAGGTCCTCCCTCCTGCTTTGATCCCGCCCAGCATGCGTCGACAAGCTCCTGCTCCGGTCCCAGTGGCAGCACCTCCTCCGCCAGCCCCGGTTCCACGATCTGCGGCGGATGACCTTTTTGGTCTTGATTCGCCCCCGACACAGACACAGGTACCCCAATCTACCGGTGGCTCCAATATCGCATTCCAAACTCCTAGCTCGCCATCCAGAGCCTCCCCGCAGACTGGGTCGAATACATTCAAGCCTTTTATTCCTACATCAACATTTGGACAGAGCCTGCAGCCCCAACAGACTGGAACATCGACCGGAACGCCGGGGCAAGTCCGCTCCCCTCCGCCTCCATCCGATGATCTGCTGGGAGACAATGACCCTGAAGAATCGAATAAGCTCACTCAGGAGACTACTGAACTCGCCAACTTGTCTAACCAGATCGGCTCACTGGCCAAGGAGATGCACAATGTCCAGGAGAAGCGTACGTCAGCAGAGCAGAACCTCACTCAGACCTCCCAGCAAAAGCGGGACTTTGAGACCCGACTTGCCCAAGCTCGTGCGATGTATGAGCAGGAAGTAACTAACTTCAAGGCGCTGGAGGAGCGGCTCCGTGTTTCCAAGGCGGAGACGACAAAGTTGCAACAGGATTATGCCTTGATTGAAAGTGGTCGCCAGGATCTGCACAACCAATATACGCAGGTCTCGACAGCCCTGGCAGCAGACCAGCAGGAGAACTCCAGCTTGAAAGAAAAGATCCGCCAGGTCAATGCCGAGGTTACTCAGCTTAAGCCCGCATTGGAAAAGGCGCGCTCCGATGCTAGACAGCAGAAGGGCCTTGTTGCCATCAACAAGAAGCAATTGGCTACCGTTGAGGGTGAACGCGATAAGATGCAGAGTGAAATTGACACCCTGTCCAAAGAAAGCCCCCAATACACCGAGGAACCGACACCTGTGAGCAACACCGAGGTGACTAGCCCTGCTGCCTCTACTGCTAGTCAGAACACCAATCCTTTTTTCCGTCGCACCACGACCGGAAGTGAGAGCGACCGCGGTCCTTCTCCGGATAATTCAAATGACCACCACAAGATGTTTGACAGCCTCTTTGGCCAGACTTCTACCGCTCCCTCGGCTGCTGGCCCTCCTCCTACTTCATTCCGTTCTGAGTCGCCTCTGGCTACAGCCAAGTCTCCTGTTGTATCTAATGTTCCGACCCCGTCCGTGTCTCCTGGCCCATACAGTCTTCCTGGTGCTTTCCCAGGAAACGAGCCCCCACCACCCAGCCAGTCCCGACAGATGACCCCAAACTTCCTGCCCTTTAACGAAAACCAATCTGTGACCTCGTCCACGATGGTTTCTCCACCCGGTAGCCGATTTGGCGGACCCGATGAATCCGGCCTTGCCACCCCTTCGCAACTTACCGTCAGCGACACGGGGGCGCCATCTGTCGCAGATTCCAGTGATTATAGCCGTGCCGCAGGGTCCACCGCTGCAGGAACACCGGCCCGATCTCCATTCGATGAAATTCCTGAGCCATCTATGGCAGCTGCAGTAACAAGTGCTCCTGCCACCGAACAGCACGCCTCTGCAATTTCTCCCAATGTTACTGGGAAAGAAGAGTCTTCGAAAGACCTGTCTTTCGACGAGCTTTTTGGTAGCAAGGCTCATAAGCGATCCGAATCGCAGAAGGGGAACGACTTTGACGAAGCTTTTGCTTCCATGAAGACACCAGGCGATGAAAATGCAAATGGAGCTGCGACCGCCCATTCCGAATTCCCTCCTATTGAGGAGCTTCACCATGACGAAGAGGAAGATGAAAGCTCGGATGAAGAGGGCCCTTTGGGGTTCGATGATAATTTCACTCCAGTCTCACCAAAGGGCACTAAGGAGGGAAAGCCAGCTGATTCTATCGATGCAGCTCAGCTCGCGGCTTTCCCTACCCCGGGATCAACACAGTCTGCGGCCCAACCCCCTGCACCCGATGCGCAGCAAAGCCCCCCGACTTATGAGACTAGCACTGCCAACGAGGAAGGTAGCCACGTTCCGGAGTATAAAGGTCTCCTTCCTGAGCGTGCTGACCCCACTTTGCCCCCCAATGCGCCTCACTCCGTCGAATCAGGAACAGGAGCCCCGGTTATTAGCAATGAGCCGCAGCATGATCCACAGGATGCTGCTGCTGCTGCTCCTACAACTGGAGGTGCAAAGACCGGCGGCCCCGACTTCGAAGCCGCCTTTGCAGGCCTAAACCTTGCCCCTGCAAAGGAGGCGGAGGACGACGACGACGATGACGAGCCTTCTGGCCACGATACTAAGAATGCCTCGGACTTTGACTTCTCCTTCGATTCCCCTGCACAAAAGCATGGCGCTTCTTCAAGCACCGATGCTGGCCAGGGGGGCTCATCTGAGTTCTTCTCATTTGACAACAACGCCCAAGCTTCTGCCGCACAAGCTGCCACCTCCCCAAATGGAGGTGATGCCAAAGCGGGTAATCATGACTGGGATGCTCTCTTTGCGCCCCTCGACAATGCTAAGCCTGCCACCGAGGAGGTTGCCAATGGGTCGGATCCCAAGAGCCCTGGATGGGCCCTTAACAATGACTCGGGAGAGGACGACCAAATTCTGCAGCGCTTGACGGGCATGGGATTTCCGCGAGAGGCGTCCCTAGGAGCTCTGGAGAAGTTCGATTATAATCTTGATAAGGTAGGCTCATCAACGCCCTTGAATTTTGAACAAGAACTGACCTGGTCATAGGCGGCAGACTATCTGACTTCGAAGACCTAACTAACCCGTCATATTCACCTTGCACATATCATCCCCACATATCTTTCTTCCCATGATGCCTTTCCTTGATGACCATGTTTCTTCTCAACTTTCAATGGGCTGAGATTGGAAAGCATCCACATCTCGTCCCTCGAAGTTATTTACCCAGCGTCGTGTACATCCCCTCTTTCCCTTTCTCTTGTGTCTTTGCCATCGCGCTACATCTCTAATCTGATTTGACCTACCCCTTTCATTGTGCACCCCCAATGGATGGCTTTGAGCCCTACCATCTTATCCTGTGTCATCTGTCTATTCGTGTAGTGTAGCCATAAGCCATAATCCATCTTATATTGACAACTGATAAAGATCATGGTCCCGTGAAGTACTGCAGCGCCAACCTTCGAAGTATTAATTTCGAGGCCACTATGTTTCCCAATCAGACCCCTTCGTATTCGACCGATTTTCCAATTCAATTAGTTCATAATCGGGTTCGATACTAATAGCCAATAGGCCTTTCAAGCAGTAATCCGAAGGTACGGTTTCAAATATCTATGGTTTCAGGGACTGTATACACTATCTACTAATCATCCTTGAAAAAAATGATACTTGAAAACTATCTTCGTTCACCAAGGTCTCAGTCTCCATTTATTTTGTTCTAAGCCTCGTACTAATGATTTCCATACCCATGTTTCAACTTCATCGCTTTAATTTATCGTCCTGCTGTCCTGTTGCCCCCACCTTAACCAAGGATCCCGCTAATCCCAAAGGAGTAGTCGGAGCTCTCGGAGTTCCCAAAGGGGTATCTGAATTGATCAACTCCCAAAGGAAACATTCCTTGAGAATGGTTCAATGACGAGTCTCCCGTGTCTCCTTTTCGGAGTTGCTCCAGAAAATGGTTACGGAATTAGTGGTATCCCCGATCCAGTGGACATATGAGGCTTAGGTCGGCGTTGCAGGCCTAGCTAGAAGGAGAGCGTTCGGAGGTCTGAGACGGGAATAAGCTTTGATGTGCGAGCTGGGATTCTTATTTAAACGTTCTCATGTCCAGGGCTATGGATATCCAGTACTTGGAAACAATTATCATTCTATCCTCTAGAACCACAATCTTTCAACTACCAACCAAAATGACTCGCGTTCTTCTCACTGGTGAGTTTATCTTAGGAGGCGAAAAAAAGCGAACTAACCGTTCCAAGGTGGCAGCGGCTTCATCGCTACCCATGTCCTCGAGACACTCCTTGCTCGTGGACACTCAGTTGTTACTACTGTTCGGTCCGAGCAAAAGGCGCAGGCAATCTTGACTGCGCATCCAGAACTATCGAAGAATCGTCTCGATTGCGTTATTGTGACCGACATGGCTCAAGAGAACGGTGAGCATAATTAACCTACTCCGAGGAAAGATAACAATGGCGAGCTGACATCTAGGGATTAGCTTTTGATGAGGTGGTCGTTTCAGAGCCCCCATTCCAGGCTGTTATTCACACTGCTAGCCCGTATCATTTCAACGCCAAAGATGCCAAGGAACTCCTAGACCCAGGTAAGTCGAGAAAGCTCCCAGCATAGTTCTGACGACTAAGAGGGTTCATACAGCGATCATTGGAACCACTGGGATATTGAAGTCGGTACAGAAGTATGCGCCGACTGTCCAGCGCGTTGTGGTGACATCCTCCTTTGCTGCAATCAACAATATTTATGCAAAGGCCAAAGGGAAGGTTTACTCGGAGGTAAGTCTCAGATTGAGTTGTAAAGCTGGAAATATTTCTAACCGGAGATACAGGCCGATTGGTGTCCCATCACAGTGGACCAAGCGAACGATAATCCAGCAAACGCCTACCGGGCAAGCAAGACATTCGCCGAACGAGCAGCCTGGGATTTTGTTGAGAAGGAAAAGCCCCATTTCGACCTGAGTGTGATCAATCCACCTCTGAGTTCTCGGACCCATCGCGCATAATCTGGCATCGCTGAGCGCCCTCAACACCTCCAACGAGCGCATTCGCGATCTGATCACCGGTGCTGCCAAGGATCGCTGCCCTCCAACAGGAAATTATCTATACGTCGATGTTCGAGATCTCGCACTGGCCCACGTCCTCGCTATCGAAAAGGCTGAAGCTGGTGGAAAGCGTTTCTTCACTGTGTCCAGCCACTTTTCCAACAAAGAAATTGCGCAAATAATCGATCAGGAATTCCCCAAGTTCCGATCTCGCTTGCCGACTGGCGAGGCCTTGGTACCAGGTGACTACCCGGCAGATGGTGTGTATGGATTTGACAGTTCACGCGCAAGAGAGATTCTGGGGGTGAAATTCCGACCGTTGAAGGAGAGTATTGTGGATGCGGTAAATAGTTTGTTGGCCGTCGAGCCGGAGATTTCAAGGTCTTAGTCTTGAGAAATCAAGCTTTGTTGTATGGATAATTGTTCAATTTGAAATGATAATAATTGGCTTAGTGAACAAGCCACCGAATCCTCTTCGCAGCCCGGTCCTAATCCGTTTTTCTTTCTCCTCGTTCTTGCTATACTCCATCCATCCCGCTCTTCCTCCCTTCTCTGTTCACATTATCACACGCCTTGAAGAATGTTCTCAACCTTTACTGCTGACCCCAATGAGAAACGCCCCCAGAGACAGCGACAGAAAAGGGGTCAAGTTGCTCGGGCTTGCGATCGGTGTCGGGTTGATCGGATCAAATGTCACGAGTCACATCTGAGTGGGGGCCAATCTGGCAGCAGGAAGCGAGTTGAGTCTGACTCGTTACTGGCAGCGAATAGGTATCTCGGACCATCAGATAATCATATGAGCGGAAGGGATTGTTGATGGTTCGAAATTAGGGAAATTCAACGTTTACGCTTGGAGATTCAAGGGTTGCAGGGTCAACTGGCCTCCCATGAAGCTCAGGAACAGCGCCCTGAAAAATACCTCTCGCCGCCTGAATCGCAGGTGCTCTCCTCAACTTCGACGCTGGAAGTATCTCTCCAGAGCCCGCAGACGAATGACATACAAATTGTATCTCCACAGACATGGAATGGCATCGAGATTCCTGATATACGTACAGGAAATTTGATTCATTATGGCCCTCTCTCATCTTCATATTTTGGGGCTCGCCTAGGCTTCTATCTGGCTGAAAAAACGGCACAGCTTCATTCGGAGATCTTGTTCCTGGAGATATCTCGCACCTAAATTGTACACCAAATTTGTTGACTCCCAAAGCTCAGCTCGACCAGCCACAATCATCGACTGTAAGTCTCGGTGGAGGCATTGAGCAATTGTCCCGTGCCCAAGAAGAACAGTTTCTCGATCTTTTCTGGCAGTCGTTTCACTGCATATACCCCATCATCGGCGAGGTCGAGTTCCGAAATTATTATGACACCCTGTGGAATGACTTCAGTTTCCCTCCAGCACGGAACCCATCACCACTTGTTGACAGTATCATGGCCATTTGCATGCAATATGGAAGCACATTCCTGATAAGCGATGATGATATGTTGAGTAATGATGATGTGGATCATGTGAAGGTAGCTTCGCAAAAAAGCTATGCCCTTTACTGTCGTTCGCAACGTCTCCTCCTCGCCGACATTGAAAACCCTTCCTTGATGACGGTACAAAGTTACATTTACTGTATCATCTATCTCTACAATACATCATCGCTGAATGCTGCATATGCAATGCTGGGAAACGCATCGAGGGTTACCCAAACAATTGGATTGCAGTTTCAACCTGCAAGCATTACATCAGTAGCAGACCGACAGTTGAGAGCTCGTGTCTGGTCCGTGATGGCTATGCTGGATAGTCAATTATCAATGGCACTTGGCCGGCCAGCTACAATTAATGTGGAGAAAAGCAATATAGTATCACCTGGCCATAGCCAGGATCATGCATCCCTCTCAGGGTCAATGCTGATGAGTCCGAACCATGACGATATTACGTGGTTGAGCTTCCATGAAAACTGCGCACACCTGGTCAACTCAGTACAGCAAATTCAGTATGATTTCTCAAAGCAAGTCATTCAAGCACAGGAACACCATGCTGTCAAGTCGTTTTACGATAGCCCAGTCGCTCTTGAAGAGCTTGCGAGCTTTCTTGGACGGGAAGTGCGATCTGTTTACGGATGGGCAGAAAATGTCCCTGAATCGTTGAAGATACCTCGAAAAGGATCCGGGGAGTCCTTTTCAACTGAGCGGACTCTGCTGAAGTTTAACACTTTCAGTCCAATTTGGCTGCAACGCCAGCGACTCCTGCTTGAGATTCTATACCATCACCTTCAACTTTCAAACTTTCGCTCATTTTTACGCCTCCCGCCTGGTTCTTCGTTTATAACGCCACTTTCCGACTGCCATAGCATCAATTGTCTCAACCACGCCATCTCTTTGACAAATATTATCCATCAGGTGCTCACTGATACGGACCTATTACGAGGATGGTCTCCAGTTGTTCAATATCAATGGGATTCTGCTCTTTGTATCCTAGGATTCACTCTGACCAATCCTATCTGTCCTCCATCGCCGACAGCCCGGAAATGCCTACAAACCGCAATATGTTCATTTGAGATAATGGGTAAATATTTCGCGGCCTCAAGAGAGGCTGCCCAACTGATGCGAAGACTTGCCAGTCAAGCCGAAATGCTTGTCCAGCAATTTCATAATAACTTGTCAAGCCGAAAAACGGATTCACGAGATGGTTCTGGGCAGATTGTGACGCCTGCTGCTCGATCTTCAACTACTGATGCTGTGCAGATGCTTGCGGCTCCAGCACTGACACCGGAATACATACAGAAGTGTCCAAGTGCAGGGTTTGATCTTTCGAGTTTCGTCGGCGGTAGTGGTATCGGTGGAAATGAATCCTTTACACTGGATGAATTCAGAATTGTCTCCACTGGAATGATTACTAATGGGTCCCCTGTACTTGGAGGAATCTCTGGAGATTTGACGAGTGAGGTTGATTACTCATGGATTTCGGGTGATGGCATAATAGACTGAATGATCATGATATTCTATTAAATCTGCCCACAAAATAAATTATAAGGTATTAGTAGTAGTACAAGTAGTGCCATTCGATCCCGATCGATCTCTTGATCTCTCGATCCCCCCTCATTATTGGACATCGCTCCCACGGCTAGCGCTGACATAAAGTTGCAACCTCACAATCTGATTGATCGAGGAAACGATACCCCCCATTCCACAATTTTGCAGTTTCGCCCCGCTTCTGTTGGTTATCTTCTTATCGTCTGGACATTTCTCCCTTTTCTTGTTCTTACTCGTATTCCTAGCCCAGGTGTTCAACACTTTCAAGTCAGAATATTACCCATCTCACAGTGGTTACTTCTGTGCAAGTACTTTCTGATGCTGTTCGACCCTACTCCTGATCCCGGATAGCACCGTGGTGATGTCTCCACCGATTTTAGAAGAGAGCCAGCAGCAGTGCGGGTTCAGTGCTTCGAGGCAGCGGGAGTTCTTTAGGTATGTCTTGAGTCGTTTCCCGGAATCATGTACTACTAGTAGTATGTAAATGTGCAAACAGCTTCCTGACGGTGCACTCGTATGCTATAGGTACCTGCCGCCATATCATTTCCAATCAGCTGCTCCGAATCATATCGATCATGAAACGGAAACCACGGATCTCGTCGCACGTCCGTCGTTGGACCCCGTCCTTACAGCATTTGCCCAACTGGGAACTTTGCGATTGGATTCCCAACACGCCTTCATTTCGCTTTTCGGTCGCACCGAGGAACATATTCTGGCTGAAGCGACTCGAACTCTCAGCCTACAGAATGAAGCCAGTCACATCGATGATGATGCACTGTGGATCGGAAGTTGTACCATGTCATACGGTCGCAGTCTCTGTAAAGCCATCCTGAATCTCCCGGTATCTGCAGAAAGTCCACCCCAACCATTTGTTGTGCCAGATCTCATGAAAGACAAGGAGCTCGCTGGACATCAAGATGTAGCCGGCTCTCCAAATTTTCGTTTCTTGGCATGCAGTCCGATCGTCAGTCCAAAAGGATTCGTGATTGGTGCATATACAATCCTGGACGACAAGCCGCATGAACCACTAAACGCCGCCTTGATGAATTTCATGGCCGATATATCTCATACTGTCATGGATTATCTGGTTGCGACAAGAGCCAAATATCAACATACTCGGAGTGAACGTATGATGGTTGGACTGGGAAGCTTCCTTGAAGGCAAAGGCAGTTTGCGAAACACTTGGATTTCTGCGCATGGAGATATACTGTCTCCAGAGGAGGAGCAACTGGAAGGCCATGTTCACCGGGAACAACAGAAAATACAATTGACGCACAGCGTGGCTAATGGGCCACCAACTAGCAACTCTCCCGAATTATTACCCTTTCGACCAAAGAATTTTAATACCTCTGGAGGTCAAAAGCCTACAGCACAAGTGGAGAAGAGACAGTCGTTGGTCGATCTAGGGCATGTACCACAAGATTACTTTCAGGAGAGACCGCGCCGTGAGCGTGTACACCGGGCCAAGTCAAATGGCAGCAAAAAAAGGTCTGAAAATAGATCACCGAAGGCCGATTATGTGACTCAAATACAGGGCACATTTTCACGCGCAGCCAATATAATTCGCGAGAGCATCGAGGTTGAGGCTGCTGTGCTCTTCGATGCCAACTTTGCTTCCCAGGATGCTTTGGTGAATAAGTCAGGGGAGAATTCGAGAAGCAGTAGTGTAGGATGCTTTTCTTCAAGCGACGAAGGCGGAAATGTTGAAATGCCGTCCCCCAACGAAAGACTTCCTACTGTGGAAAATACTACAAAGGCTGGCCCCAACTCAGTGAGCCCTTGCAAGGTACTTGGGTTTGCAACTTCAGACCTATCCAGCATAAGCAATGACCCTATGGAAGACGGGAAAATCTCTTTATCTGAGAATTTTCTCGGTCACCTTCTACGCCGATACCCACGGGGTAAGATTTTCAACTATGGCGAAGATGGGTCGATCTCGTCCGACGATACCAGTGATCATATAGTGAGGCAGTTTGATCAGCGTCTTGGCGGCCTGCGATACAAAAGAACACGCAAGACTATCCTGCGTCAAGATGCAGCGGCACTATTGCAATTGGCACCTCAGGCCCGAAGTATTGTTTTCTCGCCTCTATGGGATTCGCATAAGGATAGATGGTATGCAGGTTGTCTATCGTGGACAAAAACCGCGCATCGTGTTCTTACCTCGGACGATGAATTGGCATTCCTCTTTGCATTTGGAAACTGTGTCATGGCAGAGGTCCACCGACTCGGTGCGCTACTTGCTGAACGAGCCAAGTCAAATCTCCTTGCAGGAATCAGTCATGAGCTTCGGTCCCCACTTCACGGAATATTCGGCACGATAGATATTCTGAATGATACTACCATGGATGCTTTACAACGGGGGTTTATGCATACCATCTCGTCATGTGCATTTACGCTTCTTGGATCGATTGATCAGCTCTTGGACTATGCCAGCATCAACGATGTTCGACCAAACCCTCGAGGAATTGGTCTTACCAACCCCCCCATGTGAGCAAGATTCACGCCGCAACAGTATCGACCAGAATTCGATCGTCCAATTGGATGCCGCCGTTGAAGATGCCATTGAGACTGTTTTCGCAGGACATGACTTCACTAACAAAAGGCAATTGTCTTCTTTTGACGCAGCTCACAACCATCTGGACATCCAAACAAGAGTTCGGGTCGTCCTCGATATCGAATCCGCTCAAAATCTCAGATTTCTGACTCGGCCTGGAGCGTGGCATGTAATTTTGACGAATATCTTTGGAAATGCCATGAAATTCACCCAAAAGGGACATATCAAAGTTTCGCTCAAAGCAAGTCCAGTGGAAATTTCCTATGATGGCCAGGTCAACCGCTCGACAATCAAGCTGAGCATCGAAGACAGTGGATGTGGTATGGACAAAGATTTCCTTGGGAACAAAGTTTTTTCGCCCTTTTCTCAGGAGGATACAATGTCAGCAGGCAATGGACTGGGCCTGAACATCGTGCATCGGATAGTGTCTTCGTTGAACGGTGATATTCGAATCACCTCTCAGAAGGGTCTTGGAACTGATGTCATGATCACGGTTGACATTGACCATGCCCCGTACCCTTCTCCACGTCCTGCAATTTCCCAAATTTCTCCAACTTCCCTGAGTCAACAGAATTTCCGTGACTCTATCAAAGATCTCGTTCATGGAAAGACTGTTGGGATTCTGGTCCCAGGTTCTTCGGAAGGCGATTTGGCCCTTGGCCCCTCATTGAAGAAACTGTGCCAAGACTGGTTTTCGATGAAAGTCGACTTCATTGATTCCTTGCACACAAGACCCGGTCATTGCGATATTTTGATTTCCCTTCATGAAACATTGGATATAGGGAATCGTGAGATCTTGGCTTCTGTCTCAACCCCGATGGAACGATTCTCCTCACCCGTCATCATCATCTGCTCATCTCCGAGTACCGCACACTCCATGTATTTGGCCGCCCAGGAGCGAAGATATACTGGAATTCTGGAATTCATTAGCCAGCCATGTGGGCCGCGCAAGTTGGCAAAAGCACTGGAAATATGCTTTCAGCGGCAGCGGCAGCGCAAACAGGAACCAAATGCCTTTGAAACCTCTTTCTCTCAGGCATTGCGTACTGATTCAGTGGAACAACCCATGGCAATTGGAACGAACAAGTCGGTATTGACTCATACCGAACATGGGCCTCTGACACCGGAGGTCCTCGAACGCTCTTCTCTCCTCACGATCAGCCGTTCTTACCCTCAAGGCCATCTTCCATCACTCAATGAGTACCCATCTCAAGAAAATCAGAATGGTTCGTCGACTAGTATTCTACTTGTCGATGATAACGACATCAACATCCGACTTCTGGTAGCGTTCATGCGAAAGTTGAAATTCAACTACCTGATTGCGAGAAACGGACAAGAAGCTCTAGATTCTTTCAAAGAAAACGCAGATAAAATTAATGTCATCCTGATGGGTAAGTTCTCAAGATTTCAATTAACTGAGATAGATCATGATCAAATCCTAATTCTTTCACAGATATCTCAATGCCTGTCATGGATGGAATTGAAGCTACCCGAAGAATTCGCGAGCACGAGCAGACGTTGCAACGGTCTCAAGAACGTGCGATGATAGTTGCACTCACGGGTGTTGCTCAAGCTGATGTGGAACGCGATGCGATAGGATCTGGAATGGACACATTTTTGACCAAACCGGTCCGGTTGGATGTTCTCGAGCCAATAATCAGTCGAAAGATACACGAATCGCACTTGGCCTGAATAGCTATTCTAATTAATTAATAATGTACAAATAGATAGAAGGAAAAAAAAGTAAACGACATGATATCAAGACCTTCACTTCACTTCATTTAATATGATCAAGCTTTATCAACGTGGATCATTCTGCAGTATTATACTCTGAGGCTGGTGCTCGGCTTTGTAGGTACTAGTACTGCCTCCAACTACTATCATCAGCCCGAACACCAGCGGAAAGGCTATTGTGTTTCTACTCCGGTCTACGGTCCTGTGCGGGTAGAGCAGCAGGTGAGTGTCGCCGTCCGAGAGCCAGGAAGCAAAAATGGGTTATATATCTCGATTGTGACCTATCGCTTAAATGCAGAAAAGGTCACGAGCAACCAAAGTAAGGAACCATTGCGCCGTGTCATTGCATCGTCCAAACCGAGGGCTAGCCTCCGTCGGGTGGGTTGAAGTTGTAGCATGTCAGTCCAAGCTGATTAGAAATTCCATATGCCAAGCAAACTCCAGTTTATACCTCATGCGAGGAGCGATCATGGACGCTGGGAATACCGGCTTCGTATTTGTGGTCTTCTTCGCTCCGACGGTCTTCGCGGAGCAAGGGTCCATACTCCGGTTCGCTGTCCGAGTATACACCGCGTAGGTCTTGTGTGAAGGTTGTGTGTTGCTGATCATGGCTGTCTCTCCAGTTGAGATCTCCGACCGTGTTGACGTGGGCGGATCGCGCGCATGACGGGCACGTGAAATAAGTCGCCCCGATGTGATTCTTGATGCTGGGGAGGACGTAGCGGAAGAAGGAAGCCTTGGCAATGTTGTGGAAGTGAAGAAGACTAATAAAATCAGAAATTCCATTAGTATTGGGATAGATGATGGCTCGTTCACACGGGGGTGGATTTGGCTTACCCAAGCACCAGACAGGCCAAGTTGGAGTAGATCTGTGGAATACCCCGAGCCAGCTTGTAGGTATAGCCCCATTCTCTGATTTCATGTTTGGCCAGAATGTTCATGCCTCCGATGTAGGTTCCGATCAAAAGCGTGCCCATCGCGGTGTCGATGAGGATTTCCATGGGGAGGTGAGCGGCCTGTGGCTTTCGAGAGACTCGCCGCAAGTAGAGAATGCCGAGAGCGGCGAGGCCGGAGAGAGAGATCTGGAAAAGGGATTCATTAGCCAACAGTACAGTGCTTGGTCACGAGGGTCACCGGCAGGACTCAATGCGTACCAGGACAATCTGGAATATGGTCTCAGGGGATTTGTGAGACTTGAAGATGGCGGCTAGGGCCAGTGGCCAGACGCAAAGGGCGATGAGCACTTGCACCTTGCGAATGGTGATCATGGTGCCTTGCGAAGACGAACACATGGTGGAGGGAGTGAGAGGGGAGGAGAGGGGAGGAGAGGAGAGGAGAGGAGCAGTTTTTAATTCTCGAGAGTCGAGAGTCGAGAGTCGTGAAGGGTTGAGGTTGAGGTTGAGGTTGCGTGAGGTACGTGAGGCTTCCCCGGGCTGCGCCTCGCTGACGCGTGACTTCCTTTTTTTTTTTTGGTCACCTTTTTACTCCGTCCGACTGGCCCCCATTTGATTTCCCACTGGCCAAGATGGATTTACAAGACTGCCTGCCTGAATAATCATTCTGCCTGTGGAGATCGACCCCAATGACGCGCCCACAGTTAATTCGCGCCCTCTTATAGGTTGATCCATAGCGGTTGATCGTGGATCTTTGCCGGGATTGGCTCAGCTACGCCCGCAAAAGGAGTCTTGTCTGTTAAGTAGCCACGATGCTCCCGGGCAATGGTACATTTATCTATTTCTGGAATCACCTACAACTACCACTTGGAATGTATCCAAAAGCAACTAGTACGTGGGGGCCGGGCCGATGTTGATTTATACAGCAACCCTGGAGCATAACCAGTGAGTGCTTACTCGATTTATGAGTACGAGTACTCCGTACGAGATGCCAGACTGTGGACACTGCCCCACTAAAGGATTCATTCATTCCCTCGCACAGGGCAAGACTGTCTCCTTTTGAGGAAAAGGAGACCCTAAATAATGCAATTACGAGCATGGGAAAGAATATTCATCTCTACTCCGTACCCATTACTCCCATATCAAAACGCAGACAATAGACTAGTCTGAAGGGGATCCAAAAACCTCCATATGGATTCGATCCGGGGAAACTCCCATTGCCTCGAGACTCATACTCTGCGCCTTCATAAACGGCTGTGGCCCACAGATATAGTAGTTGGCATCCGGAATGACAGCTTCTTCTCTGACTTTGACCAGATCGAACCGACCGACATGGTCGTAGTCCACTCCCTGCTTATCGCGTTTTGTGGTCTCCTCGTAGAAGACGATGCGGCTGACGGACGGATGATCTGCAGTGATTCGGGCGAGATCCTGCTTCATGGCATGCACGTGACCGTTTCTTGCGGCGTGGATGAAAACGACCTGTCGTGCTTGGCCTTGTTGTTGAATTATAGTCTTCAGCATCGACATCATCGGAGTAAGACCCACGCCGCCACTAATCAATACAGCCGGGGAAGTGGCATTGACGTCGAGAACAAAGTCACCGAATGGCATGCTCACATCTAGCTCGGCGCCAACAGGAAGGGATTCGTGTAGTACATTGGAGATCCGACCGGCGGGTTTCGGGCCACTTGCGAATTCCTGCTTCACGGAAATCCGAAAGTGATCCGGACTTGGAGAGTCTGATAGACTATACTGTCGAGGCTGATATGATCCCAGCTCAGGAACAAAGCATCGAACGCTGAGGGCTTAGAGGGTGGAAGGGCTGGAAGGGCTTTTGTCAACTGGGGTAAGGTGGAAAGAGATAATCTCGTCGCTCTCCGAGACTTTATCGGAGATGAAGAATTTCCGCCATCCTTTCCATCCACCTGGGGTCTCTACACTTTGCTGGTAAATGTTGCTTTCAAAAGTGATGAAGATATCAGCAAGCTCTTGGTACGCTGCACCCCATGCATCAACTACCGGGGCAGTGACAGCTGGGCCCAGAACCTCCTTGATCGCGGCAAGCAGATGTTTGCCAACAATTGGATATTGATCGGCCGTGACACCTAAGCTCGCGTGTTTATGACCAATGCGAGACACGGCACCGGCGAGAGCCTCTGGGTGGTCAATGTTCACGGCATAAGCCCATACGGCATGGGCCAGAGCATTGAGCTCCCCCCCGGGTCACTTGATGGGCGGTATTAAATATATTCTTCAACTAGGGGTGGGCTTCGAGCATGCGCTTGTAAAAGAGTGTCGTGCTTTCGACCCCATGCTGTTCGAGGGCGGGAATCGTCGACTTCACGATCTGCTTTTGTTCTGTGGTGAGCCATTTGCGCGATAGGCTGATGGGAAGCCTTCGAGTAGGGGTGGGAAGCACTGCACGTCGAAGAGAGGTCTGGAAGAACATTGCAAGGGTCTGCAACGATGCTAGAAATCGTCTGAGAGACAAGGCGGAAAGCTCATGAGAGCTGACATGGACATCTGAGAGATGAAGTTTAACCCCGAGGACGCCGGAGTCATCCGCATTCCAAGGTTGGTATCTAGCTGCCCCGCAATGTCGAACGAGAGTTCAACCAGATTTCTCATATAATCTTGTACTCATGTACCTTGTATCTCTCGATCAAGTTAGAACTGAACGTGGTGATATTGGGCGTGGCTGCCCAGGTGGTACTAATGACAGCCGGATGCGGAGACCCATCATCCAATCTTGACATCATCAACACCACTCTCCGGGTAAGTGCAACAATTTGATTGGAGGGAAATATGTTAGTAAACATCCCGAAGTATTGAAAAAGTGGTGAGGTCTGTCAACACCGGCAGTTTACTTGGAGGGGGAAGTACTACCATTATTTGGTTATAAGAAGGATGATCCATTGAACCACATCCATTGGCCCACTTCCTCCAGACTCCAGCATTCCCCAATCGGCATTCCCAACCACTAAGAAATACCTAGGCCAACTGTAAGATCAACTCGTTAGCAACTAGCATTGACCATCTAAGACATCCTTGTTTCCTCCAAGTAATGCCAGTGGTACGCGGGTGTCCATCAAGTGCGAATGAGCAAAAAATCATCATGTTGAAATCCAATACCTTTATGCCTTAGGGTGCAATTGAAAAGGGCCAGAGGCATACATTCAAATTGTAGATACTAATGCAAGGGGTCGCGATTTGCTACTAATAGGAGTGCGGGGAGAGTTGTGACTAAGTAGGTTTGATAGTACTAGTGACCATACTGCTGCTTCGATATTACTTCTCAAATAATTGAGTAATGACAACCTGAAGAAAATACCTCCCATTTCATGGTCCATGAGAAAAAGAGCGAAAACCGGGAGTAAAACCCCTTTCGAGATCGATTCTAGTGCCAGAGGGCAAAATACTACTAGTAGCTACTCCAATATTAAGTGATATTCTATGCAGTACTCAGTGGTACTAGTAATCAATCTTGGAAGCGGTGCAGCTGTTTGCGAACTTTGCTATTCCAAGGCTCAACGAGAACTTGAATCTCGGATCCTGATAGATCCTTGAGTAGATATACTATAGTTGAGAATGATAAATCACCAAACTGGGTTGTTTCTTGATATTAGGATATCGTCCTCTCGGCTTCGGACTCGAGGACTCGGGGAATGCAGTCCGGCCCGAGAACATCGGGGTTGCCCTTTTAGGAATACACCGAGCTTGGAGATTTGCAACTATTCACGACAAGATACTCTTAAATATTGAACAAGTACGAATTTTCTCCCATTTCAAATGTTACTCATCTCCTAATTCATCATCCGGTGATGGTCGCACTTGAATCTTACTCCCATCACTACCGTTCTCCCAAACCACCTTAAATTCCACCTCGGAAGTCATCGAACCGACATGGCCGACCTTGAGAAATCGCAAAATCGTGACGCTGAGGGCATCTTAGCAAGGCCGACGTTTCCAGAAGGTGGTTTGAAAGGATGGCTAGCAGTTCTAGCATGCTGGTGCATCATGTTCAATACCTTTGGGTACATCAATGCTTTTGGGTACGCAGACACTAAAATACAAATAAAGACCATGCTGACAACTCGCTAGGATTTACGAGTCCTATTACCAGGCTACATTCTTGCAGGACCAAAGCGAGTCAAATATCGCTTGGATTGGCTCATTACAAGTCTTCTTCATGTTTTCAGGAGGGCTGGTGTCTGGTCCTATGATGGATCGATATGGCCCGAAAGTATGCGAATCCATGAAAAAAAGAAAAAGAACCATCAATTGGCTAGGGGGCTTTTGAATAGCTGATGAGTAGTATTTCTAGGTCATCATCATCCCGTGTTCGATGTTGTTCATCGTATCGGTCATGCTTACGAGCCTGTGTACGGAGTATTATCAATTCATGCTCGCACAAGGCGTTCTTGGGGGCCTAGCCAACGGATTGACATATACCCCGACAATCACTGCTGTGAACCAATACTTCTTCCGAAAACGACCACTTGCGATGGGAATTGCGTCCAGTGGGTCATCTTTGGCTGGCGTGATATTCCCAATCGCGCTCAACCAGATGTTGAACAAGAGTGACTTGGGGTTCGGCTGGTCTGTTCGAGTCCTGGGATTCTTGATGCTGGCGCTCAGCATTATCGCCTGCGCATCCGTATCTTCAAATGCGACTAGGAGAAAAGGTGGCCCGCTTCTTCTGTGGAAAGCGTGGAAGCAACCAGCATACACCTTGCAGATCACCGGGCTTTTCTTGGTCGTTTGGGCAATGTTTGTACCATTTTTCTACATTCCAGGATACGCCCAGTCGATCTCAATCGATGTCGACATGTCCAACTACCTGATCGCAATTTTGAATGCTGGCTCCTTGCTAGGTAGACTCTTGGGGGGCGCGGTGGCAAATCACCTCGGCCAGTTCAACACATTGGCCGGGGCATCAGTGATTTGTGGAGTACTGAATTTCTGCTGGCTGTCAATCAACTCCCTCGTAGGCATGATTGTATTTTCTATGCTTTTGGGATTTTTCTCCGGAACTATCATCGGACTCTTCCCCGCTACGATAGCAATGACTGCCATGAATCCGAATGAGATTGGATCTTACCTCGGCATGGGACTGGGGGTGTTGAGCATCTCCGGGCTTACGGGGACTCCGATTACGGGTGCCTTGATTAATAGTCATGGGTCCTACGACCCTGCAATCATCTTTGCTGGCGTATGCAGCATCGTGGGTGCCGTGATTGTTGCTGGAGGACGGGCTTATTCTGTCAAAAGCAACTAGATCGTGCGAGGCTAGCTTCATGAGCGGGCGGAATTAATTTATACTAATAATTTAGAGCCACTCGCTAAAGAATTTAGTTGTGAGACTAGTGTCGTTAGAAATATCAATCAGAAATCTCAAGTGTCCGAGGACATTTCCGTCTCGTGTTCCGGGGGGGGGGCGACTAGGCAGCCTCGTTCGTGTTGAGGTTTTACAATTTGGGAATAATACCCGAGTTCAAGTTCCACAATATAGGTTACCACTTATTACGAGTAGCTACTCCAATTGAATATATGAAGAGTAGGAAGGACTTCCTGATCATGCTCCTTTTAGGGAAAATTCCCCTTGTCGAACATCATGATCTAGGGTTGACAGCGCATGCTTCTGTGATGGCACATGGAGCAGCCCCAAATTCCCGAATCAAATATTAGGCACCATTGTATCCACAATGTTGCTGCCTTGGTGTCTCGTGTTCGATTGGGGCTGAATTTTTATTTAATTTTTTAAAATTAGCGATCTACCCTGGGACCCTTACTCCACGACCCCCCCTGTCTACGGGGCCAACCAGATTTGGCCAATTGCCCTTTAAGCTTTGCTGGCCCGTCCACATGGAAAGCTTGGCCCCTGGCCCTCTTTGGTCCTCTTTGGTCCTCCGTGGTCCTTTTACGGAGTAATCCTCTTCCAACCATAGCTGACCGAGGATGACCGCCACCGCCTAACTGGATTAGGGATACTCACTGGCATGGTGTGAGATTCTGGTTTATTCTGAGGGGTTTTCCCTCAAAATCTCGCAGCGGGGCGTGTCTAGCCAGAAAGGTGGAGCGGAGTCAGGCATTTATTTGCATACATTTGCTTCTTTAAGAAAACGGATTCTCTCCCCTGAAAGTCCACTTCGACTGACTTTCTTCTTTCTCCATATTGTAGGGCAGATCTTGATCTTTCCGCAAGGCTGTCTACAATTGCGCGTGGTTGTCAAACTTTGTTGTGGCCCTCTCTTTCTCTCTTTCTTCCCACACCTCTCGTTATGTGATTTCACTTGACTACTTTCTTCGATTCATTCTTTCATTCACATTCATCACTCACCTTCTCGCATTTTAATCCTCCACATTTCATACATTGAAACAAAATCTTCCGCAATCATGTCTCTCTTTGCTCGTTACCAACCGCCAATCAAGAACAAGCCCCTGGAGCCCATCTCTATCTTGGCACCATTCTCCGGACTCATCATTTCCATTGCGTTGGTGGTATTCTTCTTAATACGTTGGTACATTCTGGAAGGCTTCTTGATCAAATGGATTTATGGATCAACCTACACCGAACTCAACGAAGTCAATCGTCGTGGCTTCATTAACCACCATATCGCTGGTGCCACCAAACTTCTCATCCTCATTCTTGCGGTTCACCCATTTATCAATGTCACTTTCCTTGAGTCAACATTTAATACGCCATTTGCTCCTGGATCCAATGTCACTATGGGCGATGTCCTGATTATCGTGGCCCAAAGCCTCATCGGCATGTACATATTCGAACTGATCTACCGCGCCAAACTGTCTCCCGTCGCGGTGATGCACCACATTGGTACAATTCTCATCGGACAATCCGCCATTGCGATCAGCCTGAAGCTAGATCGGGAACCAGATGCCGATATTGAATTCATTCTATGCACAGTCTGGGGTATGTCGTTCCTCGATCACAATATCCTGCCGGGCAAAGTGCTAACCATTACTTCTAACATTAGGTGCCTTCGACATCGTGTCTGAATTTTTCCCTCACATCGCAATCATTCTCTACCGGGTCTATCCCAATCGCCACCACTTCCTCAGCAAAGTCTTTATCTTCTCATGCTTCTCGACGGCCACGGGTACATTTTGCGAGACAGTCGTGGCCATGTGGCTGTTTGGCAGTCTCTGGGATCGTTGGCAGATCGCCTTCAAGGTGGCCACGCCACTCCTACACATTGCCTTTTCCGCAACCCAGATCCACGGAAGTTTAGTGTTCTGGCGAATGTACAAGAGACAACAGCAACTTCACAGAGAAGAGGTCGAGTGCCCTGAAGCGAAAGAGGAAGAAAACATCGGGGTTGCTCTTGTACATTCTGCCGGTACCGATGAGACTGCTGTTCACTCCACCTCAACTCTCACAGTGGCCGAAGAGAAGTCAAAGTGTCCGTCATACAGTGAGCGGTCATGTTAGATGCTGTTTCTTTAAGCGACAAATGCATTTACCGGGTTTACTTCAATGCGATTTTGTTTTCGGGTTTTATTTCGGGCGTCACACATGCATGTTTGTAAGATCGGGGTTCGGAGTGGATCTTTATTTCTTTCTATCTATTCATAATTGAGCCTTCTGTACAAAAAGGATGACAATACAACTAAACCATTATGTGTTAAGAAGAACCGTACTAGTACCTGTGCTACTGTGCTCTGGCTACGGACTTAAGTCTCCGATCCGGACTGGCTTGGACCCGCCACTTGCTTGGCCCTCCATTTCTCCGACTTCACCTGCATCAACATCGCCCCCCCCACAGTCACCAGTCGCTTCAATACTCCAGAGATCGTGTCTACCATTTCCAATTTTACCGACCTTAATCCCCCTGCATAATGGCTTCCACCGAGAAACGCGAAGACATGATCTCCATCGCCCGGGACCTGTCTGGGGTCCCCATGTGCGACGACTACGAGAAGATGATATCGGGAATGCTGTGCGTTACTCTACTCTTTTAACCTACAGAAATAGGGTTAATATGCCTCATCAAACTCATTTCCTTCTACATGTGTTATGTCTCTGGAATTATTAGGCAGACATGTTCGGCTAACTTGACCAAGGTACAACCCGACTCTACCCCGCCTTGTGGAGGCGCGCCATCGATGTCGCATCCTGACCAACGACTACAACAACTTAGATCCACGGAGCGTGCCAGCGGAGAAAATACAAGAAGTTCGATTCGAGTTGCTGCAGAAACTTGTCGGTCGCGTTGGCGAGGGGACTTTTGTTGAGCCGCCTTTTCGCCCGGATTATGGCTGCAATGTCGTCATTGGCCGGGACTGTTTCATCAATTGGAAGTGAGTGCTAGCTACTATTTGAATGTCCGAGCCACGAATTCCATACAAGTATTCTAACGAGAGCAGCATGACCATTCTTGACACCTCATTGGTGATTATCGGTGATCGCGTCCAGATCGCCAGTGACGTGGGCATATACTCTGCAACCCATGAGACTAGCGTGTTGTCCAGACGTAAATTCGTCGAGTATGGACACCCGATCATCATTGGAAATGACTGCTGGATAGGTGGAAGTGTAGTCATCCTTCCTGGTGTGACGATCGGCGAGGGCTGCACCATTGGTGCTGGGTCTGTTGTGACAAAGGATATTCCTCCCTTCTCGGTAGCAGTGGGGAGCCCCTGCAAAGTGCGAAAAACCATCCAGTCCGCGGAGGAGGAAGAGAAAGACCCCAATAACCCATATAGAAATATTTCTCGCGAGCTGTGAAAGCGAACTTGAAGGGGAGGAGCAAGATTATTGTTCATTCTAGGATAAAATTAGACGACATTTCATATCTATAGAATGCTAGAGTTCCAAGGATATTGTGATATGACTAGTGGGCATGGAAGCAGGTCAGCTAGTATTATTGTACATTCAAGCTACGTCACCTTACTAGTAGTGGAACGTTGAATTGAACTTAATTGATCGAACTAAGCATGTCAAACTTAAGTGGTTGTTTGTCGACTAGAGAATAATGATAAAGCGATAGTTACCTTTCAATCCCGACCTTCATGGCGCCTTTTCCTTCTCCTCATGCTGCGAAGAAACCCGTTGCAATGATACCATGAAATCCTCCCAAGACCTCTCGCGGCGTCGGCCCCCTGGCAGGCGACCGTGCATGAGATTGTCAAACGTTTTCGATTTATGTAGAGTTGTATACACCAGGCTGCATATGAGAGTCACACCGAGGGAGAAGACGTACACTCGAACGACAGTGACCACGTGTGTGTTTCTGTTGACAAAAGCGCCGAATATAACCATCAACGTGGCGGCGATGTCGACTGCTAGCACAGCACCGACTAACTGGATTGATGGCCTGCTTCTCCAGTCCCAGAAACCTCCATGGAGCCGCGTGATAAAAATTAGCCAGTTCTGTGTAAGTGCAATCTCGAGAAACAGAATTGGATCACGAGCTCCGTAGTTCTGAGCAACACCTCCATCCTCGCCACGAACGATCATGGTGCCGAATGCAGTCCAGGATCCTGCAGCCAAAACTCCTCCTAAGATCACGGCAATGCCCCACAACTTCGGTTGATTCCATTTGACAGGTTCAGGGGCATACGGGGCGTTATCATATGCGATAGCCAGTGTGGCAATGTCGGCGAATATGGCTAGCAGAACCACCAGGCGCAGATCCAGCACTTCATTCCTGATCACGATCCACAACCCGAAGAACCACATCAGATGTTGAGAAAGCGCAATGCGATAGATCACATATGCGTACATGCGGTGAAAGATTTGACGGGATGTTTTCAGTGCATCGATAATTGCAGAAAGACCAGGAGCCACAAATACGATATCGGCGGCAGATCGAGCAGCGTCCGAAGCGCCTTCGACGGCAATACCGGTGTCGGCCTGCTTCAGGGATGGAGCATCATTGACACCGTCACCAGTCATGGCCACTAGGTATCCTCTGCTTTGGAGAATCTGCACAACACTGAATTTGTGCTGAGGATAGACCTCCGCGAATCCATCGGCGTTTTCAACAAAATCATTGACCTCCGAACCAGACATCTCGCCCGCGCCGGTGACTCCAAGGCGTTCTGCATTGTAAATATTGGTGCCAAGACCAAGCTGTCGCGCTGTTTCTTTTGCGATTCCCACGGCATCGCCTGTCAGCATTTTGATCTGAAGACCCAGTCTCTTGGCCTCTCGAATAGTGTTCGCAGTGTCATGACGAGGGGGGGTCATAACAAGGCATAATGCCGAGAATCTCCCATGGCTCAGATCCACGTTTGCGAGCAACCCCGAGTGCTCGAAATCCACGAGTTGCAAACTCCGCAACTTTGGCGAGGTAAGCAGACTCGACATTTTCAGGAATGGGATGGTTCTCTTTGACTGTTTGCAGAACCTGGATTGGGGCCCCTTTGACACAAATCATCTTTTCACCCTCCTGAGATTCAACAACTGCAGTCACCTTCTTTGCGACAGGATCAAATGGATGGAATTCCAGCACGTGGAATGTCGGTAGGAGTTTCTTCGCAAGCGGGTATTTCCTTAAACTCTTGATGAACACGCGGTCGATGGCGTCGATACCAGTCTTTTTGCGGGTGGCAGCGAGGCAAGCTGTCACCATGAGCTCGTCGCTGGTGATTCCGGGGCTTGTGAAGGGATCACCCAATTTCAGTCGATTGCGAGTGAGAGTACCGGTTTTGTCGGAGCATAAAATCTGAACACCTGCTAAGGACTCGATGGCCGAGAGCTTCTGAACAATGGCCGACTTCTTTGCTAAATAGGATGCGCCGACAGCCATAGTGGTCGTGACGACTGCTGGGAGGCCAACCGGCACTCCGACGATGGTGATGGCTAGAGTATATTCCAAAATGTCGATAATGGGATCCGACCGATAGTATGCTGAGACCCAGACGATGAACAAGGTTAGACAGACGAGAATCAAAAGCACCATGCTGATTCCATTGAGAACCAGAGTGAAGTGTCCCACGCCATTGGCCTGGGTCACCAAGCCGGCCGCCTTTCCCACGAAGGTCTTGTCCCCTGTCCTGGTAACAATCAAAGCAGCCTCTCCACGCTTGATTGCCGAAGATGCCCATACCTTTTCTCCGGTAGTTTTGTCCACCGCAAGCGATTCCCCGGTGATAGAGGATTGGTCTATCTGCAAATGGGCAGCGGGGGAAACGATAAAGCCATCTCCGGCAACAATTGTACCCTAAGTAGCAATTGGTCAGTAATTCATCTAATGCTGCGAGTCTGCGAATGGAATGAGTAAACTTACATCATCAACCAATATCACATCACCGGGCACGACTTCCTCGGCCCTGATCTCGAACTTGTGTCCATTTCGAATGACGGTGGCTTTCAGAGCGAGTGTTTCTTTCAGGCTATCGACAATGTTCCCGGCATGATATTCTTGGATGAATCCGACACAGGCGTTCAATAACAGGAGACCCAAGATGACACCGAAGTCGATCCAATCTTGAAGTCCGGCGGCTAAGATGGCTGCCACCTCCATGACAAACTGAACGGGTCCCACAAATAAGCCAAGAAATTTGAGAAGGTGCCGCTTTTTTTGCTCCTTCATGCGATTCCAGCCGTGCTTGCGACGTGCGGCCAGCACTTCGGCATCTGTCAGGCCGTGCTCAGGATCGGTGTCGAATGGGCATGGGGCTGTAGTATCATCATCTTTGAAGGTTTCGGTTCCAGTATAGATGCTTAGAACATCTGGCTCCTTTTCTCCCCCGTCTTGTAACTCGAGTTCTTGTATCAAAAGGTCGAGACTTGCTGCGTCCGCGTCTTTGGATCGACCAGCGATCTGCTTTTCCCGAGCGATGGCATCCTGGGGATCGCTCGTGAGAGAGACATTGGTGGATTCGGAATGGTGCTTCATATTATAAAATATTCCGAACAAGAATATTGAGCCGAATAAAGTGGTTGAAGTTAAGGTGAAAAGAAATAGAAGGGATGTCCGAGAGACGAAGGTGAGTGTGTAGGTGAGAGGGTGAGTGAAAGGTGAGAAATGGTTGAAGAGGGAAAAGGCAGTCCCAGGGAGTCTCAGCGTTGCCAGGTGATTTCAGGTGATTTCAGGTGATTTCAGGTGATTTCAGGTGACTTCAGGTAGAGAAGGTAGCTAGGAAGGTGCGACCCAATGTCAATGTGAGTATACTTCCATTTAGGGCAGGTGCGTATTTACCGCCTCAGGCAGAAATATGACTAAGCACTGCCAACGTCACTGTCGTTCATCGCGGATCACGGATCGCGGATCGCGGTTCATGGTTCAAAGATCTGCCTGACAAAAGAGATACTTCGCTAGGCAGAGATGAACCGAGATATTCCAGGTTTCTACTACGGTCAGTGCTTTTGGTCGCCTCGCTCACTGTATACATCGTACAGTGGCTGCGTCAATGAAACCATCTCTATCTTGACTAACCAGTTGTCCACAGATGCCGAAAAAAAGAAGTATTTCCAGATCCAGGCCAATCATGTCGCCCCACCAGGGGCACAATACTCCAAGGACTCTGTCAAGAGGAAGCGCAATGACCAAGTGGTGAGCTCGCCTCTGCCTCGAGCGAGAGCCTCAGTACTAATCCTCGGCAGAAACACCACAAACGCGTTCAGCTGAACCAGCGAATAGCGAAGGAGAAAGTTCGCAAGTCTCGCTTTCTTAAGCATCCACTAATCAACAACGAGCGAGAAATTGGCTCCCGTCTTCTTCCGCCTGCTCATCAACATGAAAAGCAAGCTCGCATCTATGTTAGCCAATTCCATCGGAAAACGTTGCACCGATTTGAGCCTTGGCCAGATTATTCAATCCGGCAGGTTTTGCGAAACCCACGATCTGGGATCCTGATCGCAAGTGAGTATTGCTGCTAGGTTAAACTGGGTGTTCTCTCAATTTTGTAACTCCTTCTCTCAAACAGGTGGTCATCGCGGCGGTGAGTCCTCGGTATCGTGAGTCTCATTACTATATACCCCTCATGACCTCATGCTCTTTCTAAATGCCAAAAGGGTCTGCTTCCCGGATTTTGAGGAGAAACGATGGACATACAATCGCACGATGGAACGAGTCCTCCTCAAGGAGGCATATCGGGTATGGGACTTCCTGCAATGCAAACACATCAATTGCTCACCATAGCTTTAGCTGTCCTCGATCTCATTAAGCCATACGGGCTATCTTTTGTATGGCAAGAATTCCGCGGCCATCCCTGGCTCAACTAACATCTCTCAGGGCCACGATGGATAGCGGTCCGGAAGGTGACTCATTCCTGTCTCCGCGAATGCTTCCTGGGCCAGACGACCAGGGAGATTATCAATGGCCTTCTTTTTGTAAGTCCATAACTTCGACAAAATTAACCTTTACACCCAAAGCTGATTGAACTGCAGTTTCTCATCCCATTCGCATCCGAACAACTCCCTCATTATGGTGCTCCGCCGCCTGCCCGATCGGAGATAAAGCCCTCTTCGCCATCGGGACCTCAAACGGCCTACATACACTCGAAGGCTTCGGCAGCCATTGGACAGTCTCGCAAAAGCCATTTCCCAATGATAGCCATGCTCGAAAACATGGTAGCCAACAAGGATTTCGCGAACACGGCAACTCATCCCATGCCAGCGTCAGCTCGGTGGAGTGGCTCAATCCAGATGTTATCGCATCTGGAATGCGCAGCTCTACCATATTTCTACATGATCTCCGTAGCGGAGGCAGCGCAGCGCGATTGCAGTATCCGCACTCGGTTACAAAAATCCGCAAGGTCGATCCGTACCGAATTTTGGCCTCGGGGTACAACTCAGTAAGACTTTTCCCAATGAAAATTTCCATTTTTTTTTGCATTCAATATGTTTGGTAAATTCTAACTGCATCTCAGCTTCAAATGTTTGATATCCGATTTGCGCCGAATGGTCTTCAACGCAAGCCAAAACCGACTTCACCCTCGCACACCTCCACACGCCCATACATAACATTCCCAGACTACTCCCCCGAGATAATCTCCGACTTCGATGTGAGCCCCGAGTTAGGTCTTCTAGCTAGTGGTATCTATTCCCCGCCCCATATTCTCTTGTCATGATCCTATTAACACGTCCATTCATCTCAGCCTCGGACGATCGAAAAGTTCAGCTTTTCTCGCTTCAAACCGGCGAGCTGGTTCCATCGCCAATATCCCAATACCAATACCCTCACCCCATCAATTGTGTGTCCTTCGAGAGTAGCGAGGGCGATGTTGGTATGGGTGGACCTCAAACTCCCAGTTTGTTGGTATCTTCGAAGGCGACGGTCGATCAGTGGGCTTGGTGATTAAATCTTGTTTGAAATATAATATCCATCTCATTTTTGCAAAGACTGCCTTGGCTCTTCGCGTCATGTATATAAACCCATACCAACAGCCACTGTGACTAGCGACAATATCGCCAAGCAAATCAGCGAGTCCGTCGCAAATCTCATAGACGCACCCCCAGCAGGCTGGCTCATGGAGGTAGCGGTTGTAGCCGAACTTGTTTGCGAAGAGCTACCCTGCTTCACATTCAGCCTGAAGTATTTGTCGTGCATCCCAACCACGTTGCCTGCCGGTGTATATTCGCACACGACATACCATCCCTGTGCTCGCGTACTGCCGTCCGGCTCTCTGGCAACTAGATGGTTCTCATCACCATCCATCTCATCGCCATCCTCGACATTGTCTCGCTTTCCGTTCTTTTTACGAGACAGACCGCAGTTGATAGCAGCACATCCCACCTCAGTTGTTTTTTTCCACACAAGCTGCGTAAAATGGCCCGTTGCTTCCGTGAAACCGGTGGGTTTATCGAAATCGTACATCTTGCGCTCATCACCCCATGCCTCTACGGCCGCTGATGCGTTCGGATATCCGAAAGCTAAATTCTCGCCGTACGGTCCGTCCTGTATCGCGGCTGTTAGGATGTGATTTGTTCTCTGCGGATAGCTCATTCACCTATACGTACGGAATGCTTCCAAATACAGCTCTCTGCCCATTTCTGAGCATATTCAGTTAATGTTTTGTTCCATACCAAGGGAGAGGCATCGTGTGTGCGGCGATACTCGTTGGTGACCTTCATCACCGTATCCTGAAAGTCATCGACTGAGGTATAGGATGCTGGAGTCGGGACGGTGGGTGTTGCGTAGACGGTTTTCACTGCTTCAACTGTAGTCTTGGCTGTGATGTAGACGGTCTCTTGGGCGCCTACAGCCAGCATCGAGCTGGCTATGGTTACTAGGAAGAGCCAGACTGACAGCGCGCGAGATAAGGCGGGCATCGTTGCGGTGATGACCGAATGTCGTTTCTTCGTGGATAATTTCGAGATTATCTGCAGTAGTCCGATCACTGCATACTTCTGTTGAGTCGGAGATGGAAATGATATAACAGGGTGAAAGAAAGAAAGGGTCTTTGGCAAGTTTCAAAGCGAATGTGTGTCAGGTTACAGATCCGGAATCGGACCGTCGTCGGGGCCTGGCTAGGAAATGCACGCCATAGACATCCAAGGTACCATCGAAAACATACGTTCTCTCCTGGAGATTGTGGAAACCATGGAACCTGTAGATCCAGAGGTACATGGACATGGGGTTTGAAGATGGGGTGGGATCGGCGTCACCAATCGATTCTGTGGTTAGCCCTGGCCCTGGCCCTGTTCCTGAAGAATACGGGGCATATCGACGCGACTGACGAATAGACATCCGGCTTTTAGCTCTGCACCTGCAGCTGTTTGGCTTTTGCACTTCTCCGGGCCGATTGTTGGTTCGGGAGGGTTGGCGATCGTTTCAAAGTGGAGCCCCCGCGTTCCACTAGCCGCCGTTGACGTCAGGACGGCTAAATGCGACGTTGCGGATGAGTCGGAGCAACAACGCAGCAGTGGAAAATCAACGACAAAGATTAGGCAGAATCAGTTAGTCTTTGGCTAGGTATAGGGTTCCATCAACTACCAGCCCGAGAGATTTCAAGGGCCCTCCTTCTTAGCGATTAAATTTTATAGAGATAAAGTAATATATGCGCTAGCAGCCACGGCTCCGAGGTTTGTATTCCTTGATCTAGTAGTCTCCTGCAGTGATATATATCTGCAGCTGTCTATACATTCATTTGTGCAAGTCGTAGTATGTTACATAACACTGCAGCCAATGCCATACATAGCTCGTTCCACATCACGCTTTACCTGGTACCAATCGGCCCGGCGTTCCGCAAACTCGTACACTTCTTCCACGCGCCATATCCCGTAGAAACGGTCGGCATCAGCGATGACAGTTGCCAGTTCTTTCGCGTCGGATGGATCGATCAGGTAAATCTGGGCAAGCTCTCGGAATGCCTTGAAATAGAGGAGGAGTTCGGTGTTCCGCAAGGTCTGAACGAACTTGAAATAGTGATTCATGTCGCTAGAAAGGAATTAGCAATGCGATGAGCTAAAAATAAGCTGACATCATTTGAAACATACCTGATGAGCTTCAAAGAGCCCTCGACGCTGATCCGTTGGCGCTTGATATGCTTGCACAAAGCCGTGAACAAGCGCAATCCAACTTCCTGGTTGAAGACATCCAATGTGCTCTTGTCGGTACTTCCGACCAGCATCTGCGTATGTGAAGAAACCACGTCCACAATCGATGAGGCCGCCGGGCTGATACTGATGTCCATAGTCTGTCGGTGAGGGTCCGAGGAGACACCAGGGTTGAAATCTGTTGCCATTTGCCGCGTAGCAAGAATGTAGTCCACTTCCTCCATCAAGACATCAATACCCTTGTTGAGCCCAGCCGCTACCCGCTCGTCCAACATCTGTTCAAACCTCTTCTTCTCCTTGTTCGCTGGGTCCAAGAAGTCATTGCGATCAGTGAGACTTGTACCGATCAATTCCTGTTCATAGAATACATCCACCATCTGCAGGATCAGATCACCCACGTTCACCAACTCCAAAAAGGTCACCAAGGGCTCGACTCCTGATTGATCACGATCCTCGTGTTCACGTGGCCTATAATTGGACAAATGGTCCACAGCCTTGTCAAATCCAATAATCACATGGCTATGTCCCAATATGCGCAGCAGTGCAACAAAGATTGCTTGACATTGCCGCTTCGCGGCTGCACCGAATTCCCCGCCGAGTCGTACAAACTGTGCGGCTCTCTCCAGGCTTGATTTGGCAGAGTGGACGAGACCCAATGCAATCTCGATACTGAACAAAGATCGAATGCCTTCCATCTTTGACTTCATGATGGCTGCCTTGGCTGCAAGTTCTGTGGTTGGGACTTCTTCCACTGGCATCTGTGTGGGTGATGAAATTGTAGAAAATCGATTGGGACTCTTTGGCGCCGTGATATTACCATTCTCTTCGGAATCGGATTTGGGTTCTTCGGTGGTTTTTGAAAAGCTGGGTAGAATATTGACAGGCATCATGATCACTTTCTTGAATGAAGTCAGGAAATCCCGCTTATCAGCTTGGCGATTGATATTGGACATCAAGAATGATTCAGTTGAAGCTGCTTGTTCAGATAGTTGACGATCCCAGTCTGTCACAGTGGCCTCGGATCGCTTTCGGAAGAAGTCGAGCTCTTCTGCTAGGTAAAGATCGATGTGTGGTTCATAAATTCTGGCAACCACTGTGTCCAAATAGTGGTCAAAATTCTCGCCGGAGTTGCGGATTGGCAGCAAGGACTCGGATAAATTCATGCATTGTATGAAGGTGATCGAAATTGCCGTTAAATAGGACTCCATGTTAGTCCGGTGCAGCTCGTCAAATATAGCTGTCAAGAAGGGATAGAGAACGTCTTGTCCAACTTTCTCCATGAATCGCCGTGCAACATCTAGCTCGGGAGGGAATACCCGATTCATGATGGAAATTTCCTCGTTATATCCAACGCTCAACCGAGTGAAGAAGGCTTGGGTGTGCTGTAGTTTCACCTCCCCAGTCGATCCATCAATGCAGTCGGAAAGCGTACCCAGCTCGGACTTTCGTGTGACTAAGTGGTTATGGTGTATGAAGAGCTCGACGGCAGACTGGCCACCGTTGAGAATCCACAAAATGTTGGCGTACTTCCGCATGACCCCGTCGATATCACCTGTTTCATATCCATTTCGGAACTCATTCAATGCAGCAGTTTCAAACATAGAGATCGTGTTCTCCAAGCGTTCTCCTCGTTCTTGCCATCCATTGGTCATGTCGGATTTCGCAAATGCCAGCAGTTGCGATAGTACTTTAGCTTGTGCCTGTGGATCTTTGTGTTTTGTGAAAACCAAGTTCTCGGTCGAGGGTCCATTCGCCCCAATGTCGTGGTAAAAGGGCGCCAAGGCGGCATGGATCTTGCCATACTCCTGACGAGCCTCTCCTCGAATCGATCTGGCATTCTTTATAACCGACAGAACGGGATCCTCATCATCCATCTCCAGCATGTTGGTTTGTGGCGCGACCTTCCCCAGTTCAATCTTGTCGAACCCGTCTGACAACTTATTCACGCTGGTGGTGGTGGTGGGCTTCTCCAATGCAATGGTGGGAATCGCACTCCTGACTTCTTCTGCGATGTCCTTTTGTTTGGCAGTTTCTAAATCAGCCACGGTACCAAAGACGGTCTCGGCATGTTTCCGCGCATCCGTCTCGTCCCAACATCCAATTCGCTTGAGCTTTTGTACCCATCGAGTGTCGTCATACGCCATTTCGTGGAGGAGTCTGCAGGACCGCGCTGCTTGAATGAGTTCTACCGGATCAAGGTATTCGATAATTGACGACATTATCTCTCAGGAAATGTCAGCCATTTGCTCTCGCGGGCTAAGAAGGGAAGGGTTGGGTTGGGCTGGGCTCGCTGGTATGACGCACCCGCTGGTAGTGAGCCCCGAGAGATATCTTCCATTGACGCCATGCGAAGTGATGCCAGCACATCTCTGCGCGGCGGTCGAGCTGGCGCTGACCCTTTCTTCCCATTTGGCGGCATTTTGGGTTTGTGGAATCTTCATCGGGCAGTTCCAGCTGTGTTGGGTCTGCGGGGAGTAGCTGGCCGATGTGGGGGCGAGGGTCGAGGTCACTCAGCTCATGCGATCTCGCTAAGGGTGGAAAGGGCACAAAGCCAGACGAACGAGAAACGACAAGCCGAAAGTGAAGAGGGTTGTGCAATAGCTCAACGCTCTCAAAGCACATGAACCCGAAATGATCGCCTCTGGTGCAAGCGGCGATCAGCGCGCCAGGGTCCGCACACACCGCCTCCTCTTGTTGCGGCAGAATTGGCTAGGCGCAACAGATATGAGGGAAGCATAGTTTCTTCACTGGGAGGATGTTGCCATCGTGTGGTATCCGTCGATATGGCATTTTGCAAAGATGCTGGATGATGCGGACTACACCCGTCTTGACCTGGAATTTAAGACTGGATATGCTGCACTGAAGTCAAGATGGTGCACGAGAAATAAAAGATCAATGTACTCTGATATCTCCCTGGTCAGACTTCGGAGGAGACTTAGACTTAGCTAAAGGAGAGCTATTTTCGGTACATTTTTTGGAGTCGCTGTGGAAACGAGGGGGACAACTTGAACTGTATAAGTCGGGCGTCAACATTAAGACCAGTGGGCGTTTAAGGGGCGGCTGGACGTCTAAAATTACGGGTGGAAAAACCTGGCTGGCCTTGAAGCGGTTATTTTCGGTATTAATCCCATACTATGTCCTCATATTCTATGTATAAATATATCTTCAAATTGGGCGTGAAGAATGCCGGTGGTCTTTAAAAATTTGCACTAGTAGGGCTATTGTTACAACCTGCCTAGAAATTTCCCCATATTCCAAGGTGTCTAGCTCTAAAGATCATGATAGTACTTGGCAGAGTGGGAGCACAGGAAGTATTAATTGATTTTATCTACTAGTATGCATTTGCCGCAGAACATAAATAATTTTATTGAAGAGTCTTAGAACGATAATTTGTACGTGTAACTTTGGAATTGTACAGCTCGAACTATATTACTCCAAGTCCTTCTCCTGATTGAAAAAGACTGGTGTTTTCGGCAGAGAAAATGAAGGCAAGATCTGCTAGTCCTTCGATGTTCAGGTCGCGAAAAGCCTCCTGATTTTCAAGATCGTGGATGGTCCATGAATCTGTTCTCTCGTAGACGTCGCTGGGACCAGAAAGCTCTGCATTCTGGGATGGCTGGCCGTTAAGATTAGAGCCTATTGTGTGAAAATCTTCGCAGGATACGACCACATCTCCTGGGACAGGTACAGTGGCCTGGATTCCATCCGTATTGACATTGGAAGAGTTGCAAAATGTCGCGACTGGCCTTTTATGTAATGCTTGGACCCCATTTGTGAGTGGCAATGTCCGGCTTTCTTCTTCGACCAACTTCATTGCCTCGTCTTGAAGCTCTGTCAGAACGACGACATACCGCTGTGCATAGGTTCTGTCTGCAGAGCAAGACGATAGGTCACGTAGACCCTGTTGTGCTAGATCTAGGTACGATTTCCAGACATCGGGTGGTTTGGAGCGACTCTGTATGACGTAAAGATACAGTGTTACGAGTGCAGAGAAAACATAGTAATGAGTGAACTGCAGACAGATTAGCTAAAGTCTCATATCGTAAGTGAAAATATACTAGTACATGCCCAAAATGCAGAATACATCTGCTGTTTTTCGATAAGATCTCTCAGCTTTGTGACAATGGTGGTAGCTGCATCTAGACATCTCTGTACACCATATTGTAAGATTGGCTGAAGTGCATCGCCCTGGTGAGCCTTGGATGGAGAAGGCTTTATCAGCAGAGCCTTTCGATGAAGCAGGATAATGGCTTGCGAATAAGCTAGTTGGAGGACCGTATGTTGTCGGCGGAATAATGGCATTAGCATGTCAGTATTGGTAATACCAAGAAAATCACTCAGGTCATCCCGCCATTGGATTAGTCTATTGTCGTAGGATTGTGTCACCTCTTCTTGTCTTTTAGGCGACAGACGCTTCAAGCTGTATAAGTCGCGGAGAATGCCACCGATTATTTTTAAGAGCCTTCGGATGTTCAGCAGAGATGGGTAAAGCGGTGCAGATGGCTCACTTTGCGTGGTAGATGGATGCCCTTGTAAGGCTTTGTTCTTCTCCAGCCCGAGGTAATATGTTCGTCGGCGTAATTTGCCAATCGTCCACACATAGGGGTAGCTCCTTGACAGTTATTAGCCTCTATTCATGAAGAGAGAAGAAGTTCATATCAGCGTGGATCTAAACTCCTACCTGGTCAATGTCTTCCTCATGAAAGCTTCGGGGTCGACCTAGGCCGACGCCGAGATAGCTATCAAGGGTATATGCACTCCAGAAGACTCGTTTTCTACACTCTTGTTCAATGAAATCTGTTTCAAAATTTGCATCTCGTTTATGACGGCGGTGCAGTCCGATGGCTAGGACAAGATTTGCGACAGTTCCAAACAAACTCCAAGCACTGTTCACTCTGGACTGTGATAAAAGATGAAAACATTGAACGAGTCTTGCTTGAATGCCCGTGAGACGTATTCCCCCAGACTCTAACTGGAGGTGGTGTTCTGATGCTGCGAAGAATACGGTACTGAATATCTGTTAGCATGTATCTGGCCGGAATGGTGATCATCTACATACCTATTGACAACGTCAGGGGAGCCCAGATCTTGATTGGAGCTGTACTGATTAGCTACAGCTAGGACCCCAAGTATGATGGCTCGTTTCTCATGTCCACCAGGGGCAAGGGGTCCAGGATTTTTCACACTGTGATAAAATTCATCACACCATTTTTCCACTGTCGGCTGATGTAGATATCTATGGGTTGGAGAGGCAAAATCGAAGTAGCGGCGAACTAACGATTGGGCTGCTGTTTGACTGGGCAAAATCAAAAAGTAAGGATCATAATGGGGGACAGGGGAGTCCGCGAAGTTGAACATGCAAGGCTGATGTGCCTTTGAGGCAGAGGGACCAGCGTGCCGGAGCCTTTTCAAAGCACGCGCCAGAAACGACACTCCGGAGGCAGGCCCCACGTAATGCCCTTCTTGATCCGTGTGGGCTGGCTCAGGCGAATTTCGAGAAGAGCGTCCGATATCCCGAGTGAACGGCTGCAGCTGCCCATCAGGCAATAGAGCTTCACTACCCATATTTGTGTGGATTGTATCGTTGCACTGCAGGTTTTGAGACGCGCTCTGATCGGGTCGATCTGAGTATTCTTGATCGGGCGAGCAATGTAGATCATTGTTGCGTGAAGCGACTATTTCGGCAATTGGGGATCGCGAACTATCATCGGGTTGTGATATAGTCGCCGGGCTAGCCTGACCTCTGCTTTTGTGACTCCCGAGATCTGAATTGATGTGGTCGGTCGATGCCACAGAGACGTCGCTGAATTTGCCTCTCTTGTATTCGGACATGAATGTACAGTCTCGTTTGCCTTGCGCACATAAAGCACAAGGCTGGGCCCCAGTGCATCTGAGCTTTTTTCTTGAAGCAGTTAGCTCGAGGTATGAGAAAGGGGCTGAAACATTGTCCGTCTGGAGATCTTCGCTAACGCGAACCTACCTCTTACAGAAGTCGCATGCACGAGTCACTCTCACTCTCGCGCCATCACGACGCCGCCTCTTGACCGCTGGTTGTTCTTCCACTGTAATCTCGGCGGCTGCAGTCTTTCTAGTGAAAGACATGGAGGATTATATGCGGGGTAACGCGAGTGACGTGTTAACTACAGCAGATAATTGAAGGTGGCAGAGATGCTGGGGTTGACAGGTCGAAGCGCGCCCTGTGCCTGTTGGAGAGAGGCGACCACGTGATTCTTCATTTCCTCACAAAGCATTTTCTATTTTCATTTTCTTGTTTAGATAATTCAATATTCTATTAGATGGGTTCCGTAGGTAAATTAAATCATGAAACAATGACGGCCTTCCAAACCAAAACATCACAGTTGGCTCCCAGTTCGATCTAGGCGTGCAGTCTTGCCCATACTTAGCCAATTCAATAATTCTTAATTGTTTTTTTTTTCGGTTGATGAGCTAGGTGATACAGATTTTACCAGTTTACTCGAACTGTGTCTAGCTCCCCGGAAATGCCCCACGAGCCGACCCCGCATTACCGGAAATGCCATCCACAACCGATTGTGGGTTATCCGAGCCTCACTATGATTTGCCGGAGAGAAATCTCCAATAGCCACAACTTTTACAAAATAACACTTTGAAATAGGTCATCCTTTACGAATATCCGAGGTCATGCATTTTTGTCACTGATTTCTCATGGTTTTCCGGCGGGGCCTGCCTCATGTAGGGAATACATGGGAGCTGGTTCGTGATACCCACACTACTGACGGCACTGGTGGTTAAACGATAACCAAAGAACTGATCCAAAAGTTCAAAGCAGCCGAGAGAAACTCCTTCAGTGGCGGGTGGGCTCGGCAATCAATCGAACTTTCGAACTTGAAGCATATAACTATCAACAGGTTGCACTTTCGGCGTTTTATTATCCCATCCCTTGGTATGAATTCCACACATTGAATCTCAGGATATACTCAACGGATTCAAACCACACATATCACCATTGATAGCCCCCAGGGCTGAACAAATCCTTTTTTTCCACTGGCCGATAGTAAGCCTCACAGCATATTCGGACATTCCATGTCAGTTTCATTATCAAAGATCGACTACAACTCCTCGCGTACCCAGAAGCCAGGAGCCAATTTTGAACCAACGCGCGCCTTGACATACGATAAAAAAATCTTTAGCTACGCAGCATGCCTCACGCCGGTGCTGAAACGGGCTTTGCCCAGAATGAGCCGTCTGTGTCGGCTCATAACGAGCCACCGGAGATTTCCAAGACAGCAAGCAACGACTTCTATCGGATAGAAGAAATCCTGATCGAAAGGTGCCGAACCACTCCAGATGTACCTTTGATCGGATACCCTTCCAACTCTCATACTGCAGAGTCATATGTCTATTACACCGCACGGCAATTCGATTGCTTTGTTAATGGAGCCATTCAGGACCTTCAACGCCAAGGACTAGAATCTCGCGATGGCGAATCATCGAAAGATAACAAAGTCATTGCTCTGCTTGGCCCAGCCAACCTTGACTACGTTGTTACAGTATTTGCAATCGCTCGCATGGGATATGCTGTCTTCTATCTCTCCACACGACTGAGTCAAGAGGCCTATCTCAGCCTCCTCAAGCAGACAGATTGCCACCATATACTGTACGCAGATTTACCGGCATTGGAGAAATCGGTGTCCGAACTGTGTGCTCAGAAGGCCAATCTGCAATCATTCGCTTTCACAGCACAGTCTACGTACATGGAATGTACAACATCATCGCCGTATTCATTTAGGAGCCGACCCGGTGACGATACCAAGACTGCATACATCATTCACTCATCCGGTTCAAGTGGACTTCCCAAAGCAATTTTCAGCACCCACAAAGCTGGGATCTCAAACTACACTTTCAGCAAGTCATTTGAGTCTTATTTTGTGACACTGCCATTCTATCATGGTCATGGGGTGAGCATGTTCTTTCGAGCTATCTTCAAGGGAAAGCCCATTGCGCTGTATAATGCTTCATTGCCATTAACTGGAGGGTATTTGGTCAAAGGCCTACAATCCCTTACGCCCGAGAGCTTTCACTGCGTTCCATATGCATTGAAGCTTATTGCTGAGACTGATGGTGGAGTTGAGGCGTTATCAAAGACGAAGCAAGTCCTTTTCGGAGGAAGCAGTTGCCCAGATGATCTTGGTGATAAACTCGTCGCAAGCGGCGTTCGCCTCATCAGCCATTATGGTGCTACGGAAATCGGGCAAGTTATGACTTCTGATCGCCCATTAGGAGATGACGCATGGAACTATCTTTATCCATTGCCAACAGCTGCGCCGTATCTCCTATTCGATCTACTTGAGGATGGTACATTTGAATGTGTCGTCCTAGATGGCCATCCCGCGAAAAACAAGAGCAACTCAGATGATCCGCCCAACTCTTATCGGACCAGCGATTGCTTTGCAAAGCATCCCGACCTCGAGAATCGTTGGAAGTACATTGGCCGTCTTGATGACCGAGTCAACCTTGTGAACGGCGAGAAGGTTTTGCCAATTCCGATAGAGCATCGCATCAGACAAAACAAGTATGTCAAAGAAGTGCTTGTTGTTGGCGTTGGCAAGTTTTTGCCTGGACTCCTCATTGTGCCAAGCGGCCATGTCAAAGAACTCCCTCCAAATGGGATATTTGAAGCTATCTGGCCTGATATCGCTGCTGCAAACACTAATGCTGAGGCATTCAGCCAGATAGCCAAAGAGATGGTTGAGATACTCCCTCTCGGTACTTGGTATCCCAAGACGGAGAAGGGTACTCTGATGCGAAAGGCGTGCTATAAACATTTTGAAAACGTGATAGAAGACTTGTTCAATCGTGCGAGTGGCTCAGATCAAACTTATCATGGAGAGGCCTCTGCAGCAAAAGCTGCCCTGACTGTTACTGGAATTGAAGAATTCTTGACAGGCGTTATCCAGCAGGATTTAGGTCTGGTTCATATCGAGACTAACACTGACTTCTTTACGGCCGGTCTTGACAGTTTGCAAGCTATCAAAGCCCATGGAATAATCAAAAGGCATCTTGATCTTGGAAACGGCCTTTTGAATCAGAATGCATTGTATGAGCTCGGCAACATTCAAAACCTCGCAGCTCACTTATATAAGCTGAGAACCGGCGAGAAAACATCCGCAAAGGATGAAGTCACAACCATGAGCGAGCTTATCAAGAAATACTCTGACTTCAAGAAGTCAACGCCTGAAGCAAAAGAAGAAGTGGTTAGTTCCGTTCTGTCTGAGCTAGAAAGCATCGTTTAATTTCCTCGAAACTAACCTATATAGCTTCTCACTGGTGCAACTGGATCTCTTGGCTGCTACATACTATCGAAGCTTCTTTCCAAAGACTCGGTCAGAAGGGTTTACTGCCTAGTGAGAGCGACCACCGCCGATTCCGCCTTGGATAGAGTCATTGGCACTCTGTCTCAAAGGGGGCTTCCAATGATCAACATTTCAAAGATCAGGGCCCTTCCCGCAGATCTTTCCAAGTCGGACCTAGGGCTTATGGCCGATACCATACACGGACTTCGTAACACACTTACCAAGGTCATCCATAGTGCCTGGGCCGTGAACTTCAATATTGGAGTTCGTAGCTTCGAGAAATATCATATCGCAGGCGTGCGGAATCTCATTGACCTGTGCCTATCTTCGAATCGTCAGTCACCAGCAGAATTCTACTTCTGTTCTTCTATTTCGTCTGCTGCCGGTACCCCCCTGCCGGCTACGATTGCAGAGCAACCTGTGCCAGCTCTATCGCACGCTCATGATATGGGGTACGCGAGATCAAAGCTTGTTGCCGAGCGCATTGTACAAGCTGCCGCAGAACAGACAGGGATTACTTCAAAGGTACTTCGTGTGGGTCAGATTGTGGGCGATACAGTTCATGGTCGCTGGAATCCGGAAGAAGGCATCCCGTTGATGATTCGAAGCGCTGTGACTCTGGGTGCACTACCCGCCCTAGAGGAGACACCGTCATGGACACCAGTCGACATTGTTGCTCAAGCTGTGTTAGAGTTGTGCGGCATAGAGGTCCCCGGGGTGAATATCAGAGGTCCTATCAAGAAATATAGCGAGGATCCTACTGTTGTTTACCACGTTTTGAATTCTTCTGTATTTCACTGGACGAGGGATCTTTTACCAGCTCTTCATGATGCAGGACTTGACTTCGAGGTTGTTGGTCAAAGAGACTGGATAAAGCGTCTGAGAGAAAGCGATCAAGACCCTGTCAAGAACCCTACCATTAAACTGACCGATTTCTATGCTGGGAAGTATGACAACGACAAAAGTCGTGCAGGCTTAGTATACACTACTACGCTCACAGAGGAAGTTTGCCCTTCCTTGAGGGGTGGTGTGAACCTGATTTCGAGTGGAATCGTCAAGAAGTTTGTTGACTCATGGCGACATGACTGGGAAATCGTGTAGCAAGGTAAATATCGAAGCCTAGAGGATGGTCTGCTTGTGTCCAAATCAAATTGAATATTAGTTTTTGCTTTGCAATCTTTGATATTAGGGAAATAACAACGATTATTTATGCAGATACTACTTGGTAAATCAGGATAAGCCTATCTAGGTAACACAGTCTCCAAAATCACTTTAGATAGATAATATGTTCCGTCCTATGTTTGAAAGTACTAGGAGATTGCGGTCTTATTCTTCCGGTAATACTCGGAAATACAACGAGTTTCTCCTATAAGCTGACCTTGAAATGTAGACTTCGACGCAAGAAGTGTTTATATTAATTAACGAGAGCATTGCATTGTCTCAATATTTTCAAGTTCCAAGGTTCAAGTACATTCGTGAAACATAGTATCTAGTACCATCACCCATTGAAAGCCTAGCATTGGGATTCTCGCGCACACGGGGAAAATCATAACATGAGATCTTGAATTTAATATTCGTATTAGAACTACTATCTGATATGAACTAGCAGCAAATATATCCCCATCACCGTAAAGACCAATATAAAAAGCGTAACAAGATGCTGCAAGCTTTGTTGAGTTAGTCTTCACTGCAGTCAGGTCGTTTAGAAGAGAGGATACACACCTTGCTTTTGAATCTGCAACGGCCACCATCGTGTGCCGAATGGGGACTCGATTATTTGAACTTTCTTGATACTGTATATTGTTCCACACACCTACTAGTCAGAATTGATCTCTGCGTCTGCGACCTGAGGCCATATTATCTGCCCGGCTGTTTACCTCTGAGCAATATCCGACCAAATATTCCTCCATTAGTTCATTCGCATCCTGAGTATGCTCTATGTCCTCAAAGGCATTCGTCGCATCTCTTCCCCCTTCACCCAACAGAACTAAGTCCCCTCCAGGGTGCTAGATTTGTTTGGTGAATATTGGTAGGAAGAGGTGACAGACATTGGGTGCAAACAAAGTCATCTTTGCTGTCGCTTACCTCGTGTTGAAATTCATGTAGATCATAAACTAAAGAGACCCGTCAGAAAACTGCGTCTGATGTTGTAGCTGCTGGTCGGAAAAGGGCGCCTCACCTCTCCCTTCGATTGCGAGATGGAGATTCTCTTTCCTGCAGAGAACCGAAAGTTCTATTTTGGAAAATTGCTTCATTTCCTTCATAGCGATATAATACCTCAATTGCAAGTTGCGAATTACCTTTTCACCTCTGAATATCTTGTATTCTCATTCAAAAGCTGGCGTTTTGATATGCTTAGTGGCTTGAAGCCAGAATGGAATCGTTTGCCCTAGCCGAGGTTTAGGTAGGGGACTCGGAAATGCCACTCGCCCCAGTCAAATCGGGTATGACTACTCCGTAATTTGAAAGTGTTTCCGGGCGCTCCTAGTAACCAATCTACTCCGCACACACCCTGGAATTGGTAGCCCTGAAATATCTCCGCATCTCTTTATCCCCAAGAGGCCATTTCCGAGTTGGGAGATCTGAATTTTTCTCTACGTCGCGAATTAGCTCGATGCCGAACTCGTGGCGTTGGAGATTTATGTATGCTTGCGGTGATGCATCTTCCGAATGGCGCAAGTAACTTAAAGTTCAACTACAAGTTGTAAACTACGCATTCCCTCGTTACAAAGCATATCTGGCGACGCGCATCATTACCTGGCTAGCCTCCAGAAAGGCTCCATCCAAGCTACCCTAGACTTAATCATTTCGTCGGTTCCCCAGAGTGTAATCCTCCTCAGCCCCTTCAATGAGGATTCATCAGGCCACACGCAAACAACCGCATGACCTCAAAAAAAGCAAAGGGCATCGGTGTTAGTAACTAGGGTAAAAAGTGGTAGTACCGATGGCGTATTGCGAACCCGCACAATTCGGAAAGAGGCATCACAAGTTCAGCTCCCCGGTCGACTTTTGCAACTACGATGTAAATTCTACCTCTTCATCACAGGAACTTTAAGTTTGAATGAAACCTAGAAGTCCATCAATTGTTTCTTATATGCCTTCCAAAAGCTCATCATAGTGACAGAATATGCATTAACACGAAATCCGGACCCCTGGTCAGCGGAAATGGCCTCTCCATCATATAGTTAAACCATCATGCTAGTCCTAACCATCTCGGTCTTTTTGGGCGAGCTCAACATGCTCACTAGATTCATTTTTTTTGACGTCAATGGGGGTGATCCGCTCACCATTAATGGCGTCCAGGCTCTTTCCCACTGGATCGGACACCACATCGCCAAACTGGGCGGCAATCTCTTCCAGAGACAATTGATTGGTCTCCGGCAAAAAGAAATAGTATATAGTGAGAGCAAACAGATTTGTCCCAATAAATACGAAATAGAATCGCCATTTGATGGCATCAAAAGCAACGCTCGCAGCGAAGCTTAACCAAATTGCTGTCAGGGACTGGGTGAACATGGAGAATCCCACCCCGGTTGCTCGAAGCTCCAAAGGAAAGATCTCCGATACGAGAACCCACGTGGCGGAGTTAAAGAAGAAGGCCCAAAAGAAAGCGAATATAAAGACAAAGGCAACCCCTGCTCTACTCCCTGATGGATTGTGTGAATCCGGAAACTCTTTTGATAGTCCGGTCAAGACCGATAGAGCCACCACTACCGAAGCCTCGCCACAAATCACGGTGCGGCGACGTGGCCAGTGGTCAGACAATGTGAAAATGCTGATTAGTTGTCCGATGAGGGCTGAGAAGCCATATAAAGCGGTAATGAGAAGAACCTCGCGGCCCTTGAAGCCCAATGAGTTATACATTATTGACTGGTAGTTCTGGATGACATTGCTACCGGATAGCTTCGCCATATTCACAATGAGACATCCGAGAAGGGCGCGGCGTAGGTAGCGTCTCGAAAAAAGGGTGATCAAAGGCGCTTTATTCGAATTGGCCGTTTCTAAACGTATCTGGGAATACATTTCGGCGTATTCGCGTTCGACAAACTCCGGCCCACGGTGCTCGTGTAGATAGTACATGACCTTTTTTGCGTCTTCGTATCTCTGTTTGAGCAGTACTGGTCATAATTTCAGCAACGGGCAGAGAGTACAGTCTCACGGAAGGGGGAAAGGAACTTACACCAACGTGGTGAATAAGGTAGGAAGAACGTGAGCAAAGCGAGCAAGGCCGCTGGTGGAGCCTGCATACCAAGTGGTATCCGCCATTCCAAATCACCCTGAGCGAATGAACCAGCGTAACCAATCCACCCAGCGAGAAAGTAACCGACAGTGTTCATGAATCCTTTCAAACCGACGAGGAACCCTCGATTTTCAGGTGGTGCGAGCTCTGAAAGGTAGACAGGGGCCACAGAATATACCATACCCGTGGAGAAGCCTGAGAGAACTCGTCCGACAACCAACATAGGTATATTTACAGATGCAGCTTGTAGCACGGCACCAATTATCGAAACAAGCGAGCCGAGAAGGATCGACCAGCGGCGTGACAATTTGTCCATGGACCAGCCAGCGCCAGCACTGCCAATACAGGACCCGGCATAATAGCTGCAGACAATACCACCCTTGATATAAGCATTGTTCGAAATGTCTCTAAGGAAGTATTTGACGAAGGTCTGTTGAGCCATTGTTGAGGCGATGATTCCTGAGTCTAGACCATAAAGAAGACTGGCGGAACGTTTATTCTCAGCATTTGATCTGTGGGTACCAGACAGAAGATTGAGAGACTATCACATACCCCGCTAGAGAGATACCCATGGCTATGGTCAGAGACCGGGCCGAGTTGCCTTGATGGCCTCTCTGTTTAACCATATTGGAAATGCGCTCAACACAGGTCAATTCTTGTTTTTGAGACAGGAATTTGATTTCTGTGGGTTTATGAGAGTAGGAAAGGAATGGGAGAACATGATATATCCCTCTCGCGATTACCGGGAGCTATTTCTACCAGAATTGAGGCCAATGTACCCAGAAAATCACCCCGCAAAATAGGGTCTCCATTGCCGAGATCCACTATATTGTTAGGGTTCGCTGGTTTACTTCATTTCAAGTTAGCACAAGGTCGTCATTCAGGACTCGGAAATGCTCCTTATACCTATGTTGGCTCGAAATGGCTTCATTAGTGTGATAGGGTTTGCCAGACACTGCCTTCGCACTCAATCGGGATCGACATGCGCTGGTTGTGCCCCTCTCTTGGGTCAGCTCTCAAGCCCCCAAATTGAAACCTTCTCTGCAAAAGGTTCATCGCATCCGCGATCCGATGAAGGTAGTAGCTGTGCTCATTTGATATGACATGAAGTTACCCCGCATTCTCCGGATAGAAGACAAAGGCGACATTTCCTGGGGTGGAGATTGTACAACTTTGAGTGTTTCCGGGCAAACCATTTCCGAAGTTCAACGCAGATAATACTTTCCGAATACTAGTATATCGACATTTAGTGTTTCACCCACGGAAAGACACTTCCGGGAACAAGAAAAGTTCGGTAAAGCACTGGCCGGACCCCGCACGCTGAGCTCTTCGGCGGGGTGGATTCCTGCGCCAGTAAGCTTTACGTTGATTCCAAGCCTATGACAAACGCAAACTAACTTCCATTCAGAGCAAACATCAAAAGCCTTTCGAATGGCATGTTGTCTAGTGGGGCTAGAATGAAAATTCAAGTACGATAGCTCTTTGCATCTTCACTCTGATCAACATACAATCAAGCGACCCAACCTCATCAACATGGGTCTCCTTCTAGCAGAATCTCTGCCATTTCGCGGATCCCTGCTGATCACAACAGTCAAAATTCTGACATCCCTGGTTCTTCTTTTTACATCATGTATGTTTACATGCAACACTGGTAGACCCTGGCACCTTAGAATCATCAGACGCTGACAATTATTTGAGGGATGTGTTGGACATACCGTAACAGAGGTTTCCGTTCATCTGCTTCCGCCAACTCAAAATGGATTGCAGGGCCGAAGGGCAAAGCTTTCAAAGGAAGTGTGCAAGAGCTTCAGACTGGAGGTGCTGCCAGCTGCAAGGCTTGGTTCTCTCTTTACCAGCAATATGGACCGGCCTACGAGATGACAATCCCTTTCTTTCGCTTACATATCATCAACCATCCAACTTATCTCGAACATATCCAAAAGCATAACAGTAAAAACTACATTCGCGGGGCATTTACGCGAAACGTGTTTAAGAGCCTTCACCGGTCCAGCATTTTCATTTCAGATGGCCCCGCGTGGCACCTGCAACGAAAAGCTGCAACAAAGGCATTTAGCAAAGCAAATTTTGAGAAGCATATCACTCGATCGCTTCACTATTGGCTTGACGTGTTGATGAAATTGCTATCAAATCTGGAGAGAGAGAACCAAGAATTCGACTTTCAAGAACTAATGGGCCGTCTCATGTTCTGTCTATTCCTTCAGGTTGCATTTCATGAAGAGAAGATGGCTTTGGAAATTCTGTCTGAAGATCCGAAGTCCCTCAAATCGAAGCCAGTATATGTCGAGGCTTTCGATAATGCTCTCTATTGTATGATCACACTTCATCTGATATACTGTTTCTTGAAAACTGATGCTCTAATTGTTAGTATTCGACCGAAGGCGACGTGACCCTCTGTGGAAATTCAATGAAAGGATGTCCGGCGAGGATAAGATCAGCCAGCACGCCGTCGGCCTCTTTTACGAACAGATTGATGGTCTGATCCAGAGGCGCCTTGACGCGATGAACTCTGGTTACAAGCCTGACCCCGATGCCGGGGTTGATCTCTTAGACCTCTTCATACAGTCGACGCAAGATCGATATACGCTCGGTGGCATGGTATTTGCTTTTCTCTCTGCAGGTCGTAAGTAGAGATCCGAGTCTTCGATTATTTCATAATATTTCTGACAAAGCTAGGGGACACAACTGCCTACACTATCTCGTGGCTTATGAAAGAAATCCATCACGACGATAACAAGCATCTCGATGCCCTCAGCAAAATCAGAACAGAGGTGGAGGAGCATGGTTTTACAACTAGATTCCTTGGTTATGGTGATACCCGGTGAGTTGAGTATTTAATGGTAGGCAGATAGCTCGGAGCTAAGTTTCTAATATTTCTGTTGAACAGAAGCTGCAATTTACAAATGCAATGTGGGACGAGAATGCGCGCCTCAATACGGTATCTCCTGCTGGTCAGATGGAGGCCGCAGACGATGATATTCTCCCGGCAGTTCCAGAATTGAATATGCCTCCGAGGCATATCAAAAAGTAAGTTTTGAACCTGATCTACCATCATGGAACCCCGTCTAAGAAACACATTATCATCTTGCACAGGGGGGATATCGTGAGCTACCAAAATTATGTCATTTCTCGCATGCCACAGGTATGGGGAGAAGACGCCGCTATCTTCAACCCATCTAGATGGTTTAAAGAGAATGGGGAAAGCATATCCCATGGCCCTTTTAGTGAGTCATGGCTCATGAGCGAGTTGAATGATTTTTGGCGTGCTGATCAGTGATATTTTAGAATATCATTCGTGGAATGCTGGACCTCGCAGTTGTCTTGGTCGTGCGCTGGCCACCTACGAGGGAATTGCGATCACGACTGCGATTTTGCAACGTTTCGATGTCATCCTGCATGACACTTCTATGCCTTATGAGCCACTCGCTGCGTTGAATATGGTATGTGTTCTGTTTTCCCTTTCCCATGGATGCAACAGAATGCTTAGCTCATTTCTACACAGGGGATCAAGGACGGACTCCCGATGAGACTGAGGAAGAGAGAGATCCGATCCTGAATGAAATAAGCGGCAAATATAGAGATGGAAATTCATGGATGCTAAGCTTGGAATGTGGATGGTAGGTAGTGGCTAAGGCATGGAATAGGCAACTTGAAGCTATGGAATGCCATAATTACAGCCAATTTGAATGAGAAGGAGCCCTTCTTTCTAGCTACAATAATCTAACGGATAAAATAAAAAGAATGACTTTATTTTCGGTGTTTACCCATATCTTATACAATCCCATAGTTACTCCCCGCTGTACTCCTATGGATCCGCACCAACTGGTGGGTCCGCGATAAGCTGATAAGCCATCAAAATTTCTTCGAAAAGTAAAAAGTCACCGCAGCTGGTCCAGTCCCTCCATTCCCTCCACACTTCACCACTACCTCAATTCAATCATGGCGACTCTTCTCCCCCCGCCCAGCAAACGCCAAAGAGTTGCTCAGGCCGACAAGGCCCGTGAGCAACAAGAGATTGATCGCATCCCCTCCGATCTGGGAAGCGTCCGTGTCCAATTCTTCGACCAGGCGACCGGCAATCCCACAGGTCCCGCAGTCTCAGTGCCCGTGGCCGACGCCAATACCAAGAACCTCGAGACACTTCTCAACACATTACAAGGCAATGTAAGTCACCAGGCCCAAGGTAGCATGGCCTCCGTCAAACCCACCCCATCACATGTCCACTCACACCAAGCAGGACGACGACGACCGCGTCCCATACCGATTCACATACCAATCCGACAAAGAAGGCCAAACCATCGACATCCTCGCCGATCTCTACCACTCCCTCCTCCAACCTGGAATCAAAACCACCGAAGATACCGTCTCGCTCTACTACACCCCGCAAGCCGTTTTCCGTGTCAAGGCCGTCTCCCGCTGCGCCGCCTCCATCGCCGGCCATGGCGAAGCCATCCTTGCAACCTCCTTCTCGCCCGTCTCGTCCTCAACAATGGTCTCTGGAAGCGGTGACTCGACCGCGCGTGTCTGGGACTGCGATACAGGTACACCCCTCCACACACTCAAGGGTCACACAAGCTGGGTGTTGGCGGTGGCATACTCGCCAAACGGAGCCATGATTGCGACAGGTAGCATGGATAATTCGGTGCGACTGTGGGATGCGAAGAAAGGGCAGGCACTTGGTGGTCCATTGAAGGGCCATGCGAAGTGGATCACCAGTTTGGCTTGGGAACCGTATCATATTCAAGAACCCGGTCATCCACGACTGGCGTCTGCATCGAAGGATTCCACCGTGCGTGTGTGGGATGTTGTTTCCAAGCGCATTGAAACCGTTTTGACCGGTCACAAGGGGTCTGTTACTTGTGTGCGCTGGGGTGGTACAGGGTTGATTTATACTGCCTCGCATGATAAGACGATTAGGATTTGGAACCCGAAGGATGGAACTCTTGTTCAGACTCTGTCGGCCCATGCGCATCGAGTGAATCATTTGGCTTTGTCGACGGATTTTGCCCTACGCACCGCTTACCATGATCACACCGGTAAGGTTCCTACAGATGATAAGGAGAAGGTGGCTGCTGCGCGGAAGCGGTTTGAACAGGCTGCTACTGTCAATGGGACGATTGTTGAGCGATTGGTCTCGGCTAGTGATGATTTCACCATGTACCTGTGGGAGCCGTCTAGCTCGAACAAGCCCGTCGCTCGACTGCTGGGTCACCAGAAGGAGGTTAACTATGTTACTTTCTCCCCGGATATGGCGTATATCGCGTCTGCTGGATTTGATAACCACGTCAAGATTTGGAATGGACGTGATGGAAAGTCAGTTTTCTTCTCTTTTTTATCTCTTCTACCTATTTCCCCTACTTACACTATTCGCAGGTTTATCACTACCCTCCGCGGCCACGTCGGTGCTGTTTACCAGTGCTGTTTCTCAGCCGACTCTCGGATGCTGGTCTCGTCGTCGAAGGATACCACCCTGAAGGTGTGGGATGTCCGCACCGGCAAGCTAGCTATGGATTTACCGGGTCATAAGGACGAAGTGTTTGCAGTGGACTGGAGTCCGGATGGACAGAAGGTTGGCAGCGGAGGCAAGGACAAGGCGATTCGGATCTGGCGGAACTAAAAGTATAGAGCAGAGTATAGATCTTGATACCCAGTCTTTAAAAGTACAATCATTGGTTCAAAGTTCAAATTCTCCTTCTGACCTAGTTTTACTACGTGGTATGCACTACTTGCGGAGAGAGTCGTGACGAGTATAGTTTATTATTATTGTACCAGCTATAAAGTAAAAGCAACAGTATTGTACAGGTCATGAGCTATGATATAACCAAGCAACGCTAGACAAGAACAAAGTCATCATCTCGACCTTCACGATCGCACCTAGATGTATTGCCAAGCGGGCACATCACCCTTGTACGTCAGGGCGAGGGCCGAGAAACCGAGGCAGTCGCCAACATTACCCTGGGGCACGGTGGCATTCTGCATGGCGGCAAAGACTTGCCAGCGATTGTCCTCGGTCGGGCAGGCCATCAGGCCAGTTGCGTTCCATCCGTTAAAGGTGTAGTGGGCCCAGGGCTTGCCGGGGACGTAGGAGAGGCCGCCAACGGCGGAACCAGGGGGGGATGCTAGCGGAGTGGGCCTGGGTGAAGCTCAAAGCGCCCGAGGCAGCGACATAGACTTGTTGGCCACCGGGGACCTCGACATCCTGGTTTAGTTAGTATGGGTTCGGACATTTTCTTTCGCTTTTGCATTTCTTTGAGTGGGTACGTACAAGAGAGCCACCGCCGGGAGCGAGGACGGTCTGGTTACCGGGGGGACACTCCAGACCCTCAATGTGAGGACAGTACGAGGCAGTGTTGCCGCCCAGCCAGAACTTCTGTCCGGCAGCGTTGAGCTGAGTGTAGTGGATGGGCGAGGCTGAGCGAACAGCCATCACGCTGAAGTTGGGGTTGGCATCGGCATCAGCCCGGGGCTCGGTGATGGGCGCAGGGGCAGCCGCAGCCAGAAGAGGAAGAGCAAGGGCGAAAAAGGACTTCATTTTGAGGATTGAGTGGGAGTAGAATGTAATGTGAATGACTTGAGGTTCGAGGGACAAATAATGGGGGACAGGAGAGGGTCTTTATAGAACAGGGGAATCAGACAATCGATCAGGCACGAATATTCTGATCAACAATGGAATGATGATGTGGTGGGGAAAGACCAGCAAACCCCGCGGTCCACTGTGATTGTGATTGTCCTAGGAACCAAACATCAAACATTGGGATGACGATGACTGAGATCAAGAGATCAAGAGCTCGGGTGGCTGGTGGCGGAGTGGAAGTTCTCATTGGACAAGTTTGAGACCTCACCTCCTCCTCTCCCACTCCTCTCCTACTCCGTCTATAACTACTCGGTACTGTACTCCGGACGGAATACACCCAACGGAACACTGTTGACTATCTGCAAGAGAAACTCGCCGAGAATTAATTGGAGCCAGCGGGTCCGTGGTTCATTCAACACGAACAAAAACCAACCACACCCAGTTATAACCCAGTCATAACCCAGTGAACCCAGTTCAAACCCACTGATCGTCCCTCCATGTCTCATCTATTCTTGGCGGCATCATACGAAATTTCGAGAATCGAGGAAACTAGTATGAAACCACCCTCTCCATGGTAGCATTCGCTTATCTTTTGACTCAGATATTCACCCACTGGCACTATGGATCACTGCTATACCCATGGCTATGCGATGATATCCTATGGCAACCCCTGCCGGATCTCGCTTCGCTCATTCAACCCCCAAGCAGCCAAGCTCCCATCATGAACAGTCGCCCGGCGCATGTCTCGGCGAAACCGGCCCTCAAATTCCCCTCCAACAGCCCGATGCATGACACTCGTATTATCCCACAGCACAACATCCCCGACATTCTCCCATCCAACCCGCAGCACGTATCTCGCCTGCGTCGCATGAGACAATAACCGCTCCACCAACGCCCTCGACACATCAGTCTCTAACCCCTCAATATGGTGAATGTGCGCGGCAAGGTACAACGTCTCACGACCAGACCCCTCGTTCCTCTGTACCAGTCGGTGTCGACCCATCGGGTACTCGTCCGGATTCACATCGGCAAAGGTAGACGGGCTGGCTAGCTTCCGGGAATGCCAGAGCGAGTGTGCGGCGATGAAATTCTGGTCACGCAGATGATCCTGCAAATGCGGTTCCAGGTCGTCGAAGGCGGATCGTGAGTCTGCGAATTCCGTCTCGCCTCCTGAGACCTGCTGGTGGTAGTTCGGCGGCGCGCAGGAGTGAGTACCCGGCGCGGCGGGGGTTGAAGCTCGAATCCACGTGGAAGAGACCGTTGCCCTTGCAGGTGTCAATCAGTCAGGGTTGATGTTTGAATAGGGATAAACCTGGCCTGGCCTCCCAGGATGTCCGCTTACCTTATTCCACTCGCGTCGCACATTGTCCAGGGCAAACACGCCACCGTCCAGGTCGATGTTACCTACGTCAAATAGCCGCACGTCGGAGAGACGATGGGCGCGGCCGCCTGCGATGTACGGTGTCACGTCGTCCAACTCACCGAACTGGGCGGCGAAGGCGATGTGGCCGGCATCGTCGAGGCCGGTGTTGCGGAATACGCAGACCCCGTACTGGTCGGGTTGGTTATTAGCATACATATCCAGGGAGTACAGGTACGTCAGACCCACTTTGTTTATTGCGGCTAGGATCTCTGCAAAGACTTCTTTTGTCACCGGCTTGGAGAAGTCTACGCCGCTGATCTCCGCGCCGAACGTAGGGTGGAGTTCTTTGATGGCGATGTAATGGAAGTCAGTCCTTTGTGAGACACTGGACATGATGGCGAGTCGTGTACTTTGGCATCTTGCCACTGAAAATGTCTCGAGATTGTCGAGTGAGCAGTTGAATTTATCTACAGGCATGAGGTTGTATCAAGCCTCGGCATGAAGAGCGTAGATGCGGGGGTGACTCGGACTTCTGTCCAGATAACGATTCATATGCAGATGGGATGGAGGGGGAGATACAGAGGCAACACCTGATACATAGCATAGTACTTGATTTTATGCATGAAATTGAAAATTAATTCGATGTTGCAATAACTCCGGAGAGGTCAAAATTCAGGACGCGTCTTGCCTTACAAACAAGTGCTCATTGAATAAGTAACAACTGCCAGGAGGACGGGTCTAGAATATGGTATCATGTCTACAAAGTACCGAGTTTGTAGTTCTTACGAATTAGCAGAAACCCCATAGACAGGTCAGGGTGTATTGTGGAAGTTCCTAGCGAAGCCCAGCGTTCTTCCCACATAAACGATCAAGTATGTACCATAAAATGTGTCCCATGAAGACACCCTGTGCAGTAAATTGACAAGATTGCTCATGAATGCAGCTGAGATCAGCAGCCAGTCTCTTGCTATCGACGATGGTGTCGCCCGTTATCTTCCCCCTTGTCGTGACATTGTAAATTGCCCATTAACCCATCAAAATTAGCTTCTCGACAACCCCTGGGAACCCACAATATTGCATGACAAAATTGTCCGATGGGTGAATTTTCAAATCTCGAGTCGTGTCGGCATCTTCTGAAGATGATAGAAATCGTGAGCTCAGTAAACGAAATGGTTGAAAAGCCAATTTAAGGTCGAATCGATCGCCTTATCATCATGTCGAATATGCCACGCTGATCCGTCAGGACTTGGGTGAAGTTCCTCCATGGTTCCGTTCGGATCATCGAGCTTGTAGAAGCGAACATATGGCCCGATTGCCATCATCCCGTAGAGAGGGCACGTTACGAATGGGACAGGGAGCTCCGTGAGGCTGAATCTCATCTCCTTCTCAAGCTTAGCGAGAGAGTCAACTGGATCCTTTCCAACCTCGACCTGCATGATGGTGTGGCGTCCGAACATATTTCGCTTTATGTAGCCGAGAGAGAGATGCAGTGAGTCCACGTCAACCCCACGGGTTGAGTTTCTCCCGTACCCAATGCTGAACGTCTCCACACCAACATCGCTAGGCTTGCGGAAATAGTTCAGTAGGCACGCCCAAATATTCGTAATCTCGGTGAGTGGGGTGTCGGGATTGATAATTTTGGGGTAGTCCTTGTTGAGGAAATATGAAGTGCGGCACAAGACCTAAAAAAGTTAAATGACCGTCCAAAGATGAAAGTTTTTCAGTTGTAATGACTTACCCGACTTTCCGAGCCATTCGCACTGTTTGAATGGCCCATGATGAAGGTAGATGGAGGTCAATGGACCTATGGAAGGCTGATATCTTGATACTCCTTTTGATGGGTGGCACTGAAATAAATGAAGACAAGCCGATTGTGAACTCGATTCTGGATGCGATCGACGAATTTTTGTTGATTTATACCTCGAGGAGCTTGTGGTCAACTGGAGAAGAATCTTGCTGTCTGTGTTCTTTATTCTGTTCCACGGGCAAAGTTGAGATTTGTCGGTTGGGCTAAAGGGAGAAAACAGATCGAGATCAGACTCAGCGACTGTGCTTCATGCTGTCCGAGGTTAGGATACTTTGACTTAAAACTGGGCATGGTGGGAACTCACATTGGCGTTAACCGTGCAGGCCACTCAATCGAATTTCCTCGTTTAATTGAAATCCTTTCAAACCGTGGAAGTGGTGCCGGATCAAGGGCTTCTATTCTTGTGTGAAGATCAAGACAACATGGAAGAGTGGATAGGAAAAAGAGGAAGAAGAGGGGAAAGAAATTGGTGAATAGTGAAAAGTGGATAGCGAATAAGTGAATATGGTACATGTCCACAAGCACCTTCCCAGACAACTTCCCAGTGACACCCAATTGTGTACCAACTGAAATGGTGACTCATTATGGATTTTATCTCTCTTTTCATCTTCCCATTGACACCCCTACCAGAAGATCCACACGTTTTTGTTTCGATTCAATTTCGACATTAAAAATGGATCCTTCAAAGATTTCGATAATTGGTATCCGCGGGAAATTGTGATTGCTCCACAATCCATTGGCAAGGCCATTTGGAATACTACGAGAATCTGATTAGAAGCCGAGTAGTAGTTCAAAATAAGTTTGGGAACGCTGGAAAGTTTGTGTTATTTGTAGCTAGAAAGGTAACCATCAATAACGCCTACACGATGTATATATTACTAAACTGCTTTCACCAGGACCAAAGGTCAGAAAATAGAGTGATTGGAAGAGATTGATTCGGACATGTTCGCCTCTGAAATTGAGGTCGATTAACTCAAAAACAGCGCTGGAGAATTAAGATATTTTTTTCTTTTAGTACCACCAGCCGATGTCTATCTCTAGTATGCATCAATCAAACTCAAGGAAATGAAGGTCAATTTGTCTATTTACTGCCAATTCTTGTCAATGCCAGTGGGTGGCCTCCAGGGCTTTTGCAAATAAAAAGTCCACATGCACCAACCTGGCTGATACCATGATGTTTTATGTCTGCTTTAATAACTTCGACTTGTTGGTGTCGCAAAACAACACACTTTATAACATTCCAAGACACATAGCCGGGGTAGCTTTAGTTATACAGGCCACCATTGGCGCAGAGGCATGAGCCAGTCGTCCATCTCGCATCGTCACTGCAAAGGAAAGCAACGAGAGGAGCAATATCATCAACCTCACCAACACGAGGGGCAGCCGGAGTTTCATTGATCATCGGCTCCATGTCTTTGATAAACTGAGGGTCGCTTTGAAACCATTGGTCTAAAGTAAAGAGTCTTGTGAGTATCCTGCAAGTGACAAGTTGAATGAATAATCTTACCAGTTGCGACAGGGCCCGGGTTGACACTATTCACCGTGATACCGTGAGAGTGGCCCAGCTCTTTGGCCCAGACGCGAACCAAAGCCTCGTTGGCTGCCTTTGTGGGTCCGTATACAGTATGTCCAGCAACGCCGAGGCGTGCAGCGGCAGAGGAAATAAAGACAATGCGGCCGCCCCGGGTAGGTGAGGTAGAGCCTCCTTAGTAAGGAAAACTGGGCCACGGACATTGCAGTCAAAATGCGTGGTGTAGAGTTCAACTGAAGTGTCGACCAGGTTCGCTTCTAGTCCAAGGGCAGCGCTAAGTCGATCGTTAGTTCAGTCACCAGTGTCCTCGATAGAGACAAGTCTCACTTATGAACAATAATTTCGATCTTCCCAGTCTCGCTAATCTTCAAGGCAGCGTCAATCAACCTAGAAATTTCCTCAAGATTCATAACACTAGCTTTGCAAAGAATAGCCTTAGTTCCGATTTTGGTGATCTGGTCCACAATCCCCTGTGCTCGGTCCTTGCTGCCATCGGAAACGTAGTTGACAACAATGTTTGCGCCTCGTTTGGCAAGTTGAAGAGCAATGCCGGCGCCAATTCCTCTATTAGCCTATTAACATCTGTTTCATGGTCCGAGGAGTTGTCCTTTCTCCCTGCGTTCCCTTTCTTTACTAGCCACTTACCGGGATGAGCCTGTCACGATTGCAGTTTTTCCCTTGAGGGAGATACCCGAGAAATCAGACATGATGATGTAGTATTCGATTGTAAGGGGAGGAGAAGATTTGTGAATGGGAGAGAATCTGTTGCCTTTCTTTCACTTGGAATTTCAAATCGCGTGAGATGCAATAGTGTATTTATATAGTAGTATCCATCACAGAGCAGTGTACCCTGAACGTAGAGTCTCCGGTCCATGAACCGCTAGATATGGCTTCCCCTCAGCGCCACTGATTCATTAGTACTAAGCTTAGATCCATGGACACCAGCCTACCTAATGCAATCAACCTCCGAATGACGATGCGCGATGGAGAAGTGTTTTCCGAGAATAAACCCCAGATAGGCAAGTGATACCTCATTCGCAGCCCAATTCTGGCCTGTAACTGGTGCCGCCAATCTCAGCTTCCAGTTTCGGTAATCCTGGCAGCTGCCTGGGTGGGTGGAGGAGCGCGGCTATTAAAAATCCGGAAAGGTATAGACCACCCACCCCACTTCAAGCCTAAAGACAGTGGCACCCCACACTTCAGGAATATCTCCGAGAAAGTACCGAGGTCGCGCTAGATTTCGACTGTCACACTAGCTCCAAAATAGGACTAATCGGATTTGTTTCGGATGTGGTACCAACCTCAAAGACGAAGATTTTCATGGGCGCTTACTCTTTGTGTATGTAGATGTGTGAATTATTGAGGGGAAACAAAAAAGTCCAAAGCCGACGAGCACTATCAAGCAGCAAGTCCTCAGTTTTCCGCACTAGATTCAATACTGCCGGTTCTCATGCGAGGATCGAGAGTTTTCAGGCTTGAAAAGTTGATCAAGTCGATTATATCTCCGAAGGAGCAGCTTGGCCCTTCCACTTTATTCGTTTATTTCCAATCCTCCTAGTAGCAACACCAGTTTTATCGCTCCCAGTTTGTCCTCGAATTTTAGATTCAGAGAACAGCAAAAGTTCCATATTTGTCTTCATTTTAAGAGACATGATGGAAGGGATCGAACATGTCCACACTGCATCTTCAAATAATGGTCAGCAGCCAAATGGTAACCCTACCACAGCCAATTCCAAGATCAGAGAAGCGGTTGCCTCTATTTATACGAAACCCGCCATCCGCTCGTTCTTAAGCATAGTCAAATCGGAATGCCTCAATTTCGATTCGTAAGTCGCACTATCTTTCGATCTCCAATTCTCCTCTGAACGGAACGCATGGTATAGTTACATACTGATTATACATCTCAAGATGCAGACTCATTGATACATTAGCTGGCTAGGACGCGGTTTTATCGATCATTTAATACCTTGCACACGCTTTTCATCATGTCCCGAGCCTCGTAAAATTCTATTCTTTTTATCAACAGAGGTCCACCGACCAAGTTGAGCGCTCGAAGATATTCTCAATGGCTGTTCTCTCTTCCTTAATATCGGACGCCAGATATACCGTCCGCTTGGTTGGACTCGTTCGGTTAATCAAATCAGCGTTAGTATTGAAGATTAATTCGAAAACTTCTCAAGACAAATTTCTCTCCCAGCTGTCTTTTTTGCAAATTGGTACCCTCATTATGCATCAAGGGTTGCAAAACATATTCTATCTTGTTGCTAAAGGACTGATACCCAAACCATCAATTGGAAACCTCAACCAGGTGAATAGACTTCGGCTATGGAGCTCTCGATGTCTTCTTTGTTCCTTTTTGACCAATCTCGTGAAGCTAGTGCACGAGGCATGGATCAACAAGGACGAGAAAGATACGCCCATCCAATTCCATTGACGAGGATGGGCTGAAGACGATTGGATCGAAGGATGCCAAATCCAGGGTGAGTGAGCGGCGGAAGTTCACTTCTTAGAGCTATTATCTGGTCATATCTATGTACACACTGGAGTCTGCGTCGTGGAGTGGGGATTCCGGAAGGCATCACAGGTATTCTAGGTTTAATTGCCCATATTTGCGTGGTACGTGACATGTACAAGAAGGAAAAGCATAATTAGTTACTTTCCAAGGACCGAAGATAAGTGAAGATTTAATGGGATTTAGCGGGGAATTCTCAAGGACGTTGTTGTGTGTCTTCACACTCGAGGTCATCCTTCATATACAACGCTACAGCTGCCCTCTCCAATGGCAGATTTGGACTTGCAGTATATTTATACAAAAGTGGGATAACGGACACGATTGTGCTCAACTTACGTACAATGTGATTTTTCATTTCAGTCATTCTTTTGCTCTGCGGAACTTTAAAATGATTTACCATATTATGATGACTGACCACTTTATATTGAATCATAGATTATCGACTCTACCCTTTCAGAGCATTCGAGTACATTGAGATCTAGCATTCTTTGTGTGAGATTGATCCATGGACAAACGAAGGGCATTATTACATACCTCCATAGGGAAGGATCTGCGAGGCAATGACTCCCCCTACACCATTATCCTTATCCGCAAACCAAAACAAGTTTGCCACCCCCTCCCAGGACCCTGAGCCCGCCGCTCTTCCAGTGGCACTCTTCGAGTGGCTGAGAGAAAAGGAAAGGCCCCATCCTTCAGTCAAATCATCGGCGCATGGAACTATAGGGCAAGGCTTTGCTAGGTCGGGCTTTCCTGACGGAGTGCCCTCATTGCAGTATCGAGGTATCGCTGGAATCTGATCGGTGAACATCTCTGTGAAACCGTGAGTATGCTTCATCCATTGAAGGGACACTATTTCATGGAATACCTTCGACAGTTTCCGGCTCAAGAATTTTGGCTTCAGTATCCGGGCTCACTCCGTTGTTCAGCAAGGTTGCAATGATTCCTGGGAAATATGTAAACATGGATGGCCGATAGTAGATTTTCTAGGGAATTGTCACATACGACAATACTCAGTAGGCTTCCCAAAGCAACCGCCACCGCCCATACAGAAGGGATCCTCACCCGGGCTACGCGGTAGCAGTGGATATCTGTAAAGGTGATCTCTAGTAGTCAAATTTCCATCCGGTGCTCGAGAGTGCATGTGGGCTAGCGACTCCTTCATTTCCTCACTTGGGAAGAAAGTGATACTGTGGATATCCAGCGGTCCAAGAATGCACTTCTGAAAATATTTCTCAAGGGAACTATCTGTCGCACGCTCCACAATGATCCCGACCCAATCCATGCTGACCCCATATTGGAATTTCGTACCCGGTTGGTTTACGAGCGGTCCGTAGAGAACATCGGCGCGATTTCCGGAGAAGTCGTCAATGCCGATCGGCCGTGACCAATCGCGTAGCTTGAGATCTTCAAAGGCATAGCCAAAGCCAGCTGAAGACCGTAATCAGATAACTGAGTGATCAGAAGGGGAGAAGCTTGGCAGATGTGTAGCTCTTACCGGTATGATTCAAGAGCATTCGAAGGGTAATTCTCCTGTCCTTCTCCTCCAAGAGAAATCCGCCATGCCCGTCGTGTCGGAGAACCTTCACAGCCTTGAGCTCTGGGGCGAAGGACTCGAGCTGGGAACTATCATCTAATTTCAGTATTCCTTGCTCAACCAGCTGCATGCAGGCGATGCTTGTGATTAGCTTGGTGTATGAAGCCATCCAAAAAATTGTATCTGTGGTCATAGCAACGCCGTCGTTCAAACCCTTTTTGCCTGAAGCGTGACTGAAAACGACGTCTCCGTCTTTATTGACCGCACAATACACCATCCCTGGAATCTGTGGTGATGGTCCTTCGGTGTAGGTGTCCATCACACGACTTGCGGCCGCAGCGGCCGCAGCAGATAGAACTTGAACCATTGTAAAAAGGATCGCTGCCTTTGCAATCGAAGTCACAGATGTAAATTGAATCGTCGCCTTGAATGCTTCCAACCAGCAGATTTCTATTGTTCGCGATCTTTTTCACATACCAAGGTTCATCACGCCTATTGGTGGAGTCAATTGCAAGAGGGCATGTGGAGCGGAGCACCGTGAGTTAGGTTTCCCCCTTAGGAAGGCGAGTCTCTACCCCGGATCGAGGGAGGGAAAACTTGACATGCTGGAAACTCGATTCCACGAACCTGAGACGAGTCCAACCGGGGGCCCACTCAGCCACAAATGAAAGCGGTGCTCGGAGAGGTAAGAGGGATCATGGGATGGATTGGGGTGCTCGGTCAAAACGGGGATCAAATCTTCCTGGACACGAAACCGAGTCAGGTTAGAGGGCATGAACATGAACACCAATACTAATATGTAGAGTCGGAGTATTTGTTTCGAAACTTTGCGGGCATCCACAAGATTCCAAGGTTGGCATTTCCTTTCACATCCGTCCCGATCTCTTTGTAGTTTCGTTGCATTCCTTTTCAGCTTAGTGAGTTCTCTCTAGTGCTATTTCCCATATTTCCAACAGTTTCCATTGCGTTGCAGGATATAATCAAGTCTGGAATCTTGGTACTAATCTGAAAGAGGACAGTCGACATGACGCGACCCGCAGATGTTTTCGCCGTTCCGACCACATGGCATGCCCGACACCCGACAGTTCACCATCTCCAAGGTATGGTCGATTATCATGCGCTATACAAAGAATCAATTAAAAACCCCTCGGCCTTCTGGGCGAGACGGCCACGCGATGTCTTAACATTCATTCAGGATTTCCATACCACCCATATTGGTTCGCTGAGAACTGCCGAACCCCCCACCCCCCAGGACATTGAAAACGCGCTTGTCATGAAGCTTCGCACTACAATCGGCCCCTTCGCTGCCCCTAAAAGAATTTTGATCGTTAAGGACCTTCCGAAAACACGGAGCGGAAAGATTGTGAGACGTATCTTACGAAAGGCTCTCGCTGGAGAAACGGAGTTTGGCGACGTCTCTACGGTAAGTCTTCCTTGGAGTCTCCAAAATATGTAGCCAAAAAGCTCATTCAGAAATAGCTCGCCGATGTTAGCGTATTAGGAGAGATTCTAAAAGTCATCGCAGAAGCGCGAGCCTGATTTCAACGCAATCTAACCAACAGAGTGCAAAGGAACTAGATAGACCACGGATTTTGAATAGCGAAAGTAATCAGATCCCTATCGTATTTTGACAATAGTATGGTTACGAACCAATGCGGATATGCCAGTTCTAAAAACAAAGTACTACTACCATCGCATTTGGGGAACTTGACATAACCTGGCTTTGCGCTCAAGTAGTATAGCTATGCCTGAGGCTATTGGAGGCTGTTCATTTATCTGAATTTCGGCAGTGCTAGTATGTCTATTCAGGATCCCTCAATCTCCACCTCCCTTTCCTGGTATTAGTAGTTCAGAAATTATCCGACTAACCGCCATGAATACTGCTTTGCCCGATTCTAGAGAAATACTATCAACGTCGAAATTTTCGAAAGCAAAGCATCAATATTAGAGATCCGACGAGAAGGCTGTGCTATATTATGTAGTACAGTATTAATGGCCAGGACTTATACTTGAGCCACCATTTTCCCCGCCTCATCCTAAATACATTCATTGCCGCAACTGAAGTGAGGAGCTAGTACTAGTCGCCGTTATGGAATATCACCCCCGAAGCGGATATTTCTGCTCTCATCTTTGGCACAACAATTTCCTTGACTACAACAGTTGTCCATGTGGGTGTGTGACCGGGAAACTTCTGTCGGAACACTCGCATCATTGTCTCCTCGTCGGTGGAATCGACTAGATAGGCCACCAAGTTGAAAGCGTGTCGCAATCCCAAAGTTGCTCCAGCATGTCGCAAAGCCGCATCGAGACAGTCGAATATGGCCTCGAACTCATTCTCCACTGGGCTATTTATTATATTCCCAGTCTCCAAGTCCAGCCCGATATGGCCAGTGGTATAGACAAAAGATGTCGTCGGAGACACCGGGAGCGTGGCAGTAGTCGCAAGAGAAGGCTTTAGGCAATCGCCCACTGGGCCTGGCAGGTTCTTGTAGATGACAGATGACATTGTCTTCAAAGAGTGAGAACTTTATGGATTGTGCGACCATAGGCAAAGATAAACTCACACCGTACTTTGTTGTGTGTAATTGTGAAATGCGATAGGCAATTGATGGCAGCATCTGGAAATGCAGGTTCTGTAGAGCCATACGGTATTAATATAGTAAACCGAAACTCAAAGGCGCAGTATCTCTAAGCCCGGCAGAATTTCATTCATTCATTATCATGCGATACTTTGCCTGGACTGACGTAATTCCAAGGTTATCTCACCTGCCGTTTGGGGCAACTCCACTAAGTCTGGCTTCCGCCGGGTCCATCTAGAGCCGTGCCCTATGTATTAGAATTGGTTGAAGGTATAAAAAAGGGAATCTGCCACGAAACTAGTGTCCTAGAGAGTTCTTCATATACAAGGAAGTTTCACGCCAGATTTGAATCAATGCCATATCAAAAGAAGACTACAGATGGGTACTCCTGGACTCGCGCCACGGGTGTTCGACGGGGCGGGCTTCATTGCAGGGGAGTCGTAGAGCCGCGTGAGAAGAATACTGTGCCTGCCGGTCACATTTATGACGCAATTGTTATTGGGGCGGGCTATGCTGGTCTGATGGCAGCTCGCGAGATGACTGATCGAGGTAGGCAAACGCAGCTTGGCCTCCGGAGACAAGATTTTTGCGTAAAAGACTCATGTCTGACAATAAATAGGGCTGACTGTCCTTTTACTCGAAGCCCGCGACCGAGTGGGTGGACGCACATACACTACTGAAGAAGATGGTGAGTTTTTGTCAATCAAGTATCTTGCCAACCACAGCAATGTAAAGCTTATTGAACGAAGGTATTCTATATGAGATGGGGGGTACGTGGGTCACCCACCATATGGCTTTTCTCTTTAAAGAAATGACTCGTTACGGCATGGACCGAGATTTGACACTCACGCACCACCGGGGGTATGAAAATGATTACTATACCATAGATGTTCCCGGTGCGGCTTATTCTTACTCCTCATGGTTTGTAATGTCCTGCTTACATCTTACATAAGGTGCAACTCCGCGAAAGCTCGCACATGAAGAAGCCGGAAAAATCGCGGCAAGAGGCTGGGATATATTCATTAACGTCGACGGCGAGAACTGTCGCAGGATTTGTCCGCTTCCCCACTCCCAGTTGGATAATATCCTCACCGATAGAAAGGAAGTGGAACAGTACGACAGAATATCTTGTCGGGAACGATACGACGCGATAAAACACCTACTCACGCCTGAGGAGGCGGGAGTCCTGATGGCCCTCTTACTTCACATTTCGGGAGGCACGATGGAAAATTCCAGTGTTTGGGATATGGTCCGATCGCATGCACTTATGTCCTACAGTTCTGATAATTTTGGCACCATCTGGACTACGTTCAAACTCCGCGAAGGCCAATCTGAGCTCGCACATCGAATTTTCCAGGATTCGGTCGAACACGGACTACAGTATGCATTCGAAACACCAATTTGCGAGATCATTCAACGCTCAAATAGGCAAACTCAGCTCTTGGAGGTAGTTACAGCCTCTGGGGCTATCTACAAGGCCCGACAAGCTGTCAGCACCATTCCTCTGAATGTCTTGCGTACCATCAAGTTCGACCCTCCACTTTCCAACAAACGTCAAGAAGCCCTTGAAATTGGGCATGTTAATTTCATGACCAAAATTCATGCCGAAGTGGAAGGTCCTGGACTCGCTTCATGGAATGGAATGAAGTTCCCGAATTTGCTCATGTTTGGTTACGGAGACGGTGTCACTGAAAATGGGAATGCTCATATTGTAGGATTTGGCAAAGACGAGAGATCCACATACGTACCGGAGCGCCATCCAGAGAAAACAATCAGCGCTTTCCAGAAGATGCACCCAATGACGGTGAAAAAGATGGTAAGATTTGCTGCGTAAAGAGGCTCAAAGCAATCTGGCTAACGACACTTAGGTGTTCCATAACTGGGTTACTGACCCTTGGTCTCGTGGTGGCCCGGCTTGGTGGACGCCTGAATACATGTCGAAATATCAAGATGAGCTACAGAGCCGTCATGGCAATGTCCACTTCGCGTCAGCGGATTGGGCCAACGGCTGGCGGGCAGCGATTGACGGCGCGCTTGAGCAAGGATTCCTTGCAGCGCAGGGCATCATTGCAGAGGCGAGACAGATGGCACAGTCTCCTTTCAACCCCCCGAATCTAGACATAAGACACCATCGTCATCCTTTGAATTTGCTTTCCCATTGTCCATTCAGCGATGTGCGGAGACGTTTACTTAGTGAGCTTCTCTGGGATGACTCTGCCTTAGCCAACATCCCTAAGAAGTAGCAACTTCCTTTGATCGGTCCTCACCGGTTAATTTCAATAAAAAGCCCTCCTCCACTTTCCCAAGACGGTTTTCATTACTTGTACTGATCTACTATCCTTCATGTACTTCTCGTAGGTGTCATAGGTAGCATCGAGCTTACAAAACGCCGTCCTGATCGGCTCCATATGCCTGATCGTATATTCGCCACAAATGCTTGTGTAAAATAGTATTGCTTGCGTAAATAATACGACGCGTAGCTCCCTCTTCTCGCTCCGAAGATACAATCAATTCTCCCACCTCGGGCATAGCGGTAGTATGGCAATACGCGGCGGGAGTGGGTATCTCAGCTGGCCCACCCCACCCTTTGGGCTCATCGCTCGGTTCAATTCGTAGTACCCCGTAGAGACGAAAGGGAGCGATGCAATTATCTGTAAGGGGCAAGTTTATGTGGAAACATTAACTGATAGACCCACTTCCTCTCCAGAAGAAGAAAGAGAGATAGAAGTGTCTACAGTATCCTGGTGAGGAGTGGCGAGCTAGGGGAGAAACTTCGGCGAATGGGTGGCCATGTTGCCCTAATCAGGTAACTCAGACAAAGACCCGCCACTGTGGTACCATCAAATCATGAATTGATATTGGGCTCCCCGCTCAATAATGTCTGCAAAGGTACTTATAGTAATTTGAAATTCAATTCTGCACATCGATTGCTGATTTCTACGAAGCTGAGATTCTCCGTTTTCTACCCCCTTTTGTATCTCTTTTTTGGAGCTTTGAAAGCCAAAAATGGCAGCCACCGCCAAGCGACCGGAGATCCTCGAATTGTCCCGTGATTTGAGAGGAATCCCCCCAATGCGAGGACTATGAGCGTATGATATCAGGGATGATGTTAGTTGACCGGCTCAGACAACCCGCAGTATGAACTCCAGTGACACCTTGCTGATCCTGACACCACCCAGGTACAATCCTAATACCCCCAGGTTGCTCGAGTCCCGTCACGAATGCCGCGGGTTGACTCGAGATTACAATGACTTGGATACGAGGTCCATCCCGTATGACAAGGTGTTTGAAACAAGACTTCAATTGCTTCGCAAACTCTGCGGCAAGGTGGGAGATGGGACTTTCGTGGAACCCCCTTTCATGCCAGATTATGGATGCAACATTATTATTGGTAGCAATTGTTTCATTAACTGGAAGTATGTCACCACCCATCTCCGTGGGCTCTATGATTGATCGGGCCTCTAATCATGATGAATAGCCTGACTGTTTTGGACACGAGTCTGGTAGTGATCGGCGATCGCGTCCAGATCGGAACTGGCGTGGGCCTTCTGTCCGCGGGACATGACACCAGCATACTCTCCCGTCAAAAGTTCGTTGAATTTGGTCATCCAATTTTCATCGAAGACGATTGCTGGATTGGCGCCAATGTGATCGTACTCCCTGGTGTGCGTATTGGTAAAGGTAGTACAGTTGGTGCAGGATCCATTGTAACCAAAAACATTCCCCCATATTCGGTTGCAATGGGCGCGCCCTGCCGCGTCAAGAAGACGATCCAATCGGTGGAGGAAGAAGAACAGGATCCCAATAACCCGTATCGCCATCTATCACGGGAGCATTGAAGTATACATACTATACTAGTACCTACCTAGATACCTAAATACTAGGGGCGATGAAAGAAGGCGAACGAAAGGTTCTGAGTCCCGTCAATAGTATATCCATGGATATGTTTCAAGTTCCGAAAGTTCCAAGTAGAAACCGCCTGTAGGACGCACAAGATCCGCTATAACTAGTCCCAGGCATCTTCAAGTTGCCGTCACGGTGTCAACGGAGCTTCGCTCTCCCCTCCTCTCCTCAAGGCTCCTCACCTCTCTTACCCGATGATAACTCCCATCACCTCCCTCTTGCGCGCAGCCATTAGCATTTTCGAGCGCGTAGCCCTTGTATTACTCTGTTACTAGTATGGAGCAAACTCATCAAGACATACCATCGACCCAGGTGACCCACACCTTCAACAACCAGTAAAGAGGGCAGTCCTTCAATTGTCTCTCGATATGAACACTAGCCATTATTTAGGCAATTTGCGGAGCTCCGTGTCTGATAACCCACGGAATCGCTTGCTCACATCCGCGCTCCGCCACCTGGTCAGATGGCGGAGCGCGGTTGTTAAAAATCCAAACGGGTATAGACTGCCCCACTTCAAACTAACTTACGAGAGGAGAAGCCTAAGGTGGGGTTCCCCATAGTTATTTATCTACCGCACCATATCATCTCTATCTATGGGGTCACGCAAGGCCCGATATAGCAAGTGGAAGTGCACCTGCATCCACGTCGTGCCATCCACCTTCAACACAGTCGGCTTCCTAGCCTAGACTGCACAATATGGAGGAAATGAGAACATACCCCGCCAAGGGCAAACGAACTAACTCCCTCGCGTTTGCACAGGCCGACTGCCATACGTGTGCCGTTGCTGGAGATCAATGTGATCGTCGACGTCCTAAATGCTCAACATGTCTGTCCAGAGGCCGCAACTGTGGGGGATTTGCGACACAATTGTCGTGGGATTCACGACGCATGTTATCCTTTCATCAGTCCCCGTCAGAATATCAAATTACTGGCGAGACCTCTGGTTTCCAAGAGGAGGGCTTACAATCGCCCAAAGCGAGAGCACCTAGCGTCCCTTCTTTCCATGCCGCTGCCCCTTTGCAATTTCGATTCATGAACAATTCTGCGAGACAAAAGAAGCGTCGGCGAGGGCCTTCCGCCCAATCGAATAACGTGGCCCCATCCGACTCAGTAATCCCTGACGAAAGTCTTCTGCCCATTTCGGAAGGCGAGAATGGTGGGATTATCTCCGGCGGTGGAGAGACGGATGAGATTGGCGCTCTAGGTAGGTGCCAATATCATCAAGTTCCAATCAAGATACCCCTCAAAACACCCCCTTTCTGACGCAAGCTCAAGAGCTCAGTGATTTGGCCCTTCTGAGTGGGCTAGAGTTTTTCAATACTGATCCGCAGTCAATATTCGGCGCTTTACCCCTGTCCGACATTAGGATTCCCGAACATCTGTTCACGGACCCCTCAACTGGCCTCTTCAATCCGCGATCACCGCTATCGACTGCAAACAGAGCGTGGGAATCTATACCAATCGAAGAACCTCACCCCGAGCTAGCTATTCAGGAGCTTGACTCTGTCTCATCAGAGTATATGCAAAGGGAAAATAGGACCACCGTGCCCTCGGGGGAATTAACCAATGCCCCTATTGGACCCACAGTATTTGGATTGGCCTCGAAGGATTATGATTGGCTTTTTGAGATGTGTATGTGCTTACAGACGTCGATTAGTTGTGCTTATAGGCCTTGGGTCTTTACCTGACTAGTTACTAGATGATTCTAAATTCTGTGTTCTACCACTGACCTCCGACACGCCGATTAATCCTTTCCGGTGTAAGCCCCAAACATGGCAAGGGTCACGACTTCTCTTTCATGCCATTCTGGCATTATGCTACCGACACTTGAATCTCATGACGGCTGAGTGGTCCGAGGAGGTAGATCAACATCGCCGAAAAGCTGGTCAGCTATTAGCTTTGGAATTACGAAATCTCTCATCGCAGAATTGCCTCCACCTGCTGGAACCCATTTTGATTCTTTTCACGTTGGACGTATGTTTTGGTTTAATTAGTAGTGTGTATTAAATTAATTATTCTAACTGTTTATAGTGTACTCTATCTGCCACCGGACAGTGGATTGGCCATCTGGAGCGCGCCCAGTCAATTCTCCAGGCTTGTGGAGGTCCTAGCTCCTTGATCTCTCCACGACAGCGATCCCAAGTCGGAATGCTCTTATGGTAGGAAGTACGGGTTCCTCTCAAAGTGAGCGATTCTGATTGCCGTTATTAGGTGGGATGCTACCATTGCGCTCCTCTCGCGACGGTCCCCCATCATAAGTCGGGCATATTTAGACTACTTAATCACCTGGGAGGGTCGGGATGAATGGTCATTCTTCGATCTCACCGGCTGCCCACGAGATATCTTCATTTTACTATACGACCTTACTGAACTGGCCAGACAATGTGCAATTGCCTCCTCAATGGAGTGGCTTACATTCAACCTCAGCCCAGTGATTAAGGTGGAAGAAAAATTGACAAACTGGCAAAACGACCTAGATCCTTTGGTGAACAAAGTAGACTCTTCAAGCAAAGAGTATTCAGAGCAAGAGGTTCACGAGCAGCATGATCGCTTTCATTGCGCTGAAGCGTGGCGATGCGCTCTTCTACTATACGTCGAATGTGTCTTTAAACGCGAAGCAGGTCAAAGTACCCAAATGCATATGACTCTAGTACGCAGGACATTAGACCATATTCGCTGCTGTCGACGCTCATCACAAACACAAAAGCAACTTTTACTTCCCGTGTTTCTCGCTGGGAGTGAGACTTTGGATGAAGATATGCGTGTATTTGTGAAAAGATATTGTGCATACTGGGCGGAAAAGAGTAGGTACAGCATGTTCAACTCTGTCCCAACGTTACTTGATGAGATATGGTCCACCGGAGAATGGTGGGGGAGGGTCATAAACAACAAAGCGACCGGCACAACTTCAGACGGAAGAGCCAAGTCCACCACTCAGCTACTACTCGGCTAAACTTAAGTTACACATATTATAACACATCGGCATTCAGGGCGTATTTTCACTCAGTGAACCTTAGGAGCAAAAGATACGGATGACTCCGCGAGACTGCAGGGTCCTATAGTTCCATCTTCAAGAGATACTCGCTCAATACCGAGGTATACTCTGCCGTGTGGAAACAAAGTAGTGCATAAATAGACATATACCGATATCGGTGGCCGTATTCCAAGGTTATCCCAAGAATTATAAACTCAGATACATGGTTGGACTATTCCGAGGTAGCTTCAGCTGCGTTCAAAATATCCCAGTCGATCGCAGGACCACAGAACTTTTGCCGTCGCTCGATCCAACACAGAAGGACAATGCTATATATACCCACAATAACAACGGAGTTGCTGATTCAACCTATTAGTAAAAGGCCTAACTTTCTCTAGTTAATGAATGGATACGTACTAGTTCATATTAGCCAGAGTCGGGGGGTTGCTGGTTGGCAAGAAAAATAAAACAGCGCTAAGTATGAGCCAAAGAACGGAGAACACATGCACCAGATACCCGTAGTTGCGCAGATTAAAATGGCGAGCTGGAAGCATGGCCCTCCCTCTGACAATTAATATAGCCTGGGGGACGGTGTATGTAATATTCAACATCAATACAGCAGTATTAATAATTGAATTGAAGGCCTGTGTGCTCGCAATGTATAAAAGACCATAGATGGTGCAAAAGCCTGCCGATAGTAGAGTCGCGCGTATAGGAATGTTGCGTTCTGAGTCAACTTCTGCCCAATAGTTGGAGAATGGGAGGCCATTCTTTATGAAAGCCATTGAGTCAGAATACATGATCGAGTGATCATCGGTAGGTATGGTGGAGAAACTCACATCTCGAGAAAACGCCCAGGTCATCCGGCTACTCGTAATCCACTGACTTGGTACACAGGCTTGAGGAGTATTAATATATGGGGAGAGCGAGAACAGGTAAGCGTCGAGGAAGAACTTACTGTAATACAGGATTGTCAAGTATATCTGCAGCGCAGCAGCAGCAGCCTTACTTCCAGTCGCTTGGTGAAAAAGCTCGAGGCTTGGCAGGAAGCTGTTCTGTACAGCCTCAATATCATGAATCACTGAAGTCATTGCAATGATCCATGGAACAAGTGTAATAGCTCCGAGAGCGATTGTCAAATTGCTGTCCGTAATTTCAATGAGTCAAACAAGTATATGGCACTAGCCAGAAAGAACTCACATAACAAGAGGAACCTTGCGGCTTGGATTGGGAATCTCCTCGGCGATATGTACGCAAGCGCCGGCTGCAGCAAATGCATACTCTCCGTTGCCGATTCCGAGAAGGAATCCAACTCCTGGGTTCCATCCGCTCGTACATCTATATTCCATAATCCTACTAGGTTGGTAGGTTCCGCGTCCCATCACAAGACAGACTATTACAACCAGCACGAATCCCACCATTGAAAGAAACATGGCGGTCTTGGTCATGTTTTCAATACGTTGTTGTGGGATGATAAAAATGGGCACCACTGAGGTCAGATTAGCGATGAATCGACTTTCTTGAAGGACTGGAACACACATGTGAGAAGTATCAAGAGGAGATAACAGAGATACACTTGCCACTGGGTGCCTTGAAATCCTCCAGTCAAAAATTGACAGACTCCAAAAGCAGAGATCGCCGTGTATATCGTCCCCGACGCGGTATTAACCCACCAGGCGATAACATTAATCGCCCCAACCATATAAGCGAGAAATGCCTTGCAGCGATCGGGCGCGACGATGTATGTGAAATGGTACTGACCCTTGTGATTTATGTTAGTTAAAAGTTGTCTCAGGTCTCAGTAATACGCGTACCCCTGAGGAAGGAAAGGCCGATGAAAGTTCCGCTACGCCCATCAACATAATCCATTGTACGAGTGCCGAGACAACTGGACTGAAGACAGCGACTGGCCCACTACCATAACTGTATGCCACACCAAAGCATGACGCATATGTCAACCAAGAGTTGACGATGCTGGGTAAGAAAGGGGTAATTAGCAGAGACATGGCGCTTCACGAAATGAAAACGAACCTGAATGCAAGTCCAAGTGCGCCCATCCAGGAGAATGATCTCTCGAGCTTGATTTCATGACCTTGTGCTCGTAAAACAGCGTCATCTAAGTCTAAAATATCCCCGAGGCCTTTGCCCTCTGACTCAGCCTCAGCATCGAGAGTCCTCTTATCTGCTGTCATAATGTATGTTGAAGGTAGCTCGGGGGTGGTAATAAGGAGAAGATAAGATGGGGTATGTGTGGAAAGTAGCGTCTTCTTTAGTATGCCAGGGAAGTTCTAGGCTGCCTTATGACAACATTCTCTGGCTACCCGTCTACTGGTCACTCCTTGGTTCGTCCAATCTTTCGTTTCACTTCCAAGCGAAACCGGGTACGATAGGACTATTCCTTGGGCAGTTCCGTCCCCTTGCTTACCACTGATAAGACTAGATCAGAGGAAACTCTCAATGGGACCCACCCGAATATTTTACCCCAGAATGCGGAGTTAATGCAAGATAGGAGCAGCTTTGCTTCCTACTGGTCCCTAGCTGGCTCTTTGGCCCATTCTCACCTGCTTGTTTGAACCACACATCCCAGCTTCCTAGTCGGGAGAAATTCTATTTCACTGGTTTCCTTTGGCACATTTTGAGGAGTTCTCTTATTTCTCTTCACCGAGAGCATTGTTTGTGGTTTAGAACAGGGTAAACATACGGGTTATCTCGATTCCTTCTTCAAGCTTAGATGCCAGAATTTATATTGAAAGTTTGAAGCCCTCTCATCCTCCAGAAATCTTTAACAATCCTTTAATCATAATCACGAATGCTGAGTATATATAAATTGGCTCCATTCGAGGTGGTTTAAATTACAAATTGCCAGTGAAGGTCGGTCTGGTCAATACCGTGGCCCCAGGGCCGGTTATGTCCATGGATATTTCCAAGGTTCAAATAGTCCATCGGACTGGCCCTAATCCATCTCAAATGCGGGGTACCTAGGTATTTCCAGATTGATACTACTCAGATATTGATAATATAGATTTATTTTTCATACAAACTACCTAGGTACGAATTATATTTTTGAAACCTCAAGTGCTTTTCAGACAGCATAGATCATATGAAGTTTCAGGGTTTATTCTGAATAACGCTGGAATTAGGAGCAGATGGACCAACTGGGTGAAGTCAGTTCTTTGTGGGCAGTCTGACTCTAACCCGACCAGGCTTTAGAAATCATGACCAAACCATCACGCAGCCACGGTGTATCCAGAGTAGCGTCCACATCAAATCCATGGTCTCCTTCTTGGACATGAAGATAAATCTTGGGGTCCTTTACCTTATCGCGAACCAAAGCGATAAACTTTCGGGACCCTTCGACGGGGACTGCCGAGTCTTGCTCGCCATGGAAGATGAACATTGGTGGCAATTGTGCAAGCAAAGATGAACACATTATCCGTACCCTGTCCATCGGAAATAAATTTGGGTTTTCAATTCCACAAAACTGAAGAAATCTCCCGTTCTGGACAATTGCGAAAGCTAAGTCAAGTCGACCAGGGGGGGTCTGCTGCTGTGGGCATCTCAGGCCCCTCTCCTCTTGCCAAAGCGCCCATATGATCATCTATTAACTGATTTGGAAAGTTTGGGACCCCAACGATTGGCTTTGAAAACGCTTCCGTGTAGAATGGCGACTTCAAATCAAGCATTGGATAGGCTCCGATAACGGCTTTGACCTGAGTCGGGTAGGTCAGGGCTAGTTGGACAGCCAGATACCCACCTGTTGTAAATTGCCTTTTAGTTGAGCTCTATATTTTCAGCCTGTCAAGGGTCAGGGAGACTAATTACCTGCACTCTCTCCTAAAAGTAAGAGCTGCGAAAGTTCCACGGTGAGATCAACGTAGCCTGCCATTTTCAAGCATTCCGAGAGTCCACCTTCATGAAGCCAATTCCAGAAATCATTAATATCTTGTAGGATATCATCCCCGGTAGCTTCAGGTAACAAGCGATAATTGGGGGATACGATAATCGCATCACTTCTTTCGGCATAATCCAGGATCCAGCTGGAAAACCAAGGCGCATAACGGCTTGAGCCAGTGACCTGTAAAGTAATTAGCTTGTCTATTGTGGATACTCTGAGCGAAAGGCACATCTCACGAGGAATCCACCATGAATTCGTATCATAAGAGGGCACTTCGAAAGCCTTCTGGTTTTCAACCGAGTCTTTGGGATCAAAACATCGGTTGAAATACCACCGACACCAACGGGTAATATTTTATATCGTGCTGATATAATCTCGAACCCGTGGAATTTGTCAACATCTAGCGATGAAAGGGCTTTGACGAGATCAAAGAAGGCATGTGGTGGTGACATATTCGATGGCTCTGGTTATCCTTCGGATATCCTGATCCCGTGAAAACCCCCTGAATTTGAAATGCCGCTGCAGCTGCACCTACTGATAATATAGTACTGTACTAGTAGTACCGATTAGTATGTGATCAGAATAGGGACTGCCAGTAAAATTGGATCAACAACCTTGGAAGCCTTAGAGGGATTACAGAAGTATTATATATCCTGACCACGCTTGTGTTTACGTCTAATACTAGTAGGCCACGAAGCTTATTCCAATTTAAGGTGGGAAACGAGTTGAAATTACCAGTTATTACTTCTATTTCAAGTTTCTATCAACCAACTTAAACTACATGTGCTCAATCACGCATGGGCCAACTTGATGATTACTTAGTTATGGTTAGGTCGAGCCCCTCGATTCATCTAAGGCCGAATCTCGGAAACGACCGCTAAGTCTGAATATACTTCTACTGGGTTCACATTGTGCCAGTCAATCAATTTTCCGTGCTCGTGATTTCTCGGTCCTAAAACAAAAACATAGTGCATTCTAGCAGGCGACACATATTTGACACAAGGGGAAATTCGACAGTAGTTTTGTGCAGGACCCACTATCAACCTGCTTTTCCATTCAATAGTTTCGCCGACGGAACTTCCAGAGTTACTCTTTGGGGAAACCGAGTTGCCCCACCTTCTGCTGTGCCCCTGCCGTATCCGGCCGGCAGATGAACTCATTTACTGCAGGTTAAACAAAAAAGTGCTTGTTATTTATTGGTTAATTTGTTCCTAAGAAAAGTAGAATTCTGCCCAAGGCTCGCTAAACTGATAACTCTGCATTGTAAGAAGAGTTTTTCCAAACCTACGAGAAAGAAGGTGACAAAAAACACGCGAGAAAAAAAAGTGGTGGGAGTGAGGGAGGCGAGGGAGCAAGTGAGTACTAGATTCATCACGTACCCTGAAAGTGCACACCTGCCTCGGATGATTTTTCGCAAAATCTGCAAGTGGTTCCCAAGATTCGGCGTCCCATTTTGCCGCCTTGGTTCCATTGATTGAGACACTGCGCCGCAAATTAGCAGATGTGTGACCAGCTACCTCTTCCGAGTCGCTTTAACTACATACGGCACGTAATTTGCACCAGCCCATGGTGAGGCATATTCGATGTCATAGTCACCCGGCATGTGCTTGGCAGCAACAACAATCTTGTATCCTTGCTTCTTAGATAATAGCAAAGCTGTCATTAAGCCCGCAACACCGGCTCTATTTCGCCGCCGATTAGTCAACAATATCGGCGGTTTGATGGGGGACTTATTTGAGATTCTTACCCAACAACAACAACATTCTTTTCGAGCATTCTATCAAAATCCTGAAAGTTTTGAGCCTTTTTTGCTTGGTATGGTAAAGCCGGGTATAATCAAAACCCAACTTGGGGCATTATAAGGGAACTGCGATGCTGATATATCGGCAGTTGAGGGTATCACAAGAAGCCCACGTCAGGATTTTCTTTTTCAAAATCGATCACATAGTTCGATTGTCGTGATAGTCGCTATTTTCCCGTGGCAATCTGGGACTGGCCCTATCTCATGCCTCTATTGGACATAGAAGGTAGAAAATTTAACTTTTTAGGAAGGCGAGATGCTACATGATCGTTTGTGATTGGACATGGTCGCGGTTCCCTCTCTGGGCGGACAGATATCATCAACATAGTACATATTTGGATTATTTAAATGCCCCTGCAACAACCTACGTTCGAGGTTCAAGTTTCAGAACACATCTACTTGTATCCTTTATTCCACTCCTCCAAGTCCCTATCAACCATGGCAACCATGCATGAAGTTTTTGCTGGCTATGATGCACGTCAGGCCATCCTCGCTACTAGCACAAATCCATTTGCGAAGGGCATCGCGTGGGTTGATGGAGAGCTAGTCCCTCTCCACGAAGCGCGGATCCCCCTTCTGGATCAAGGTTTCATGCATAGTGACCTCACCTACGACGTGCCATCTGTCTGGGATGGTCGATTCTTCCGGCTTGATAACCACCTCGAACGACTTGAAGCCAGCTGCACCAAAATGAGGTTGAAGCTTCCACTTCCTCGTGCTGAAGTCAAAAAAAACCCTTATCGACATGGTCGCTAAGAGCAGTATCCGTGACGCTTTTGTTGAGATTATTGTCACTCGCGGATTAAAGGGTGTTCGGGGTACAGACCCCAAGGATATTGTCAACCGGATTTATATGTTTGTACAACCTTATGTCTGGGTTATGGAACCTGAGGTCCAGCCTATCGGGGGGACAGCAATCATCACGCGCAATGTTCGACGCATTCCACCAGGCTCAATGGACCCTACAGTTAAGAACCTCCAATGGGGTGACCTAACTCGCGGCCTTCAAGAAGCTAGCGATCGTGGCGCAACATACCCATTTTTGACAGATGGGGATACCAACCTCACTGAGGGTTCTGGATTTAACATTGTACTTGTGAAAGATGGCATTTTGTACACCCCTCAGCGTGGTGTACTTGAAGGAGTTACTCGCAGGAGTGTCATTGATGTTGCACGAACCAAAGATCTTGAAATAAACGTTGAGACTGTGCCCGTGCAAATGGTCTACGATGCCGATGAGATTTTCATGTGCACCACCGCGGGCGGCATTATGCCTATTACCAGTCTTGATGGGAAAGCTGTCAATGGTGGCTCCGTTGGACCTATTACCAAAAGCATCTGGGATGGATATTGGGATATTCACTATGATAACGTCTTCAGTTTCGGGGTCGATTATAAAGATGGACGACAAAATACTTCTCATGCCTCTTGAAGTTAACTTTTCTTTTCTTCACATTCTCCCAAACTTGAACTCGGGATGGATCTATTAGGCCGAACATCAACTTTACCTTGCGACAAAATTTCTGCCTAAGGGATGCAATACCTAGCTGCATAGCAAATTGTTAAATCTGCATCAGCTAATCTATTTTCTATCCTCTGAAGGATATTAAAGCTTCATGTCGAGCTCAAAATGCGACATTCGCTATAGGCGGTACCCGAATACTCTATTGTGCTGTTTGCAAGGCGAATAATTTCCATCCAGTGTACTCTGTTTTAAGGACTTTAGAAGCCTCTATCCCGGGCCTTTCGCCCACTGCACCACGGCCGATATCTGCGTGTCCATTAGCACGATACACAGTTAAATTACCGATCTTCTAGTATTCAAGCCACTAAAAACTACCCATTCTGCTTTTAATCTAATATAAACTGGAAACTGATGGGCGAACTAAAAGGGTATCAACTGGGCAATTGCCATTATACGGCCACGAACGTGACAGTGGCTCAGAATGACATCTCAAAGAAGGACGACCCGTCGACGATTGATACCACGTCTTGCAATTCAACAAGCAAAAGTTAGAGCCAAGCGCTGCCTAATTTGACCGCAGCTCCAACTGGTGCATACTTTCAACCGTGACATACAACACAGAACTTGTGGGCATTAGGATTGAACTGGGTGTTTGCATTTCCGTGGGATTCATAATGGCAAGGCGAATGTTGATATACTGGAGCGAACAGAAGAAACGTAGACAGGGGCACCGGCAACAACAACAAGAGCAACAACATTACCGATATTAACTGCAAATTACAAGCTATTAGTGAGAAGGATCGTAAAACAGGGAATATTTGGAAGACTTCTGAGCTACTTAGCTCGTTTGCTGCACAGCGTAGCATCTAAAGCCCGCTCGGAATTACCAGGCTCGATATGATTCCAGATTCATATCTTAGATAATCATATTGAAAGAAGTTTTCAAGTCACGATCGTTATTCATGATGAAATCTTTGAAATATCTCCAGGAGTGCTCTTGAAGCATATCTTGACCGACTCGTCTATCCTTGGATACACGCAGACACGGACGGTGTTTAGACTCAAGTTGGGAGGGGAGAAAAGCAAACCATGTTTGTTGACATTAAAATTATAAATCTCTCTGACGAGGAAGCTCCTTCCACGTAGGGAATGAGCACTCTTCGAAATAGGTCTCCCTCTCTCGATAGCCCAAGGGTGAGCCTTAGTTGTTGGTTAGTGGTGGCCACCTATAATCTCCCCAACTTTCTTCCAGTATCTTGCGGAGCTCCTCTTCCTCAACGCCGGTCCCCATTTGATGACCGGAAAGACTGTCAGGTTATGAGCTAGCCCAAGAAAGCCAACCAAGATGAACGCATTCTGGTAGCCCAATTTGATAGCCCAAGGAGTCACACTTGGAGATTCAGAGTTAATACAGTGGATTGAATACACTTTACCGCCAACCCACCGGGGGCAACTTACGCGTAGCCGATTCAAAATGACATTGTGTTTCGAACAATTATGACTGTAGCCAAGGCCTCACCACCCACGTCTCTATAGCTGTCGATACAGTAAGCAATAGAAATCTGTGAACCCGCGGTTGTGGTAAACGAAATCACACCCATGGCGAACACCACGCCGAACCAGTGAACTTGGTGGTATGCTCCGACACCAAAAAGAATACACCCAAGGGGTATCAGAAGGAGCGATGGGATGAACAACCACAACCGATATTCAGCTTGGAAAATCCCTTTTTTTTTGACGGGCGAGGTCGAGAATCAAACAATCACCAAATATCCCTGTGTTGTACGCTCTGAAACATTTGCTTAGAAGGTCATCCTGTAGCTTCAATACTTGGGAGCCTTCGACTGTCCGTAGGACTTACGCGAGTGATGTCCCCACTAGCGGGGCAATAAATGTCAATCCAACCATTGAAGTAGACATATTGTAAGGCCGATCCGATAGCACCATTGATTCCGTTGCATTGAGGAATGTAAGCCACACGATGTTGTATCCGTACAAAAGACCTGCGTATACAATGATTGGATACCCTAAATGGAGACCCTAGACGCCTATGAAGGGTTCGATAAACGTGGCAAGTCTCTGATGTATACGGGAGGAAATGGTTTCTACGTGAGTTCCACTTCTAGCCCGTATGGCGGCTCTAAAAAGCAATACTTTGGCTAATCTTTGGCTCTAATCCAAATAGTGGCGCTCAGTTACCGATCCAAAACGCCCTCATCGCATGGAAGTCCGTCGAGCCGATGTTGGTGCTCGCACGCACGAGCTTCCTGCCGGCGAGCGGGTTCACTCATTGAACGGCCAACTTGGAGGTCTCTGGCGCTCGCTTGGTCGCCGCCCAAATCTTCTCTTTGGCATTGGTAGCTGCGTCTCCGGGAAAGGCCCTGGGCGGGCTTTCATTCCGACCGAGGAGGCCCTTAATGACCCATTTCTCTCCTGGGTTTGGAAGGAACTAAGCGAAAGCTCAAAGAAACCCCTCGGGGCGCAGGGTCTTGCAGTTGGTGCGAGTGGTGATGAGCTTGACCGGCTAGACTTTGGGATTGGAAGTCCTTCAAACGCAATCTTAATCGCTCGGAGTGAACGCCATGATGACCACTTCATGCTTTTTAACGAGGAATTGATTTTCCCGATGATTGGCACTCTGGGATCGACCTCGCCGTTAGTACGTAGCGATATGGTGTACTACGAGTCGGCTAGAGGAGGTGCTGTTTTCAGTGTGGGAAGCATCAACTGGAACAATTGTTTGGCTTGGGATGCTTACCAGAACGATATAGCCCAAATAACCGAAAATGTGATTCAGGAGTTTCTTGCCCTTGGCGAGAGGCTTCGACGTTGTGCCCTATAAACTGATTTTAAGGGCCAGTCTGGGCGTAGGAACCAGACATTTCTTAAAAGCACTACATCAAGTCAACTCTCTAAGGAACCTTACAAAGGCGACTCAATCAATGGCAATATCAGAACAGGCTTCATCGTTTCGGTTCTAGTTGTAGGGTCATTGACTCGCCAGGCAGTAGACTACCCCCGGCAATACCTTCCTACAGCGACACTCCTATATCGACCCATATAAGATATACTTCGTGATTAGTATCAATGTGGGTCACCGGATGCCCAGGTGGACATACATATAGTAAGGGGTCTCAAAGTGAAGTGTTCACTCATTGGCCACTGCGATCCCGGATCCCTGCTCCTGGGAGTGGCCCCCATTTAACCTTAAGTGCGCCACGGCCTTCCGGTCCCACTTGTACAAACCTGGTGCAGATGCTGAAGAGCATTGCCGGTGATGGCAAATACAAAACTACAAAAGTCTACTTTTCACAGTGGCTGGAATGAGGTGTTTGAGCGATCGATCACCGAATAAAATATATACGAGCAGCTATAGTGCTGCCGAGGTATGAACACGGCCACGGGCCAACCAAGCAAGAGTAAGGAAAAATAGAAGTAAAGGCCAGACTCCGCCAGCACCAGTCCGTGTAAGCAAATATCAAAGGAGAATTGAAAAGGGGAAAAGAAAATAAAGAAGGGGGAAATAACAAATGAAAGGAAACCGTCAAAGTATAAGGCCCCCCGAAAACACCGTTTAAGCCATCACGCCTCCATTTTTTGTCTTCATCTGCCAACCCAAGCAAGAGAAATTAATCCTGCCCAGTCATTATTCGTCTGCGAGGCACCCCAAACGCCAGTCTTTTTTTGCGCTGCGGGTGGGTTCTTCGCTTATAATGCTGGGTGAGATGAGCAAGCTCATCGAGAAGTTTCATGGAAATTTTAATAGTCATCACCGTCATCATCATCACCGTCCCCACCGCGGCCGCGAGGTCCCTTCACTCCATCCTTTCGGATGGGGATCTTGATACCTTGCAGCGCGAAGCACTTGCTCAGTTGGGTGCTCTCGATGACACCGGGGAACTTCTTGGCGGAGAAGACTTGGAAGGGTTCACTAAAGACTGAAGCGAGAACGGGCGCTGAGCCCTGATTGATCACTGGGGCACCGTTACTTGAATCAGTTGATGGCGTTCCGACATTAACGAAACTCATCTTGAGACTGTGGAAGTTAGCAGGTGTACCGGAGAGGCTGTGTGTGTGCGCGCGCGGGTGTTGGTTTTGCAGAACTTACCGAAAGGAACCTTCAGTCCGCACACTCAAATCTTGCAGGATAAACCATACGCCGATCTTGTTGTCCGGATCGGTCAATCGGAATGCGCTGGCGCTGAGACTTCCGATCAGATTGCGGGTGAACATTCCTCCAGGGCCGCCCGAGACAGGCTGAGCAGGAGACATGGCGGCGGGCATTTGGCCGCCCTGGGGAAACCCATAGGGCGGATAGCCAACCGGCTGCTGGGCATATGGATGCTGATTCGGATACATCTGGCCGCCACCGTAGTAGTTCATGCCGGGGTATCCAACTGGCTGGGCTCCGTAGGCATTTTGACCGTATCCGGCGTAGGTCGGGGAGATGTTGTTTTGAGGCGGGGGAGGATATGAGGAGGACATGGCGGTCGAGATGGAGGGCGAAGTAGCCGAGTGCTTAACCAGATTTACTTCATTGGTGCCGTCGGCGTTCCATAGGTCAACGGTGAGGACATAGAAGGATGTGTCGATTTCACTGCGCACAGTTAGAAAGAGAACGAAGGGAAGACGTATTCGATGGGAGGAAACCTACTTGATGTCAATTTCTTTTCCGGAGTGGATATCGCGGACGATAAGTCGGATGCATGGGGGTGGAGTGATGGGTCTTCGGTCCTAGAGATGAAGTCAAGTCAGTCAACGCGATTCAGATCCGGTACCCGACCTCAGCTGGGAGTGCGGGAGAGCGGGAGTGCAGCGGAAAGGACACCCACCTTGTCGCCAAATCCGCACATCCGGGCGCGGATAGGCTGTTGGACGACCTGTAAGGACCATTTGCGACCATCATAGTCGGTCTCGATGGGGGCGAGGTGATCGGAGGGGAGAAGAGAACCGGAGCCAGGGGTGGGATAGGCGGCGGACGGGGCAGGGATGCGGTCCATTGAGAGAGGAGGTGGTGGCTGCGGCAGCGGATGGGCCCTTTCCTGTTCTATAGCGTACATGGTTCGAGATGGAGAGGAACCGGGGGCGAGACTCGCGACAAAAACGACGGAACGGTCCTTTTACAGATATGATCTGATCGATGGTATCTCGTGGCTCGTGAATCGCGATCGTTGGCGATCAGAGAAAGGCCAGTTGCTGGAGGGATTGGAGGGAGGAGGGAGAAAGAGGTGACATGCGACCCCGCAAAATTCACACGTCACTGTTGAAGCATCGACTTCGGGCGGCAGTCGCAGAGGGAGGCGGTGTGGGAAGTGATAATTGTCTTCGTTCGAGGATGACGATGGGAGGATGATTGCGATCGCAAGATGGCGGAGACGAAGAGTGAGAAACGAGGTCGAGGACCAGGACCAGGACCAGGCGAGGGTTGTGGGCTAGTGCAAATCGAATTGCAGAGCCGATGAGACGAGATGAGGTGAAGTGGAATAAAATGAAAATGCGCAGTTCCCACCGGAACCAAGGAAATGAGCAGTGGCGAACGACAAGCGAGAGAAGCGAGAGCGAGACTGAGAGGGAGGAGGAGAAGGAGGGGGGTCAGATCAAATCGCTGTAGGATTGGAACAATGCTCTCTGCAGGTTTCTTTCTTTCTTTCTTTCGTGCGGTCGTTCTTTCTCCTTCCTTGCTAGGCTCTCGGAGATGCAACCGTCAGTGCGGAATGTCTGGATCCGCCCACTTTGAAGGATCGGGTCCGGGTCTGGGTCGGGCGAGCCAAGTGACGAAGCTGTCAGGGCGCGGGAGATTGGCGGGCTTCCACGGATCGGGGAGACACTACTGCAGGAGTGGAAAGTGGAAGGCGATCAGACTAGTATTTCCCAACAGGATAAGAAATAAAAGTAGGAGTGACAGTAAGTGGAGGAGGAGAAGGAGGAGGGAGGTGAAGTGTGGTGAAGTGAAGTGAAGTGTGGGAGTGAAGAGTGGAAGTGGAAGAGGAAGGAAGTGGGGAGTGTCGAAAACGTCACTCTCTGCAGTCACTCACTCACTCACTGAGTAACTCACCCTATCCACTACACTCACCCTACACTAATGTACTGTACACTGACTACACCTAATCATTGCCATCCCAACTGTTCTTGATCCGCACCCCAGCGCAGGAACCTGGACCCGGCCACTCGGTCAGTGGGTTCGGTCCAATCCCAGCGTTTCATTTGCTGGGATGTAACCGCCATCCCCTGCGTCCGTTTGCATCAGTCCACTTCCGCTGTCAAGAGTCCACTATCGAGAGTCCACTATCGAGAGTCCACTGTCGAGTCCGGCTGCGGAAGCTTCCTTGTCAGTCTCTCTGTCGTTTATGCTCTGTGCCCATTCTACTGAGTGCTCCCTATGACTCGGGCAATTCTTGCTCGGGTAATTCTCGGCATCCTCGGCATTTTCGCCCGAGACCGTCTGGTCCAATGGCATCGCGTCAGATACTCGTACTAGTGAGGGCATCCCCGCACTTTCTGCCAGAGGCACAGCCAAGAGCTGTCACTGCGAGAATCTTTCACCTCAACTCCGTTCCATTATATCACATCTTTGTAATATCACATCTCTGGTTTCCACGACCACTCGGCCCCTGCCGTGAACCAGAACCAACCCTCGACGGCCCATGTTTGACAACGGGCCTCCTGGACCAAACCTCTTGACCCTCACTCCGTCCCCCACTGGTACCGTCCATGAACCAGGGGATCGATATAAAACCGATGCCGGGAGTTGCACAGATGAGTTCCAGTGTTAGAGTGCCCTGTCAACGATTAGTACTACTAGTAGTATAGTACCAGCACTATATATAGACAACTTGAAATATCAACGCCATGGTGTATGGTCACTGCGTGCTTGCTTCAGCCTGATATCTCTGCCAGCTGGCCACGGATGCCCTCTGCAGACAATATGAGCCCTTTGCCAAATACTAGTACGAATATGTCGACATTCGGCTCTCATGCTGTCGGCGAGCGGATCGGCAAATACTAGCACTAGTACTACTCGTGGTAGTAGCTTGAACCCTTCGGAATGACCCTGTATTGGCATGGATCCGATTGGCGAGCCGCGGCCAAGCAAGTGGCGGTGATCGCAGCCTGTCACTCTGCAGAGACTAGGGCAACTAGTACTAGTACTACTAATGGAATAGTACTAGACAAGGGAAGGTAGTGGCTATACAACCCCGCACGAATACCTCTTGCAAGGTTCTAAGAGTAGTACTACTAATGCAGTAGCAGTAGTAGGACTGCTTACTTTCATCACGCGATCCCTCACCCTTGAACATTGATAATACTAGCATTCCAAGGTTGCTAGTATATCTTACCCTTCTCTCAGTCCCTCGGCTCTCGCCTCTCGCGCGATGTCTGCACATCGCTTCTTTTGATGGCTCATGGGTGCACCTGATGACGTGCTGGGCAGGAATCCCCATGTCTACTAAGCAACATCAACAAATAACATCCTCTTCTCCGCACCCCACACACGTCTTCCGCACTGGATGAGGTGCATTGGGCCTTCTCACGCAAAGTTCTCACATCATGTTGTGATTGAATGCGTGCTGGTCTGCGGATGCAGCACCATAGTGACATCTGTGACTTCCCCATGACAACAAGAGGTATTTGAAGCCACCGAATTCCTCGTGTTTTGACCATGAAATCCTCAATGAGATTGTGGTTTGGTCACTCCTATATCCTCTATTGCCCATATTGCTTCATCTTCTTCCATCGTGGTCGAATCGGTGAATACTAGCTTCGCTTCCAGATCACTGCTCCACAGCATGTTTCCTCGTGCCTGGAGGGCAATCGCCCTGGTGGCATCATGTTTGATAGCTACCGCTAGCAGTGCTGTTACCTACTCTCCAGTAAAGCCTCCATCATACCCACTAGCGGTGCGCAGTCCATACCTGTCGGGTGAGTGTCATATTCTGGATCGAAAGATCGACTCCCCCCAACTGCCTCACTCAGCTATATATGTATTAATTACTGATCGACACCAGCGTGGATCCCAGGAAGTCTAGTTGAATCTTTGCCCTCCCATAATGCTCAATTTTGGGCTGGCAACAACCTGGTCTGGTCTGTCATCGCACGGGTTGACGGCAAGACATACAATTTGTTTGGCGTGGCCAGTCCCAACGATGAGACGCAGTCCGCCACGGTGACTGCTGCCACTTACACTTCCACCCATTCCACATTCACCGTGACAGCTGGATCGCGCCAGTTCACCCTCGACTTCTTCTCCCCAGTTTCTCCCAAGAATTATGTGCGCCAGTCGCTGCCTTTCTCCTACCTGACAGTAACTGTAACAGCAGGCAACTCTGCTTCCGTGCAAGTTTACACCGACATTGATTCCAGCTGGACCGGTCAGGCCAGCGACTCGACTTGGAGTTACTCCACCAGCGGCAAGACAGGCGTGTTCCAGATCGAGGCCAATGGGGCCTCAACTTATTCGCAGAACAGCAATGGTCAAGCACTGTGGGGCAGCGCCGTCTACGCCACCCGCCCGTCGGCCAGCAGCACACTCTCCACACAGTCGGGGCCACGAGTCGCCGTACGAGATCAATTTGTCAACAATGGCACCCTCAGCGGGAATCACGCCGCCTGGTCCTCGGGCGGAGTGGTGGCATTCGCGCATGATTTGGGCACCACGACCAGTGCATCGGCAGTGACTTTTGCTATTGGACATGTCCGTGAGGAGTCGATTGATTTCCTCGGTGAGGCACAGACAGGCTACTACCGAGCCTCGTACAAAAGTACCACAGCTGCGGTGGTTCACTTCCTAGACGATTATTCCTCAGCGAAGAGCGAATCGACCGATTTTGACAGCTTGATCGAATCCACCGGCACGTCTAGCTATGGGTCAAACTACTCGGACATCCTGGCTCTCTCTGTGCGACAGGTGTATGGCGGTATCGAGATCACCATCCCTAATGATTCCCTAGATACGGAATATGTGCGTGCTTTCATCAAGGAGATCTCCAGCGACGGCAACATCAACACTGTGGATGTCATCTACGCCACATTCCCCATCTTCTACACCCTCAGTCCCGACTATCTGAAGCTCCTGCTTCTTCCGGTCTTCGAGTACCAAGCCAGCGATGCCTATACCAAAGAATATGCAGTACATGAAATTGGCGCGAACTACCCCAACGCGACAGGTCACCCGGCCGATGGCGAGGAAATGCCAATCGAAGAGAGCGGGAACATCATCATCCTGACCTACGCATACGAGAAAGCCTCCGGAAACACCGACTTATCGGATACCTACTCTGCACAGCTGAAGCAATTCGCGGAGTACTTGTACGAAAATGGTCTCTACCCAGCTTCGCAGCTCTCGCTGAACGACGCTCTGGGAGAATTGGCCAACCAGACCAACCTCGCCGTGAAAGCCGCAGTGGGCCTAGCCACATATGGCGCACTTACCGATCAGAAAAACTATACCACGACAGGCCGGGAATGGGCTGACAAAATCTGGACAGATCATCTGGGGACAGATGATGCCGGGACTCGCTTCCTGATCCAGTACGACACCACCCCGTGGTTCCTCGTCTTCAATCACTATCCGGACGTGCTCTTCGACCTGGATGTCTTCCCAGATGAGGCTTACAATGCAACTACAGACTTTTACCCCACGGTACGAGAAACTGCCGGGGTGCCTCTGGATGGTGCTATAGGTTGGGGCCAGACAAATTGGCAATCCTTCGTCGCTGCGACTGTTACTGGCGACACCCGAGACCTATTCATCAGTGACCTCCACGCTTATCTGTCCAATGGTCTGAACACGGCTCCCTGGTCGGATCGTTATTGGGTCGAGGCGAGTAATGGGTATTCTGCCGGACAATCTTATTCTTTCAGGGCACGTCCCACTCTAGGAAGTCACTTCGCATTAGCCGCTTTGTCAGGAGCGAACATTTGGAGCTCTTGAGTTTTCGAATGATCTTTTATTGTCATCGGGGGAGGGGGTCCAGATACTTCCAGCCTGCTTATAGGTATCTGCTTAATGAATTGACGAACCTGACTTCTATTATATTTCATTTACGTAGACGCATATATAACGCGCTCTGATATTCTCCTTGCTGTCCCTGTTTGTGTATAGTGCAGTCCCCCTATTCTCGGGATATGGCCCAAGTCTTCAGCCCCGCAAACAACATAAGGCTCAAAAGCTTGCGTAAGCCTCCCCTTGGCACATACTAGTAATGTCCTCCTTTGACGCCTCTTCAGGAGCATACTCATGTAGAATCTTCCCCAATTGTCGGGATGTGGGGGTCTTCACTTGTGGCCCACACCAGCTCAGTCACCTCAATTCCTCTTCAGCTACTCCACAGCTACCCCGGATCTACCTTGACAGCTCGTTCTTCTCCACTTCCTCCCGAACGGGTCACTTACAGTGGATCAGTTTCTTCATTCTAGGTTGTGAACCCCCTTGGAGAAAAAAAGTGATTGCGCGGCCTTGCAATTCAATAGGGAGGTCGTGGCTCGCCTATTTAAGATCGGGAGTACCGCTGCAAGACTTGAATCCCAGGTCCACAAAAAACCAGAAAACCATCCACCACTCGAACGATGTTCTCCAAGTCCCTTCTCCTCTGGCCAGCGGTCGCGCTGGCCTCAGTTACTATTGAAGATCCCTCAGACGTGATTGATCCAAAGTGGTGGGCCGCGGACAATGCCATTATTCCGGACTACAACATTCCCTTCGTCGAGGTGCAGCCTTCGAATAGTGGGTTTTCATTCGGAGAAAATGTGGATAACATGCAGGTTACTGATACAGGATCTAGTTGTTGCAACTCATAATATCAAGGGCAAGGCTGCGAGTGCAGACCATACCACCTGGTACGCGACAGCTAACGATACCAGCGTACTCTTGGTTTCTGAAAAGGGGTCTTTCAAAGGCTCGTATATAACATTTGAGAAGAGTGGCTACTCGTCCAACCTGGACGATGCCAGTTTCTGGGGATTCAATGCAGCGATCAACGTGGTAAGTTTCCTCTCTCTCTTCAGTTCAAAACATCTCCCTCGCCTCTGCCCTAACCCCGTCCTGCTTAGGCCAATGCCTCGACCGCGGTCTTCGATCACATCAATGTCACTGTTCACAATGGAGCTGCTGGAGTCTACGCCTACGGCACTGATACCGTGGTCAACGTCACCAACTCTTGGCTATACTCCTCCGGACCTGTGAGTCATGGCCTCTATGCTTCTGGAAATGGGACCATTTACGGCAGCAACCTTGAGGTTTACTCCGGTGGCTATCGCTCCTCCAGCTTCTCCGGCGATTCCCCAGCCGGCTACGTCTATGTGAAGGATAGTGTGGCTCATTCCTCTGGCATTGGTTCTGCCACCTTCTACGCCCTAGGGTCTATTGATGCAAGCAATATCGTCAGTGTTTCGGAGAAAGGTCCTGTTATTTTTTTCGGATGGTGCACAGACTGCCACCCTGGTTGATTGTGACTGTACAGCCGGACTGCTCGGTGGAGTCGCCATGTTCAGCAGCCAGATCAGAAACGACGCGGACAGCCCTGCCACTCTTAACCTGACAAACACCAAGTTCACCACTACCGGCAAGACAATGCCAGGCCTCTGGTTCGGCAATCTAATCGGCCAGGTCACTCTCAACAACGCCGAACTGAATACTGACTCTGGAATTTTGGTCGTTGCCAATTACTCCCAGATCACTCAGGACTTTGACTACTACGCTAGCTACGAAGACAACAGTAGTCTCAAGCCCGCCGAGATTACAGTGTCTATTTTGGAGTCCGACCTCGTCGGGGATTTGGTTGCATATAATGGTAGTTCCATTAGTTGGGCCTTGACCAAGCACAGTACCTGGACCGGCGCTGCTTACTCTGGCTACGCCAAGTCTACATTCGATGTTTCCCTAGATGCTACCAGCCAATGGACTCTGACGGCTGATACCACTGTTCAGAACTTCACCGATACCCTTCGTACACTGAAGAATGTTCACTCTGGAGGGTTCACCTTGTACTACAACTCGACCGTGAGCACCTGGCTGGGCGGAAAGACTGTTCGACTTCCCGGAGGTGGCAAGGCTCGTCCTATTTCCTCGATCTCTAGCCGTGTTCAACGAAATGGTCAGTCGTGGAGGGTTTAGATTGATCAGTGTTGATTGGAATGATGTGCACCTAGCCTTGAGCTTAACGAGGCTCTGAAGGTAATCCGTATGCCAGGCAGTTAGAGATGAGGAGCTCCTGTATTTTCAAGATACCATAGCGCTCATTGAAACTAGATCTTACACCAAAGGTTCATAATGAAATAACTTCGGTCCACTCTACCCCGACAAGCTTCAAGCTGGAAATCACAATAGTGTTCCTATCCTAACCCCGCACTGATCGCTCAATTTATGTAATATCTATTATATTGCACCAACCCTTCGAAATAGCCCTCTCATATCGCGGAATGTGGGCCACCAAGTATATCTTCACGAATATACTCCGCGCTAGACCGGGTTCCCCGCGGGGTAAATGGTTCTCATAGGCGGTCCTCGTTTCGGTCAAGCATCACCCCGACCTCGGGACACTAGCTTCGCTTATGAGCTTAGTACGGAGCAACCGATCTGCGCCCCTGCCCGCTCTCTAGTTCAAGTTGAGATCATCACAGTATCCGTATTCGTATTAGTTCCTTCATTCTGCACTTGTTTCTTGCTCCTTAACCGAGTCGACGTCTTGCTCCGAGTCTTTTCGTGGGCTTGCCCTGCAGCCTTCGGTGCGAGAAAACCCGAGCATATTATTACTACTACTAGCCGGATGATCCGACTATGCATTACTGCGAATATATATGAGAAGGGGTTCTCCTGCTATGATCTGAGAGGTGGCTCTGGCTAACTCAGTCTCACGATGTGGTTGGCCGTCAAATTATTCAGTTTCTTGCTGCTTCTGCAGCCTGGGATAGCAGATACAAATGACCAAACCTCAGCAACAGTGAACCGAGGATCATTCCAAAACCCATCAGCCCGACTACGTCCTCGCTTCAGATACTGGCTTCCAGATTCCGGTGTCGATGCTGAGATAGTTCAGCAAAACATCAAAGCTGCCGGTTCCCTCGGCGCAGGCGGTGTTGAATTCTTGCCTTTCTACAATTATGGTGGCCAATTGGGTCCTGCGCCGGCGGGGTCGAACTGGTCCCGGGATGGATTTGGAACCGAGGCTTTTCACAGCATGTTTCTAGCTGCGTTGCACGCGCACAAGGAGGCAGGCCTGGTGATGGACTTCCCGTTAGGTCCGAACCAGGGACAGGGTGTTCCTGCAGACCCGAGTAATGAGGGCTTGCAGTGGGATTTGGTAGGTAGGAGGAGACCTACAAGCAAAGGTATTTACTGACTTTCTCAGGAACCATTCTCAGTCTCCATTCCTGGTGATGGCCACTTCGATGGAGAGATTCCTGGCTGGGGTGCCGGTGAGCTGGTTGCACTTGTTTCGGCTGAAGTGTTACGCTCGACAAACAGTTCTCACCTGCAGTTAACCCTGAAGAATGGAACGTTGACGGACTGGGCTAGCAAAGTATCATCCACTGGAAGTGTCTCTCTCGATCTCCCGACATCCCAAAACACATACCGACTTTTTGCGTTCTACCAATTCCTCAGTCATAACAAGAATTTGCAGTACAGCTCAACTCCAGCGAAGACTATCTTTGACAATGGGTCTTATGTGGTGGATCACTTCACTGCTCGCGGTGCTAAAGTGACGACGAAATTCTGGGAAGAGTACATACTTCCAGGCGGAGTCAAGGAATTGCTTATGGAAGTGGGCAACTATGGTAAAATAGCCCTCTGACACTAGCCCTTTTGTTTTCTTCAACTGATTCTCGATTTCTTTTCAGGCTGGGAGGATAGTATCGAGATACTTTCTAATATTTCCTGGACGCCGTCACTGCCAAGTACCTTTCAATCTAAATATGGATACGATTTGAAGTCAGTGCTACCGATCATCATGTTCAGCAACAACAACATCAACACGCAAAGCACTCAACCAGGCGCTATCGAATGTCTTTTGAATACTCCAGACCATGGCCTCGGTTACATCAACGATTTCAGAGGTGTCTTGGTAGATGGGTATCGGAGCTATCTTGAAGAGTTAACACGTTGGGTAAATTCGGAGCTGAATCTCCAAATGTCAGCCCAGGTTTCCTACAACCTGCCGATGGATATGGAATCCAACATACCATTCGTGAATGCCCCTGAGTGCGAAAGTCTCCAGTTCAAGGATAGTATCGACGGTTATCGACAGTTCACTGGATCGGCACACCTTGCCGGTAAACGTGTTATCTCCAACGAGATGGGTGCTGTCATGATGAAGGTGTATCAACTGACTCACAGTGAGCTTCTTTACTCCATTAACCGTGCTATCGTGGGTGGTGTCAATCAGATGGTATTCCACGGACAGTCGTATACTGGAGAATACTACGGCACTACGTGGCCAGGATATACAGCCTTCTTATATCTGTTCTCGGAGATGTACTCCGACAAACAGCCTTCTTGGGATCATGGCTTTGGCGATCTTCTGAATTATACGGCTCGAGTGCAGTATCTTCAACAATCAGGTGTCCCACGGACTGATGTGGCAATTTATAACAAGGTGTCTGGGACTGACCCCAACTTTCCGACTCTCTACACTGCAAATGATCTAATCGACGCCGGTAAGCTTCCTTTATCTCATCGCTATGATTGATATTAATATCTTCGTCTAGGATACACATATTCCTACCTGTCACCAGATAATTTCGCTCTCCCCGAGGCTAATGTTCACGACGGGACTTTGGCTCCCAATGGACCCGCATACAAGGTTCTCGTAATCACCAGCAACAGCAATCTCACACTTTCCGGTGTCCATTACATTCAAAAATACGCTCATGCAGGTCTACCCGTAATTCTTTCTGGCGGAGACCCTGGCGTCTACGCCAGCAATGATGACAGGGACAAGACATCCATTCGAAAGGCAATTCAGGCTCTCAAGAAGTCAGCGAACGTCTACAGTGTCTCCGCTGGTCAGGTTTCTGCCAAACTCCATGCTCTCAGTCTACGTCCACAAGTTGCGACACAGACTAACGGGACATGGTACACCACCTGGCGTGAAGATTCCCAAACTGGCATAGACCATGCATTTGTTTTCTGTGATGTGAATGCCTCAACTGGTACCTTGGACATATCCACTCACAAGACCCCATTCTTGTTCGATCCTTGGACTGGATCAAAAGAGCCATTGCTGGGTTACACCCAGAGCAAAAGTCGTGTAACCATCCCCCTTTCCCTGGCAGGGAACCAGACCATCATTATCGGGTTCAGTGAGGATGAAGACATTTCCACAAAGCACGCCACCAATACTCCATCTTCGGTAATTGGATATGATACCCAGGGCAACGCCGCCGTCTCAGCCAGCAAGTCTCAGCAGTCTTTAGTCCTCTCCAATGGCAAGAAAGTCATGCTACCTTCTTCAAAGGTTGCAAGCTCAATTGTCCTTTCCAACTGGACCCTCACTGCAGAGCATTGGGAGGCGCCCAGCAATATTTCGGATGCGTCCACCATTGCCACCAAGCATAACACAACCCACCAGCTAGTATCTTTGGTTTCCTGGCGCCAGATTGAGGGATTGACGAACTCGTCCGGTTTGGGATACTACACCACCCACATCACCTGGCCACCAGTTAAAGGGTCTGCCGACGGGGCCTATCTCTTCCTCCCTCCCATTACACATACAGCGAGATTATATGTGAATGGACATCAACTGCCACCTCTGGATCTGACAGCTCCCCAGGCGGATCTCAGCACATATCTCAAAAAGGGCTCTAATGCGCTGACCGTGATCGTTCCGACCACCATGTGGAACTATATCAGGAGTATTGCGGATGAAATTGAAACGGTGAATGTATCGATTGATTCACTTATGGCTGCGGCTGGGTATGGGCTTCCACAGGCGACTGATAATGGATTGATTGGAGATGTGAAGTTGGTGCCCTATATTACTGTTAAATTGTGATCTTGAATAGCACTCTCACCACCTAATCCGATGGTCAACCTTAGAAATAAACTACTTTCAAGGGATGAAACTACCTATGGCCCATCTGCTAGTAATAAGAGACTCCTGTAGATATAATCGACGAGAGTAGTACTCCTAGTCCCAGTAGTATAAATTATAGCCCGCTCTCCGCCCTCCGCCCTCCGCTCCGCCAAGGCGGAAACAGACTTTGATCGGATCCGGACCCTCCTCACCAGCTGATCTCCCAAACTTGTTCACCCTTCAATCTCGATTCGGCTTCACACAGACTCAGACAGACCACAATGTCAGGCCGAAACATCTCCTATGGCCGCGGAGGCGCTGGTGAGTCAATCCGAAGTCTCTGATCGCATCGCATCGCAAACTGACCTCACCTCCCCAACCCAGGCAACATCTCGCGCCAACACTCAGCCCCAACGCCCAAAGACCTCGTCACCCCCACAATCAAGCAAGAAGTCTACACAACCGGTCGCGGTGGCTCAGGAAATATGGCTCACAATGATCCCGACCGTCCTGAGATCGCGCGAGAAAGTCAGGATGTCGAGTCTCTCCTCCTCCGGGCGCAACAGCTGCCCCACCACACTGGACGAGGTATGATATGCCTTCCCAGCTACCAGCAAAGTCATACCAAGCGATTAGATTGGCTTAGCTTGGCTTGCGTTAGCCTGACTTGCATTGATACTGACGATTCATCACAGGCGGCGCGGCAAATGCTTATATCCCCACAATGGAGGAGGAAGAACGGGCGAGAAAGGAGCAGGAGCAGGTTAATGAGCTGATGCGGGTGCGCACACAGGATAAGGATCGCATTAGGGAGGTGGAGCATGAGCGTCAGGAGTTGCGGAAGCCTGATCCGGTGCATTTGGCGCAGCGTCAAGGTCGATCGGGCGACCGAGCTTGAACTTGACCGCGCTTGACAGTTCGATCGCGGCGCTGGTCATGGTGTCGATTATTATGTTGATCTGGGCCCCGATACAAGCGTCAACTCCAACGCCAATGCCTCTTTGAATTCGATCTCGTACCCAGAGCCGTCGACGAACAAACCCCACCGGACAATCTGGGTGGAAGGACACCAATATACTGCCAGTGCTGCGGGCAGTGCTGTAAGGTGGGGTCGGGCTTATCTTCGTGCTTATGCTTTTTCCCTCTTTCATCCCTTTTTTTTTATCTCCAACCTATTGGGCCAGGAAGATAGATGGCGCTTGGTGTCTGGGGTCGGTTATTCTTACATAGTTTTCTTTATCGGCGCAGGGAGGTCTCTATTGATGGGATTTCTATCCTAATGACAACGCTTTCATGACTCGTTATATACAATGGTCACACCTTCCATTGCGGTGACTGGCGCGAATGCAGGGATCATAACTGGGAATAGCTTGTGCAGTTTTCAGGGAAATGGTCCGAGTCGTGGACAGGACCTGCCCGGCCATGGTTTCGCCTCCACCACCTGGTAGTTCCGCCTCAGCCCTCTGCAACCACCATCATCGCCACCGATTCTTCCCTGCAAGAAAAGAGGAGCGAGTGACTCGTCACGTAGCTGGCTCAAACCATTGCTCTGGCCAAGAACAGCCGGTAGCATCGATAGGCCAGCTAAGTAGGTCGCACCACTCTGATCCCAGGAGATCAACAATCTCTTTGAGGATCCGAGCCCCCCAATTCCCCATCCACCACGAGTCCCGCAGATGGTGCAAAGTGACTGCGTAGTGGGCGAGTACCGCCAAGGCAAACGGCTCTCGTTCTCGGACCAGATCCTGAAACCGACCGGGGATGCGAAAAGTCCAGCAAAAAACAAAGTCTTTGGGCTCACCGCCGTTCATCAACTGCTCCAGGCAGTGGCTCAGATGTTCGATGGTGTTTTCATAAACGCCCCTCTCATGGGCAGGATTGCGTGCAGCCTCGATTTCATTCTGCCGCTGCATTTCTCGCACCACCAGTCGCGACATATCTGGCATGGTCGGATGCAGCGTGGCAGGTCGTACAAGAGGCCATAGCTCGCCACCAGCAACCCGCTCCATCGTCGTCATCATGGCCCTCACGAGCCATCGTGTGAGTTCAAAAACTTCGAGAAACTCGTCCAATACGTCTGGCTTCCCGTCCTCTTCCATGCTATCATCAATCAAGCAGTATCCAAAGGACCACACCAACAATACGCAGCACAGAGCGAAGGCAGCGTCGCACTGCGATTGGGAGAGCTCCCCCTTCCCCGTCCGGATGGATTCCTCTCAGTGCCTCGGCATGGTGCTCCCGCGCTGTAACTAGATATCGCCACTTGCGTTGCGGAGCTCGACTAGCTCCAGCCAGCTGCAGAGCCGATAGGGCCAAAAGCCCATGTCGAAGAGAGGGAAAACGCAATGATATTTGAGGAATAGTTGTCTGCCAGAGTGCTTCGGCTGTTCCGTCTCGCGACATGGATTTGTATGTCCTCGTGCACCAGTTCATCATCAACTCCATATCCTGCAGATTGCAAGAGTCCTGCGATTCGGAACCAACTTTTGCCACCGGCCGCTCCTCCTCCATGAATTGTTTTGACGGCGGTACGAGGTCCGTCATGGAAGGCGAGCTTGAGACCGAGGACTCTGCGGTGGAAGCAGTAGAGCCACTAGAAACAGAGGACCCAGAGCGAGTTTTGCTCTCCAGGCGCGTCAAGCGGGGCCGAGGCAACCCTAGCATGATAATGTTGCGATCAAGGGAAAGAGGGCCCGCATCAACAATCTGGACAAATGGTCAGATAAAAACAAAGACCGTTGAGAGGGGCAGCAAGCAGCTGTCTGGGCGCGGAACTAGTCGGGAAGGAGCTGTTGCTGTCGCCGCATGGCTGAAAGGCTAGGGCCGTACCTGATATTCGTGCAGGCTCTGGCAGAGTCGCTTATTTGTGGCGGACATGGGTATGGCATCGGGGTGGGGGTTATCAAAAGGCGTCACTGGGGATCCAGCAAGCTTTCACCTAGGTGGTGCTGTGAGATCGGGCATGAGTGGTATGAGTATGCGCACACCGCGGTGGCCCCAGACTATATACGCTGGACGGAGAGTATCAGGCGAGTATAGAAAGGGAGGATGAGAAAAGGGACAAGCCAGCAAGAAGCAAAGTCGATCCTGGCAATCCTGGCAATCCTGGCAATCCTGGCAATCCTGGCAGCTTGGGCGTGGGGCGTGCCCAGCAGATTCCCGGAAGTGGTAAATGCAGAGCAGTCGGCGAGTGACAGACGGACAGTAGGTCAAGGCTGATGGCAAATGTTCAAGCTCCGTCTGCCGAAGCCGCATTGCATTTCAAGCAAGTCACGGCGAAGGCGCAACCCCCTGGTCCTTGCACCAATGGCCGAGTTCCATCAGCACTTTGATCAACGGGAGGCCCACGAAGATACGAGCAGCTCTTGCCGTATCGCGGTTAGACCCAAAGTGGAGCCAAGACGAGTGGAGAATGGAAGGCGATGGAGATGGACCCTCGGGGAAGCAGATGCAAGGCTGATTGGCGGTTATGCCGATGACTCAGCAGGACGAGAAGCGCTCTTTCCGAATCGGGGCATACGTGGTGCTTAAAGCGGTGACATAAATATTATACACTACTATACTAGTATAGACTGCATTATATTGCATTTACCACTATTGAATATATTGGGTCACATTGTACAAAGTACCTGGGGCCCAGTATATGTGGCATGATACAAAGCACTACTCCATACTCGGGTATATGTGGTATACTCAATATCAAGCCATGTCTACTCAACTTCAATGCTACTATTAATGTAATGCTATTAGACACTGACATACCAGATCAAAGATCATGATTGCCCGGTTTGCTCGTACTTCTGCGATGGTGGATCACCGGGTAAGTTGTACTATAGCTACAACTACCTACTACCTGTACCATGGAAACAGGCTAATCACTATAGCTGCTAGTGATAGGCTTCCCCTTAGTCTCCTCCCCGGTCGGACTAGCGGACCAAGCGATTCCTTCTCTAATAGTTCTAGCCCACACGTCATCAAACCCCTCGCTTCGAGTTGCCGGGCCCTAACTGGCGGTGTGTCCATCCTTTGAGCCTCCGATCTGCACGGACACTTGGTGTCACGGACGTCAATGGGGTCGGAGCATACTTGTATCTTTTGGCAATTAGGATCGATTGAATTTTTTTTTTCGTTGAAAGACTCTTTCTTCGGACCCTAATATTGAAAACAAAAGTACTAGTATTGTGTCCTTGATTCCAATCAGTACAATTAAAATTCATTTCGCCTAGAAATCCTCCCGTAGCTACCTAGGCCTCCTTCCACGCATCGACAGAGAATAATGTTAAATGCCCGATCCTGTAATCCCCTTTCTGCATATTCCTGGGCACGATTGATTTCATCTTCTCTGTCTGAGTATTCATTGAGCATGACGAACAAGCTCAGGTCCATCGTCCTGGCTTGTGGATTCGAAATAACTGCTGGAACATGGGTTTGAAATCTTCAGCGACCCAGAACGCTATTCCTGTACGGTGATGGTGAATCGATAGATTCTCCAGGCTTTTTATTTTGGCTATGATTTTACAGGCCGATTTGCAGGCCTCCCCCAATACAAACTTTACTCGTAAACTTCCAGTTGTGCCCCTGCATGGAGAGTGGGCTTCTCAGTATCGTAATCACGGCATTTGTTCAATACTTTCCACGCAAATTTGTGTATCATGTACTAGTAGTATTGAATACATTGCACTTTGTAGTCCTGGCGGGCCTATTAAGATGATGAGTTACCCGCGTATGAAATCACGGGATACTATTCCCAACTCCAAAATACCGCCGTACTGGGTACATAGTACTAGGATCATGTATCAAAATTCCACCGGCTCACAGCGACCATTGTAATTAACTGCGCAAGGCACGTCGTCCTCAGAGATATCGCATTCATTATCTCCGCAATTTCCAGTCTTGAACAGCTTGTCGTCGCAATCGCCAAATCCATCCCAAAGAGTAGTCTCGTCACTCGAGACATATCCAGCACAGCGATCATTGAGACCCGTACGATATCTGCACTCGGACTTGTGTTCGTGGTCCTTGGAGATCAAGGTTCCCTCATATCCAGCGTTGTGATTCCAGACTGTTCCTTTAGTGCCATCCCCTGTAAGGTGAACTTCGTACCGGTCGTCTTCCCCACATTTGAACTTCCATGTAGTTTCGCCGCTGGCAAAATACTGAGAGTCTCCGGCTCGACATTTGAAGTCGTAACCATCGTATATCTTGACACCCATAGAATCTCCGGTAACAGGGTCATTGTTCAGGTACGCATGAACACGGATGCATGCTTCGGTCCCCGCGGCAAAAGCGAGCAGACTGCAGCTGAGATCTGAGAACTTCATGATGACTATTTGCCAAAAGAGGTAATTGAGATCTGCTTTAGGTAGAGGAGAAGGTATAGCTGATATAATACTGATAGACTTAATACTTCGTAGGGAATACATCGCGAATTTATAGATTTTCGATCACAGTCAACCCATTCTCTCCGTCGTTCAGCGCCCCCAAAATATGGCGTTTTTCCAAGCCAATTCTTGCAAAGCATCATCTCCTGGCGTTACATACATCTGAATTGGGTAGATTTTGCGCCTGTTGCACCATTGCCCAGACCTTTAGCGGGAATATTTGAACCTGTAAAGCATTGCAACTTTGGCTGGCATTCGTACTCTGGGAAGTATACTAACTATTTCTGATTTCTTTTTGGGGGCGGTGGGGGCTGAATCAACCTTGGCCTGCTCACACTTGCAAGACATTGATTCTGTCTGCCACTCAAGTGTAAATTCTCCGTTTCCGCCCCTTTCTTCAGTAATACTTGGCTGAACTTGGCTGGCGGCCTAGCCTTGGCTGCCCCAAGTGCAAATCTGCCCTGCATGGAAGGTCTCATGATTTTCAGCTTAGTAGGGGCTGGAGAATGGATGGTGCATTTCGTCCAGCCAAAGCTATAAACTTTACATGTATCTGGGTGCAGGGGTGACTTCCACTCGACCTAGCTACAGATAGATAGTAGCTTGTAGTTATGGATCTCCTATGGGCAACAAGTAATATAGATATATATTACATGATCTATATTGATAGCATAACTACATAGATCAGTTCAAGTTACAGCCTCATCATCATGATATTTTATGCCTTCTCCCAGTCCGAGAAATAAACACCTCATAGTACCCGTGGACTCTTGTTACAGAATTAGTAAGATGCACCGTCAAATGAGGTACTTGGATTTATCAAAACCAAACTAATTATTTCCTGACGATTTCCATCTACCCATTATTGTACAAGTTCTTGGATCTACTTCAAATGTCTTATTATGCATGGGATAGATACTAAGCATGCGGGGTCTTCTCCACATCGCAGCAGCCGAGCCGAGGTCGTGCCGGGACAACCAAGGACCATTCAGTATAACTTGAACCCAGTTAACCCAATTCACTGCTTAGTATTTGAATTGGATTTGTCTGGGAATAAACCGAACGAACAAATCCAGCAGAGATAAAAGTGTAGCTCATTGTGTTGATCTGTCTCTTTCCCAGGGGTTCCCTCCATTCATCTTCTCCACTTCCTTCCACTTAACTACTAGTCAGTCACTATTTACTTCCAACTTCTACTTCACTCTTCCTCTTTCACCTCCAACAATCTGCCCAAAATGATCTTCGATCCCAGTCCCTTGGAGCTCCCAGACTCCTACGAAAAGGTCCCTACAACCGGCCATGTCACCTTTTCCCACCACCCAACAGGCTCGCCCACTGTGACCCCCGTCGTGGTCGTCACGCTGAACCGTCCAGCCAACCACAATGCCTTCACCGGTCAAATGGTCCACGACTTCGAGAAATTCTTCCCCATGTTTGACGTTGACGAACGTGTCAAGGTCATCGTGCTCACAGGTGCCGGCAAGACTTTCTGTGCTGGAGCGGATCTGGACATTGGCTTCAACGATCATGTCGAGAGACGGCCTGCTACCGACCACCGTGACGGGTAAGTGATGGACCTAGTCGCTTCTCCCGCATTAATCTGCATGCTAAGTACCTTCCAGTGGAGGACGTGTCGTCCTCGCTATTCATCGCTGCCGCAAGCCGACCATTGCAGCTATGCAAGGCTCCGCCGTGGGCGTTGGGATGACCATGACGCTTCCTGCAATGATTCGGTAAGAACTTTACTTCTCCCAACGACGAATGATACAAAGCTGACGATTTTCAGCATCGCGTATGAAAAGGGCAAGTACGGTTTCGTCTTCGGACGCCGGGGTATCGTGCTGGAATCCTGCTCGTCATACTTCCTCCCACGATTGATCGGCTTCTCCAACGCCAATTACCTCGTCGGCACGGGTGCTGTTTTCCCTCCCACTTCCAAGCACTTCGGCGACCTGTTCAACGAAACTCTACCAGATCCATCCAAGGTCTTGCCTCGCGCGTTGGAGTTGGCTACTGAGATTGCGGAGAATGTCAGTCCGGCCTCCTCGTATCTCAATCGCGCTCTTATGTGGCGCAATCCAGGCACGCCTGAAGAGGCTCATCTTGTTGAATCTCATATTCTCCATCATACCTTTGCTTCCGAGTATGTCCCCCATTCTATTCGCCCCATTCTATTCGCCCCATTATTCCTCATACTTACCCGACTCCTTTCTAGCGATCAAAAGGAAGGCGTCGGTGCATTCTTCGAGAAGCGCAAGCCGAACTTCCGTGCCAATCTGGATGATAATCCCCCGGTGCACATGCCCTGGTGGACTGAGGTCGACACTGGCAGAGCTCCCAAGGCCAAGGCCAAGGCTTCCTCGAAGCTGTGATGAAACATATCCAGAGTAACGAGAGATAGTGCTATTGCCGGATAATGATTCACATACTCAATCTCCTCGATCTTAGCAAGAATTAATTCAACTCAAAGAGACAAAATGAATGGATTCAAAGAAATAATGCAGCTTGTTAGCGCTACCAAGACTTTCTCAAATACAAATGTAATACCCCAGCTCGCCCGGACCGCTAATGAGGAAAGCAAAACACCGATCCAGAGAATAGGAAAGAAGAAGATGAAAAGAAATCGAGGACCAGTTTGGCCCCAAGTTTGCGAGTATTGCAATCCCAGGTAAGGTCAACCATATGCACAAGAATAGATTTAAAATGATGTCAATTTGCCGAACATGTCACTGGATAGATCTTTAGGCGATGAAGTTGCGGCGCTTGCGGTTGTAAGCCCGCTGATCCTTCAGCCACGCTCGGTATCCCTTGACGCTGCCGATCTTCTCGCCATAGTAGTCTGGAACCGGGTTGGAGATCGAGTTTGTGGAGGGATCGACGCGGTATTGGCGGATACGGTCGAAGAATTCCTTCTCTTTCTGTAGAGAGAATGGATATGTTAGACATTGATGCAGAAGGTATTAGGCGTGGCATCACGCATTGGCTTTGGCGCTTACAATCGCTACGGAGGGCTTGAATCGACGGTAAACCAATCCCCAGATGCCATTTCCAACCATCGGGCCAGCGAGCCAGCCAACAGCACCACAAGCGGCCGTGGCCATACCGAGGACCACAAAGGGGTCCAGGCCCATGACTTGAGCACCGAGTGACTCCAGATCCTGCCCAGATAGGATTTGCACGCCGGCGGTTGTCGAGGCGAGCGAAGTCGCGATTGACGACGCGAGAGAGTACCGGCGGCGGGAAGCGCGGAGCTTGAAGAACGAGTCCCAGTCGAGTTTCACATTCTCCTTGGCCGCAGAGGTCGATTGCATGCGTAGACCGGCCGGGCGCACGAACGATGACGCACCAGGGACAACCTGAGGCCGGGGGGCTAGCTGTGTCGATGGGCGAGTGGCCGTTGATTGAGATCGGACGAGCAGCTTGGATGCCATTTGCGAGCTGGGTTGGAGCGAGCGGGGGCTGATGAGCGCGTTCATTGTGGTCGGGTTCATCCGACCAGCGAATACTGAGCGAGCTGACATTGTGAAGAAGCTGGGGTGTGTATGTGATCGCCGCAGGTTCGAATCAAGAGATTGTCCAGGTGCGTTCAGGAAGACGGAGGATCGACGATTAGTCAGCAGGTCTGCTGACTCGGAGCAACGACAACTGTACAATTTTAGTGCAGGCAAATGACATTTCTATGAATTATTCAGGGAACAGCATGGAAAAATGAGATTTGGCAGTCAATTTTAGAAAACGGTTTATTCAGAAAAGATTTGCTGATCACTAGTGCGCAAAACTGGACATATATTGTAGGTCTAAATTATGAGATACTCCGAAATATACTACCAGTAGGTATCAGCTAGAGCAACACCACCTTACTCTCCCGAAATGATAACCCAAGACAAAGGCTCGAAGCAAATGAAATAAATCCAGATCGCTCCGAGTCAGAGTTAATACACCAAAACACTCTTCTATCTCCCATTTATATACTCTATGGCCATGCAAATCACCAAACAGCAAAATTGCTTCCCGGTGACACCAAGAAGGTGCAGAGCAAGAGGTCTAGTTTTCCTCTACAAGCCATCTGCACGCTTAATCTCACCAGAGCGAGATTGTGCCGGAATGGGAACGCCAAAGCCATTGACGCGACCGTGCAGCCACTTCAGCGTTGCAGTACTGAATGCCATCACAACCGCACTGAGCGAGAAGAGCGCAACACGACCTGGAGTCGGCAGCTGCTCGAAGATGGGATACGGATACCATCCATTGTAGGAGGCACACCGCTCCACCCAGAACCAATAGCCAAAGGCAATGGCACCGGATAGTCCCATAGACGGCAGAACGGTAATTGTCCACGGGGGGAAAGAAACAGAAGATCGATCAGCATCAATATGGACGGCAATGCGTGAAAGCTTATATCTACCGAAATGAATTAGCAAACACACAGCCCCCACAAAAGCTGGGTGGCGGGTCTCTGCGAGCGGACCCCCGGGGTTTAGCCACATACCGGCATCGAGAGGGATCACAGCCCAATCGGGAACGACGAGACGTTCATCGATCTAAAACTCAATTAGATCAAGGGTCCCGAGATCAGGCGGGCGGACGAAAAGAAAGCGGTTGACACTCACCAATCTTAGGCCCCAGTAGAGAACGCTGATCAATACTTCCAGCGGCGCACTACACACTGACAAGAGGTTCTTGATCAAGAAGAGGCGTCGGGACAGTGTCACATCGGCGAGAATGGCAAAAATAAAGGTGAGAGTTGACAGACTCAGGCCAATAACGGTCAAGTATTGGAAGTGCCAGCCATATGCTTCGTTCCTGAGGTGGTCATCAGTATCAAACTCAACCCGAGTAAATCCGACGCTCTTTCGGGAAGACATACGCGTGGTTAGGGTTCTCGTGCATACTATATCATGACGTTAGCGTTAATCTTTACGTAAATTGATGGACCGAGCAACATCTCCGGTGTACCTACTACTTGAAAGACCAGGTAAAGCTTGCGAGGCCGGTCAACTGGATAGGAAGTCAGCATTTCAGCTCCGCTGGGAGAGGGGAATAACAAGATAACAGGATGAAAAAGGAAAGAGAAAAAAAAAACACCAACATACATGAACAAACGTCGAGATACCCCGAGAAGGGCTGTGTAGCCACTGCAAGGGGTGCTTCTCGATCAGGGCACGAGACATGGTTGAGGAAATGAAGGCAGATAACGAGTCGAACCGGGAACCAACAAGAACCAACAACCAACCAAGTGACGACAGCCCGCGGACTTTCGGGAGCTTCCCAGCGCCCGCACCTTCCGAGCGGTCCCCGCGGATCGCGCCTGCCACGCCTGGTTAAACACCGTGCACAGCCACGTGACCCGGCCTGCCGCGGCATCCCGTCCCGGATTAATTCATCCCCGGCGTTCCGGCTGATGACTGATCCTTATCACCAGGTTCCCCACACTTTTGGGAAAGTGGGAGATGCCCATTCTCTCTTCTTGAATTTCCATTGCGTCTTTTTTCTCTCGTTCATCTGACAAGTGCATGGTGTGCAAGTGTCTCTGAACCTATCAAGTGGGCCTTCCCCAGAATCCCCCGTTTTTTTTTCCACCCCCAGAGCCGTGAGGGATCGTCACAATTGTCCCTTGGTCACATACTTTGAACGTTGTTTCTGCCGAGCTGCACCTGCAGCTTTTTCTCCGAGTTTAATCTCTTTTCAAGGCACATCTCCCTCCCACACCTCGATGTGCTTGTCTACTAGGTGTGGGTGTCTGGTCGATTTTCGTTTCATTGCTACCTGGGGTCATCACAGTTCCCGTCGCAGAAAGCGGTCCGATCTGTGTGCCTCGTGAGGTTGCTGCATCAGGTTTGAGAAGAACGTAACCTGTATATGGAAAGGGTCAACAGTGTACTCTGTATGAAAATTCGGAGACAGTTCTGACACTCCCCTTCCTTCTCCCTCTTCTTTTTTCTCTTTTTTTTTCTTTCTCTCTTCCACATTTTCTTGCTGTTGTTTTGAATATTCGCCCTCGCCCTCGCCCTCGCCTTCTGCCTTCGCCACCCTCGGGCAATGCCTCGTCCAAGAAGACCTGGCGCGCCAGAGCCCAAGCGAAGAAGTCGCAAAGGATGCTGGTAAATGATATATGCTCCTCAATTGTTGAACTTCCAGACTAATGACTGCTGCAGGCCATGTAAAGCACGGAAAGTAAAATGGTAAGAACGCAGGCATCCTGCAATACCAACACCTTTTGACTAATTTTTGGTTCTTGCAGCGGAGAAGAGAAGCCTATTTGTCTCAATTGTCAACGGCAGGGGGAGTCATGCGATTATAGCGTCCGCCTCAACTGGGGAGGTCGGACGAAAAGAGCTTCCGTGGACTCACCCAACTCCCAATCTAGCGGCTATGGAGGGACATTGATCGGGTTTGATCCCATTCCAACGAGTGCCGCTAAGCCAATCCAACTCCCCACCCCAGGAAGCAATCCCCCATCATCAGATGGCTTCGTAAATTTTCGAACTGGGGACTTGGGCTCTCCCGGTGCAATCTCACCTGGCACAAACACCCACTTGGGTATATTTGACTCTCCAAAGCCCCAGTCGGGCTCCGAGGGAATCAATTCGCCATCTCAGGCAGAGTTACAGTTTTCCTCGGCCTGGGCTGATCACTCCCCCATGGCAACTGCGGGATCTTCGGGTCCTATGTCAGGATATCCGTTTGGCCCCTCTTTCCATGGGTCATTTTCTGCAGCGGCAGATCAAGGGGTTGGGCTCCGGTCTCTTTCTGCTTTTGCATTCCATGCCAACTCAGTATCTCAACCAGAGTCCTTCCTTCGTGACTCGGCTGATGAGACCAACCATCCATCCGATCATCATCAGAGCGGAAACCAGGCTAACCATGGTTTGGGATTCTCCATTAGTGATATGGAGCACCGAGATGATCAAACCCGCGATATTTCCAGTCATGGCGATATTCTAGCCTTGCTCGGATCCCACGAGATGACAGGCGGATCCCATGCCACGAACTCTCAAATGCATGGCCAAAAAGGACTGCATTCCTTCCATCAGCCAGACGAAGAACACGCCGTCAGGGAGTCATTCTTGGCGCAAAGTAAATGGCAGGCCTACCTGACCAGTGTAACCGATAACTACGGCATGGATTCTGGGCGCCCGGATCATGACCTTGCCTTGAATAATGACCACGCCGCCATTGACATCAACTCAGCGCTGGACTCGATTGCCACAAAGAGCCGAAGTGGAGACAGTGCTTCCCCCAGTGTACCTTGGGCTTCGCCTGCCACACAAAATGCTGATTATGGCGGGTACTATGCGTCTCCAGTACCGATCAATATTCCGAGATACTTATCTCCGCTTCCACGGACGCTGCTGGATAACCCGATCAATCTCATGTATTTTCATCACTTCCTCAACCACACGTCGCGTATGTTGGTACCGCATGACTGTGAAAACAATCCTTTCTTGTCGGTGCTTCCCTCGATGGCCACTGGCGATCCAAATCTCTTGAATCTCCTGCTCGCATATTCTGCCAGCCATCGTGCACGCTATCTGGGTCAGCCTGAACCGGCAAACCGAATCGCACACTGGGTAAGTGAGGTTTTCCCGGCCCTGCGGGTTGCATTGGAGGCCTCTCCGGAAGATATCACCGACAGCCACCTGGCCACAGCAATTCTCTTATTGTCCTTGAAGATTGTTTCTCCTAGCACGTTCGAGGTGCCTATAACCTGGCAAAGCCATTTGAAGCTTGCGCGGGATCTGTTTCTTGCCCGCAGCGAACGTATCGCGCGACCGGGTAATAGAATTGGTGCTTTCTTTGCGCGCTGGCTGGGTTATCTCGACACAATGGGAGCACTATCATGTCGTCAGGCCGGGCCACCATTAATGCTGTACCATACTGTCTTAGCTGCTTGTCATGGCTCAGACCACCATGACGACTTTACCGTGGACTGCTTCACGGGATTCACTCCACGCACAGGAGCGTTTTTTATTCGGTTGGGTCGCCTTGTACAACAATGTGATAGTGAGCGATTCGATAAGCACGGGAATTTCCGACAATCATGGCACCCCTCGGCGGATGTTGTTATGGAAGCCCAGTCGGTTTTAGGAGACATCGAAGGGCTCAGCGAACATGCCCATGCTGACCCAAACCACCACAAAGATGAGTGTGACGACATGATGGCCATTGAGGAGGCATTCCGCTGTGCGGGACTTCTCCATCTGCACAGACGTGTGCTTGGTTCGTCGCCCGATTCTTTCCCCGTGCAAGAAGCCCTCCGCAAGCTCATTGGGGCTCTGGAGCGTATGCCAGCCAACGCGCCGCCCGAGTTTTGCTCGTTGTTCCCGCTTTTCACTGCTGGCTGTGAGTCGCGAGACGCGGCGCAGCGAACAAAGCTGCTCAATCGATTCTTCGTGTTGGAAAAGTCTGGGTTAAAGCAGGTGAGCACCTCTCAAACGTAAATTCTTAGATTTCAACAACACTAACGAGAATAATCTTAGATTCAACACGCCCGCCAATTGATGCAACGCTGCTGGGATGACAAGCTTCCGTGGATTGCGCTAGCCGAAGGACAATTTCTCGGTTGATTGGATAGTTGGACAGTTGAATATCGGCTTGGGATGGCGATTGGCAATACTGGATTTTGCCTCCAACTGTTGGGAGTGTCAGAGTGCCTCAATGATGAATGACTGGATAGATGATATAGCGCAATAAACTCATCAACTCACGATGTTCCACCACGTGCTTTCATTCTTCTTCTTCGGCTCTAGGGTAATCAATTCTCAGTGGGCTGGGTTGAGTTGGGCTGGGGAGGATGGCAACATGTTGTGTTGTGGTTTGGTGTGGTGGTAAGTCAAAGCAGAGTGTGGTCGTCTCGGGAGCCTCACCTCTTCCTCTTCTTCCTCTCATTCTTCCTCCTCAACTTCAACTTTCCTCCTTGGCTTCCCTCAATCACACTACACTTTCTTCACCTCAACTTCTTCCAATCTTTTCCTTCTCCAAGCTATACACTTTCACTCAAAAACAAGCACGGAATTCATAATCCGGCAAAATGAACGACTTCAACCAGTCGGCACGCACCTCTTACTTGGTGGATGAGTTGGTGGGTGCATTCCAGTATAGCTATTTGGTCCCAAGCAAGTGAGTTGTTCCACCTCAACATATCTCCAGCTCACATTTATTTGACCATGACTTGATTCTGATCGTTTGCTTCAGTGCTGTGAGAAACGACGTGGTCGAACATACAATGAGCCCAGTTGCTCATGTGGTAAGTCTCCATCTTCTGTTTGTTCTAGATTTCTGATTAACTCTCCTCTAGGGATCACCGACGCACTTCGACAATGATCCCTTCGCCCCATTAAGCAAAACCGATCCTCACTTTGCAATCCCTCGCATCGATAAGGAAACTATGACCAGCCTTACACCCTTGGATACCTCTGAAGAAACACAAAGGACCTCTCAGGAAACCAACACCTCGTCTCAATCAGTGCCGCCCATCAGCCGTGATACTGACGTTCCCTATCGAGTTTCCACTCCGGTGGGATGGCTCGGGAAGATCCGAGGTCTAGAAGCAAGCATGCACGCACCCGGTTCAGTCCCGAAGCCCATCATTGGCAAACAATTTGTGGTCCAAGTCCCTGCTGAGGACGTTGGCGTTCCCATGCTTGAGGTAGAGCGCACCGGGCTTAGCACTGCCCCGCCTACATGGACAGCCTTGCCCCAGTGGAGCATGCGTCGTTTATTCAAGGATGGCAAGGAAGCAAAGCTCGCCGAAAAATTCCAGTATAATTCAAAATTGACTGGAATCAAGCGGTCTCCTTTGTTCGTCGGACCAGGCCTTCGGTATATCCCAGGGGAACACGATAAGAATACCAATATCTATCGCACTGTCGTGGTGGAGGGTTTGCCTCCTTGGGTCACCGTTCATGAAGTCTTGTCTCGTGTCGAAGGAGGCAAGATCGAGTCCATCGTTTTGGCTGATACCACGACTATCATGGGCGGATACCCGACAATGATGATCCGATTTGTCCTGCAAAGCGGAGCACAGGAATTCCTGCGTCGAACTCACGGCGCTCTCTTCCTTGGATACTGGCCCACCCAAGTCCGTCAGGTCGGCACCCCGACCTACATCCTTAGCGAGGAAATGGACAAGCAGATCAACCAATGGGGGCGAACTCGCTGCCTGAAGATTCATTCTGAACATCTGGAACTGCGTGGGTATCTGCGTCAAGTTCTGTTTGAGCCGGATTGGGCGGAGTGGATTGAATTCACGCAAGAGAATGTGTTGGCTGGAACCAGTATTCTCCATTTCACATCGATCAAGATGGCGCTCGTCGCGTATGACATTCTGCGTTCCACCCAGCAATTTTCCCCTGCGGATCTTGAATTCTGCCATGACCCCTGCGCGGTCTAGGCCATTGCGGTTGCTCATTTGAGATCTCGGGGGTTGAGGAGATAGTCAACAGCGAGCGTTTTGATGGTAGGAGGATAGGCTATTAGGCAAAAGTGATTAGGCATGGAGTTTTGAGTTTGACCATTTGAGTGCGGAAACCGAATCATTTCAAGGGAACTGGGGGAGATTAGCAGCAACGGGCAAAGATGGAGTATGGTGACATATGGCTGGTTTTCTGCGATTTGCAGCAGATCCAAGATGACATTAGGCCATATGCCTACAAAATCGACGATTTCACAATCCACATTCAATGGGAAACAGCATCAGTGTTTTTGTTTTATTTTTTCAGGAGAAGAGACACGTCCCCGCGGCGTCTGTTTGCCGACGGTTTCCCGGTCTCGCTAGGATGGAAGCTGCCGAGCTCCCCACACTCCGCGGGGTGGGGTTAAGCTTAGGTTGATAAATTTATACCTTATGCTTATTCTTCTAGATGAGATTAATACATATGTCAAGTTACTTAGTTGAGGTAAATTCTAATCCAAGTTCGATCGGATCGAGGGCACCAGTAGTAATCAGTACGTGCATGGTCCCAATCACCGGGTATTGAACTGGCTTATTCACAATGTACAACTTCCTCTCTGATGCAATAAGCATAGCTACTACTAGTAATACCTATCGAAGTAGACGGTCATGTTCGTTTCTAGCTCAGGATTAAAACCAGAGTTTAAACCTAAAAGTAACTCCCTCCTTTACTCCGTATGTGATGTGGATATTCCATACAAAAGAAACTTCTCCGTCGGGGCTGACTTGCCCTAATTTCCCCGCATACCCAAACCAACCCCCCCACATTTTACATTTCACATCCATCCAATGAACACATTCTTGGCACTCACAACTCCTCTCTGGTCCTATTGCCTCCTCGACATCTTAACCAACCTAAGCATCCCAATCCCTTCAATTATGCCTCTCCGCGTTCCGCTGGTCCGCTGCCCACTGTCCTCCGCTCATCCCCTCCCCGCCGATCGTATCCGTATCTCTCGACCCACTGCCGATCACAGGGATGATCCCTTCTCCACCGAGATGTACGCAGCCAAAGCTAATGCAGCGCAAACCGCTGAATCCCAATGGTACAAACCCTGTCCATTCAATAGCCCCCAACCTGCCAAATCCCCGATGCAACCCTGATTGGCTCGAGCTCAGAGAAACCCGGTAACAACGTGCCGATTTATAAGCTCGCTTGCCCTGCCCCCCGCCCTTCTTATTTTTCAGTCTGCGAGCTAGGTTGTGCTTTCTTCGTTTCCCTGCAGCTGCATCGGCGTAGTGCTAGTGACTTCATCTGTTGTGACTCTGTCCGTGCCTGTGCCTGTGCCTGTGTCATGGCTACACTTCCCGAGAAAGAGAAGCCGGTTGACGCTACCCGCCTATCTGATGCGGAGAAAGACCTCAAAGCTGACAGCAATGAGAGACTCGCTGGGTTCGAGGACCCGGATGCTGGCTTGAGCGAGGAGGAAAGGGCGAAAATCGTACGTACTCCCATCCCTGTCTTGCTCTGTCTTGCTTCTGCATGTCGATCGATGCAGGTACCCTAACTCTTCTTTTCCTTTTGCAGGACCGCAAGCTTCTCTGGAAGCTTGATTTCCGTCTCGTGCCATGGCTGAGTCTATTGTACCTGGTCTCTTTCCTTGATCGGTAGGCAACCTCGAAAATAAATTTCTACGCCCCCATGCATACCTTGACAAAACAAACTGACTCATCCCAGAACAAATATCGGAAATGCAAAGCTCGTCGGTCTAGAGGATGATCTCAAATTAACCGGCGCGCAATACAATGCCTGTCTTACCATCTTCTTCGTCTCATACTCCGTCTTCGAGCCATTGACCAATATCCTGCTCAAACGACTGCGCCCGAGTATCTTCATTCCCCTTATCATGATCGCCTGGGTGAGTTTATGCATGCACACTTTTCTATTGAACACCAGCTAACGCAGTCCAGGGCATCTGTATGACATGCATGGGTGTTGTAAAGAATTACTCCGGCCTGATGGCTGTCCGATGGTTCCTTGGTCTCAGCGAGGCAGGCCTATTCCCCGGCGTGAGCTATTTTCTTTCATGCTGGTACAAGCGCTCTGAATTCGGCGTGCGCATGGCTATTTTCTTCTCTGCTGCTGCACTTGCCGGGTCCTTTGGTGGGTTGTTGGCAGCGGCCATTGCGAAGATGGACACAATCGGTGGTCTGGCGGGGTGGTCGTGGATTTTTATTCTGGAGGGCCTGCTGACGATCCTTATTGGAATCGCTTCTTTCTGGCTCATTCATGATTTTCCGGATCAGGCGAAGTTTTTATCGCCAGATGATCGGGCTCGGGTCTTGCGTCGTCTTGCAGCGGATCAGCAGTCTAGTGCTGAGCATGAGGAGTTCAAGATGGACTATTTCTGGGCAAGTGTGAAGGACTGGAAGACTTATACTGGTGCGATTATCTACATGGGGGCTGATGGGACACTTTATGCTTTTTCCTTGTTTGTTCCGACTATTATTAGTGAACTGGTGAGTTTGGTCCCAATCCTCTCGACTTTGGTGCTGGCATTCGCTGACCCCTTCACAGGGCTACAGCTCTATCAAGGCGCAGTTGCTTAGTGTACCTCCCTACGCAGCCGCTGCTGTGTTGACTGTGACGGTTGGCTTTATTGCGGATCGCACTAAGCAGCGTGGTATTTGCAATATGGCTGTTTCGCTGTTGGGAATGGTGGGCTTTGCTATTCTGTTAGGCTGCCAGGCTCCCGGTGCACGTTATGCTGGATGCTTCCTTGGGGCTATGGGTATCTATCCCGCCATTGCGAACACGATTTCGTGGACGAGTAACAATACAGAGGGTGAGTTTGGGTTATGATTTGTTCTCTGCTATATTTTTGCAGGACACTAACGCAGGTGCAGGTGTTTACAAGCGTGGTGTCTCTCTGGGTTTCATCATTGGATGGGGTAATCTCAACGGCATCGTCTCCTCCAATATCTACCGTGACGAGGATAAACCGCGCTACTATCCGGGCCACGGCACTGTCCTCGCCTACCTGGTTCTATTTGAGTTCGGCGGCTCGTTGCTGCAGTACATCCTGCTGAGGCGGGAGAATGCCAAGCGCCGGCGTGGCGAGCGCGACCATTGGGTCGAGGGACTCAACCAGAACCAGATCGAGTTGCTAGGTGATAAGCGGCCGGACTTTTTCTACACCATGTAGATCTGTGTAGATAGATCAAGTCAAGTGGGATCAGGCCATGTCCGGTCTAATCAACGATCGGTTATATGGTCTGTTGAGAGCTTATGTTGAATTGATAAATGCAAATATAATATCGAATGTGACTGAGGCTGGGACGCTGGCATTTTCATCATGTCGTAGCTAGATTAGACGTGGAGATTGCGCGATCATTCCAATCGTTGGTAGCAATTGACAATATCCTGGTCTTTCTTTGGACCCTTGACGACGTGTCGGCTTGCCCAGCTCAGGACCTCGCCGGTCTCGGGACGAATGCGAAAGGAGTAGGCTGTGCGGTACATATCATTGATGCAGAGGTGATTTCCTTGCGCCTCGAGGACGGACGTTGCGTCGGATCCCTCGGTGGTCGGAGGGGTTGGCGGCTTAACGAACTCAGGGTTGGATTCGGCAGTAGATGGCGCTTGTTTTCCTCCGGAGAGAGTTGTCTCGTTGAAATCAAAGTTGTGGAAAAGGTAATCGGCTTCGTCGGGGCCCGGGGCGACCTTGACGAACCACACACTGATCCGGCCGGACTCGTTTGTTCGCCATATATATTTTTTCGTCCAGCGAAGTCCGGCTACGGCTGCGGCGCCGCCGATGGAGCTGGGGATCTCGCCTTCTTCGCTGTAGAGCCAGTCGCGGTCGGAGGGGAGGGCGGAGAAGGTGGCAGTGCCCCGCAATTCGCCATTGAAGTCGAGGGGGTTGTCGCTGCGAAGGACACGGGTGAGGGACCAGCGGGAATTGCCCAGGGACCCAAATAGGGTGGCGAGGATTTGGCGTGAGGGCATGGTGGGGTTGCAATGGGTTGAAGGGGGAGGAGAGAAGGAGGAGGAGGAGCGGGAGCGGGAGACTGGGCTGGGCGGATGAGGCATTGACACTACTACTAGTAGCACTGTAGTAGTACTAGTATACACATCGGGAACTCTGATAACATTTTAAATAAGTTCAAGTTGGTATTAATTAGTAAATACTCGTACTAGTATTAGGTATTTTGGGCTGTTACATTTATCTCGAATACTACTAGTACTAAGCACCTCTCAAGGATGAAGTGAGTGTGAATATATATTATCTAGTACCCGTAGCAATTCCCTAAACTAAGTAAGCATAGTACTAACTAGTAGTAGTAGTACTACTACTACCCCAGTGGATGATTCCGAGTCACCATTTACTAACTATACTTCGCTAGTGATTAGTACTAGTAAGAATTCAAAATAAATAAAATACCCAGCAGATCTGATCATGCAGCACGATCCCAGCCATATATAACCTATCTGTATGTATGACTCGGAAAAGGTACTCCGTAGCATTGAGTTTGACCCTCACTTCATTTTAGGTGCAACACCATGTGGGCGGACTCGTGGGCGAGAATCCTCGTGCGGGACCGATTCAAGGACTTGGACGCGATCCGAGCGCGGGAAACCTGGAAGTATACATTAGTAGAGATAGAGTGGAACATCCGAATACTCCGTAGTGTTATGCTATACTACCCAGGTGTGTAGCTGGGCGTAGAGTCTATGAGTATTAGTATAGTACTACTAGTATAGTTAGTATACATTCCTGTGTATATATTCACACATTCCACAGGGATAGCGGGAATGAGAATTAGTAAATAAAACAAGCTCCAAGTCGATCAGGGCCAATCGGTAGAAATGACTGCCTTAGATTAGCTGGGACCCTAGTACCCTAGGGTACTCTCTGGTAAGATTAACGGGCGATCGACAGTGGGCCACTGGGACTGGGGCTGTTTGGGGTTGATGATAGTGATGTGTAGTGAGTTACGAGTATCATCGCTACACTAAATAGCTGTCTACTAGATAGTTAATAACCAGCATCTATAATATATAACATAGTATAATATAGTATAATAATACTATACATAATACTATGCTGTGTATGCTATACTGTACTGTGTACAAATGTCCAAAAGGGACTAGTCGCAACTTGCAAGCGGAAGGCCCCCGAATGCGGGCAAAACAGGCAGGCACGACCCCCAAATAGCCACGGCGCAGGCCCTTTCACCTTTCACCTTTCTTGTCTTATCTTTTACCTGAAGGTGCTTCTGCTTCTGCTTCTACTTCTACTTCTTGACTTCTACATCTCTCTGCTACTAGTATTCCCCTTTGGATATGGCCTGATCCCCTTCGACTTCCCACTAAATCCTGCATTGCAATCTCACCCACCGTCACCATGACCCTCCTCCGGGCCTGCCTGCTTTTCGCCTGCACCTCCACCCTATTCACCACCACTTTGGCCGCTTCGAAACCCATCCCCACGAGCGCCTCAACCACCTTCCCACAATGCGGTATCGACTGCAGTGTCTTGAACTCCGCCCAGGATAGTTGTGTCGCTGGCACCGAATCCACCTGGACCTCCTGCTTTTGCGAGTCCTCTCTTCTCACCTCGCTGAAAACCTCCGGCGCTCTCTGCAGCAACTGCGACTCTTCCGACCAGACCACCCTCTCCAGCTGGTACAACAGCTACTGCAAGTCTGGTGGCAGCACCAACACCAAGGATACCACCAGCACCACGGCCACGGCCACGGCTACCACCGGAACTTCCACCTCGACCGCGACCTCCGCGTCCAGCGGCTCCAAGAATGCCACCACCGAAGAAAACAAGTCTTGGTAAGACCCTGAGACCCCACCCACTATCTGACAACCCCCCTCCCTTTCTCTCTTCCCAGCACCGGGTATCGGATACATAGTATCATTACCTGAACCATCATTCAGACGATCGGTGTAAATTATCGTCCCGAAAAAGAAACCTATCATGCTAATCCGTCCCGATCCGCAGGTGGAGCACCCACTACCAATGGGTCGTCATGCTGATTGTCCTGGTCATCGGATTCTCGGCCCTCGCCGTCTTGGGTGTTTGGCTTAAACGTCGCTACGAAGCGAGACATCCCGGTCTCTACGCCCCCAACGCCGCCAGCAGCAGCGGTGCCCTGCCCGTGAAACCTGGCTCGGGCAATGATTCTGGTGTGCTGAGCCCCCCCGCCACCAGGTTGGGGGTCCCAACCACCTGTCTCCAGGCCCAAGGTCCTGGTGTTGTTCCTGTACAGTCGGGTTCACTGGCTAGTTCCTCGCGTACTGATATTGCGCCAAAGGGAATTGTCCCGCCTTCCAGGTTGCAAAAGGGTGCGCCCACTGCGGCGGCAGATGTGGAGATTCGACAGCTCCAAAGGTGATCGATAATTGATGATCGGTTATTTATGGATTTGACCGCCCTTTTTTTCATTTCAAAGAACCCGCTTTTCAGGGGAAAAGCAGAGGGAAAACAATACTTTGCTCATTTTGTTACACCGCCATACGTGATGTATTTGATATATCTGATCTTCGATGCGCTCGTTGGGACCCTCCTTTACGTGTGGCTTCGTTCTACTTTACTTGCATTTCTCGGAGTTTGCGTGGTCATGGGATTTTTAAGGCATTGCACGATTTCGCTCCCCTTTTGATACTATCTAATGTTGACACCGGCCTATCTCGTTACGGATTACTCCGTATACCACCCGCGGACTCGTCTTGCTCGGTTAGGAAGTGCATGGTACATATACTTTTATTACTACTCTTACTACAATTTTTTGCGTCGCTCGTCTGACATGGAATGAATTTCAGCGCTTTCATCTCGCATATATTTACTGTACATTGTAGATTTGATCCATATCCCCTCCCAAATCACGAAATGGTAATGCTAACAATCTTGATGTCGACCTCGGGCTTCTCCTTGAACGTCTTCGTATTTTCAATCTTATGCACCACGTCCAGACCCTGCACCGCCCGTCCAAAGACCGTATGCTTATTATCCAACCAGGGAGTTTTCTCGGTTGTAATGAAGAATTGACTGCCGTTGGTATTGGCTCCGGCATTGGCCATGGAAAGCGTATACGGCTTGTCGTGCTTCAAGCTAGAGAACTCATCGTTGAACTCGCCGCCCCAGATTGACTCGCCTCCAGTACCGTCACCCTGCGGGTCACCACCCTGAATCATGAATTTGCGGATGATACGGTGGAAAATCGTGTTATTGTAGTAACCCCGTCGAGCGTGCGTGACAAAGTTCTCCACGGTGCGCGGGGCAGCGGACGGGTACAAGCGCAGATGGATGTCGCCCATGGTGGTGTGTAGGATGGCGGCCGTTCCGCTCTCGCCGGTCTTGGGGGCATTTGATTCGTTTCCTCCGGAGGTTTCGGTCGGCTTCTCGTTCTGCACGTCGCGCGATGACTTGGATATCTCTGTTTCATTGGTGAACATGTAGAACCGGACCTTGGCGAACCCGGTGCTAATCAAGATCGGATCGCGCTCTTCGGCTTCTTGAAGTAGCGGGTTACTACTTGCTGCCATTGATACAGTCACTACACCCTTGCGCAGTGGTTGGCCTTGGTACAGGGTGAGATTCAAGGCACGGAAGGGGTCCTCTCGGCCGTAGACTCGTACCACTCGGTTGGTGTAGGTATTGATACACTTGACTCCGTAAAGTGATCCGTAAAGCAGGAAGTGTCCTGATTCGTCGAAGGAGACGTTGACCTTGTTTCGTGTCGCTTCTCCTTCCAATTCGCGCTCCACGCCTAGTCTTCGTCCGAATTCTACCTCGTCTAGTTGGAAGGGTGCTGTGCCGGCTTGTTGCATGTCTGTGATGGTTGCTATTGACTCGTCGTATGTGCGGTAGAGCTTGCCGGTTGCGAATTCAAATACTCGGATTTGGCGATCCGGGAACGAGACGGTTGCGAATTGCTCGCCTGACGGGGATATGGTGATTGCGGTGGGGACGGACTTGGCTTTCTTGAAGGCGAAAAGGTTGGTCGATGATTTTAGCTCAAACACATTGTCTGGCTTCTCGAATGATCCATCTCCTGCTCTCCAATACTCAACCATGCCCGACTCATCGGCGGAAACCACACAGTCGAATGCATTGTTGAAGGCGATGGATGCCACGGGTTTGCGGTGGATAGAGGTGACAGTGTGCAAGGGTTGCGGGTTCTCACCACGGCCGTCGAAAACTTGAATCGTGTTGCTGGACTCGTCTGTCACTGTGAGGAGAGGGAGAGATGCACCTCGTCGATGAACCCAGCAGATACACCGTGGTACGAACTCCAGACTATACATTGCCAGAAGATCTGTTATAGTTAGCGCTGAGCAAAGACGCGTCCACATAGCTTATAGACACCCACCAAATGTAATCACGTCGAAAATCTTGACCGTTTTGTCCGTCCCCGCTGTCGCAAAACTGCGGCCATCGGCGCTGACGGTCGTACTGCGAATTTCGCCTGGATGGGCACGGAACTCCTTCACAAACTCGATACCATCCGCTACCTTTTTCCAAAACTTGACCACTCCGTCAACTGAGCTAGTGATTAAGAAATCGGTGAATGGAGTGACGGTCACAAAGGACAATTGCTCCTTGTGCATGAGCGATTTGGAGTACCGCGGCGAGGTGGGTAGCGCGGTCACATAGACCTTCTCAAAGGGTAACTTTCTCCGCTTCTTCTTGGGTGCGACCTCAGAAGGCAGAGCTGGACCGAAGTCATCGTCGGAAGAGTCGTCGTCGGCTATCATGAAGTTGATCAGTCGTCTGCGCAAAGCTATCTCGTCGAGAGAGCTCTTCGGAGGTAGATCACTCACCATTGTCGTTGTCCTCCACGGCGGAATGAGGTCGCTTCAGTGCCGCAGACGCAGCGAGTTCTTCAGAGTCTGGCATTTTATTCACTCTTCGTAAGATACAAGCGTGGCATTCACGGAGGGCAAGCAGTTTCGAAGAATCAAGAAGTCAAGGGAAGCGCATCGCGGGCGGTGGC